GTTTTCTTTAAAGAGGGAGCAAGTAGCTACAGTGGGCCTTTAAACAACCTTCGCCTTTAATACAAACCTATACAACTTTCAGAAGGACATACAATTCACAACTAAATTATTCATATCCCTTGTAAATTTGAGGTTTTATTTGTTTTCTGTAACTCAAGAATCAAATGTGGACTAGTTTAACTGTGATCCTGTGTTGTTGTTTTAGATGTAAGCTTTAATATGTCACATTCTAAAGAAACACAAATCAAGAAAATCAATTTTTCACATACCGGTATACAGTACATGAAAAATTACAACAAATTTAGTTGTTAACTGTAGATGTACAGGTGAATAAAGTAATATGCAACTTACAAGAATGGAATATAATTTGTATCATTATTAGTGTCCAAGTTTTGAAAATGATTGCATCAGTTTGATATAATCTGAAATAATAATGATATAGAGTATTCATAATGCACCTAATCAACAAGGCTAATGTGCTCAAGATGCAAAGGAAAAGTGAGAAAATGAACTTCACATAAATGAGACAACTAGGAAAAAACAAATAGATCTACTGGAAAGAAATTTTGAAAAGATAACTTTTGAGGGCACAATGCAATCCTCACTTTAAATACTGTGAATGTCTTGTGGCAACTGATTCCATAGATAAGGTCCAGCATGAACACCCCCCCCCCCATAATTTCTTGGTTTTAAAAACGGCAAGCAATATAATTTTTATTCAATTCATTCATTTGAGTGTGTGTGTGTGCGTGCTCTCACCTCAGCATTCTTGTGGGGTTTTATGTGCGCTTCACATACCCCTTGTGAGGCATTTTTACTTTGTGGGGTATTTTTTCAGGACCCCACAGAGTAAAGTCTTTCAAATGACTGTATATTCGGTGTCCTATGCCCTGCGGGGCATTAGAAGTGGTACCCCATAAATGACTTTTTGTGAGCGTGTGCTAAAACTTGCACACTTTTTTATGGTAACATCGTAAGCACACCGCCGGGTTGTTATCGCCAGGTTGTACATACCCCACTAGTAGGGGACCACAAGGTATATCTGGAACGCACAGAAATACCCCACAATCAGGTGCCCCACAAAGGCCCTGATGTGAGAATGCGTGTGTGTGTGTGTTTTTGGAACCATTAGTTTAAAACAGGGATACATTAATGTTTCACAAGGGCCAAGTAATGGAAAAATACTGATCTTATCATTCCCTCAATGGCACTGCATATAAACCAAATTCTCTCAGATACAGACAGGTACCACTATACAGACCACTACATATTTTAGACCACAAGATGGCAGTCTTCCACTTAAAACAAGCTTGTGATCAACTTTATCAAATTTCCCTATTTTGACCTAAGATCCTATCTAGCAAGGGAGGGCGCTATACACTTTAAAACTCCAGAGCCATCTATACAAAGAGCTTGGCCAACTTGGTTTCACTGGGGCACAACATGGTGTTTATTCTTTTGTTTTATACTTGCCCAACAAAGCAGTAGTTGCCATGTAGTGTCCAACTCGAACCAGGTTGGCCAAACTCTGTGTACATGTATTTATAGATGGCTCTGCAGAACTCAGAGCCATCTCATATCACACCTCGTCCAGATAGGATGCATTACACTGTCTCAGAAACTCATTTTACATGTAAATGAACAGCAAATTGGGATGAAGCGGGTAGCTATATGCCCAGCAATGGCCCCTACATGTCCTGTGAACTATGAGCTGAAAGATTTATAATTTTAAAGCCCCTCTAAAGTGTTGGGAGCCCAACAAATTTATTGGCAAAAATTTACTTTGAATGTATAATAGACGGTGAAAGAGGATGTCATTTAACACTGACTTCTGCAAGGATTTTCAGAATAAAATGTGTTTGAAGATGAATATTGATAAAAGAATACAAAATTTAGGTCTTCTGCGTACAATACAAAACCGAAGTTTTGTAATCTTTCATCAATATTCATCTTCAAACACATTTGTTTTGACAATCTTTGAAGAGTTGAGTGTTTAATGACATCCTCTTTCACACAATTTCACAATTTGAGTGAAATTTTGCTATCAAATTTTTCAAGCAAATTTGGGGCTCCCAACACTTTAGAGGGGCTTTAATTAAAGCACACACACCTTATGCCATTTTATTTTTCCAAACCTCTTTCTCTGTGAAAAAAAGAATTTCTAAAATCTGTTATCTATTTATTTTAATTTTAATTGATTTAGAGAGGTTGTACTACACATGTCCCAGGGACATTTGCTCCACAGTCAATATTCTACACTGACTGAATTCTTACCCATTGCCTACGGGAACCCGTTTGTCCCTGTCTTAAGCCTATGGGAATAAGATAATTCAGCAGTAAGTGGGTAACTTCACCCCTGGACCCAACACTATAGCTAACCCTTAAACCTAGAGCTTATAATCCCTTGCAGCAGCTCCCTGAAGATGTCCTGGGGAGTGTTTCACAAAGACTAAGAACCACTTTAAGTTGGACTTAACAATGGCAGGCCATTCATGCCACAGGTTGCTCTCACCATCGGTCTCTCAATTATGATCTTTAGATTATATTTTTTTTCTTCAATAATAAATCATTTAAAAATGTAAATTCTGTATATTTGTGACCACGATTTGTACATCCCTTGAGAAACCAATGCCATGAATGGTTAGAGGAACAAGCGGAATGAACAGCCTGCCATAGTTAAGTCTAACTTGAAGTCAATTTTAGTCTTTGTGAAACCCTCCCCTGGGATGATAAAATGCTGTACATCAGTGTGAGGTGCCATGATGAAGTAAATATGTGCATCTTCATAATAATAATAATAGCTATATTCATATTGCCCAAGTATCCATCCCAGGGGATGCTCAAGGTGCTTACAAAGTGGTAGTATTTCCCCGGCTTAACCCTATGTTAACTGGGGGGGGGGGGGGTCAATTTGACCCCCCCCTGTAGAAATTTCGCGACTACTCCGAAACCGCGGCAGATATAAAATTTTCCTTTCATGACTTTTTACTTTCGAGTCTTACGCATCTTTTAAAACAATTTTTTCGAAAATCGGACCTTCGGTTACAAGGTCACGTGACCTTTTGTCTTTGCATGTCAGCCCGAAAATCGCTCATTTTCGTGATTTGTGTACAAAACATATGTAAAAGTCATTTTTCCTAAAAATAGATAAAACATTGGTTATTTAGTTTTGTTTAAAGTTTAGATGTTTGTTTTTGGGTCAAAATAGTTGAATTGTAGTTATAAATGAAATAAAACAACAAAAACAATAAAATACATAAGTTAAAAAAACAATGAAATACATAAGAAATTATAAAAACAAGAGATAACATAAGGAATAACCTGGCTCTTCCAATTTTTTGTGTTGTATTATTATTCCAAATGGTCTAATAAATATATTTAGTGAAAAGGAATACGTAAACATGAATAATCTATGATTTATGGGCAGAAATGTGAATTTGATGACCTTATTTGCATAAATTACCATAAATATGCAAATGAGTGAATTTTTCAAAAATTTGAAATTACCATAGTATTCTATACACTTCACTTGACATGCATGCAAATTTTCGCGGCGATCTGATTTGAAATTTGGGGGGGTCAAATTGACCCCCCCCCAGTAAAAACCTGGTCTGAAATAGCCCAGTTAAAATAGGGTTAAGCCCAGCTGCCCTAAGGAGCTATAAGCATTCAAGAATAAATCCTACCAGGTACCCATTTACTACACTTGAGGGTGGAGAGTGGCCAAAGCAGATCAATGTCTTGCCAAAGGATAAAAAGACCAAACTGGCAAAATGCATAAAATTGATTTTAAAATTGCTCCCACCCCCCCCGCCCCCCAAAAAAAATATATACGAACGGCCCGAAAGTTGACGAGGGGGAGGTCGAGGAGGACACCCAAATTATTATTATTATTTTTTTTGGGGGGGGGGGGGAGGGGGGGGGGGAGGGGGGGGGGGGCCTTATAGCACACGGGACCAAATAGGAGGCTGCATCACAAGAATAAGGTTGTTATGAATTTTTAATGTTGTCATGTGTAAAACACAAATTGGCAACACTGTGACGCATCTCGCGAGGTCCTCTTCAATTTGCTCTGTATAGAAATCGTGTAAACTTTCATTTCCTTAGTTATTGATGACGGAATAGGTTTGTTTCATACAGGGGTTGTATAGAAGCATATCTGCAATAATCATATTTAGGGTGCATGTATGATTGAACAATTTCCTAAAGCACATCACAGAGTTGCTAATCTGTGTTTGACTGATCGCAACTTCAAATATTCATAACTTTCTTTTTCTTTAGAGTTTGCGCAGACCTTTACTGACCCATTCCTCTAATTTTTCTGCTTCTATTGAAACCAACTTAATATCAGGCTGGGCTTTCCCTTTTAAACCTAACTTAAACCCAATAGCAACCCTATTCCTAACCTTATATTGCAACAAAATGAAGCCTTGGTCAACTGTCGCTCGAGAAATTATCAGAGGAACCTTTAAAGGTAATTCAAAGTTTTGGTATGGGGTCATGAATTTGGTTCAAATGAACATATTTGAAGCATACCGGTATGTGATTTTACAATATTCAGTGATCGTTGTCGCAATTGAAATCGAGTCTAAAGTGATGCAATTGTAAATAATAAACTCTTTATGTTGTATAGCTCCCTCTCAAGACTGATATTTCTTTAGCTTTAAAACAATGTTTCTTGACTACAATCGATGGATTTTCTATTCCTGTTTGAAAATTATATATCAGACCTGCATATTCTGAGATTTTCATGGTCGCAGCTACCATGAAATGGCATTAGGCGCTATTTGAAATATTTGAAATTTACTGGGAGCGCCGGTAAATTTTTGATTATTCAATTTCTCGAAAGAAGAAGTGTTTTAGGGGCTAAATTTTTGAGTGCTTATAAATTCATCCACAGGGGCATCCAAATATACCAACATTTTGAAGAATTACTGTTCATTTAATTTCCAAAACTTACCGAAACTTTTCATTACGTTTTATATCTAATATATACTTACCTGATAAAATCGTGAGAGAATAAGACCCATAACTTGTTGGATGCTGACAGTACGAACCAAGATGAGAGATATCAGAACAGGATTGACAAGCTTGTACAGGAAACGGGTTGCCTTGGTTACAAGGGCTAAAAAAGATTCATCAAAATAAGTCTTTAAAATAACTGAAATAAGAATACCTTTAAGATGACTTGACAGTACCATAAAGGTTACAACAAGATAAAAAATGTAATTTCATGAGAAAAGTTTTAAAAGCAGGGCGTCTGAACGATTTTTCAATTTTCCCTTTTCGATCGTTTTTCACTAGTATGGTTGGATAATTGAAAAAATCAATTACTCAGGAGAACACATTTCAAATCTCAAGACTTACTGATGTTTTCTATCAAAAGATACAGCTCCCCCTAATCTAGGTAATATTCAACCAGTTTTTGTCCAGGATGAACTAAAAATCGGTAAGTAGAGGATTCTGAGATGAGGGGAGAGGGGGTGTGAGAGTACTGTTCTCCCGAATCCATTATAGAAAGTAGAAAAAAGGAGGAGCTAGAATACTTGGGAGGGGAAGAGGGGGGAGGTTGGGGGGGGGGGGGGTTGAAGTGTACATGTACATCATTACTTCAATAATAATATGACCTTCCGTGTCCAAAATATTGCCAGGGAGAAGAGCATGCAAATATTGTGTACATTCTCTCTTACAGGTACTTACTGCCAAGACACAAGGAATTTGGGTACCGTATATGCACATGCCCACCCCCTCCCCCCCCCCCCCCCCCCCCCCTCCTCATCTCAGAATCCTCTACTGGCTTGTATGTTTACTTACTCATACTGGATGTTGCAGTAGATACCACAAGTTGAAAAAGTGAGAGATAATTAAAAGATTCACTGTAAGAAAGAAAAATAAATACAACATTTTAAAAACATAGTTTAGCCGTCAGTTTTGTGAACTTTCTTTCAAACCCTTCTACAACATAACCCTTACAAATCCCCTTATTAAATTGTTTCCCCACATCTTAAAATATTAAAAACTTAATGGTAAAAAAACAAGTAAGATACATATCAAAGAATAGGAGCTAGCCTGCATAACTACAGAATAGAAGATGATTGAATCAGCTAAACATATAAGTTTAATAAATCAAATGTAGAATCTGGACACTCTACAGACTAAACTGGCCACTTTAAAGGGAGTGTAGCTAGGCAAATACTAATAACGCCATCTACGTCTTCTTTTGGACAACTGCACGTAAACGAATGGACTTGATTAATGGTAGTCAGCGACTTAATCTCTACATGGTCAGCATTCGCGAAACAGACCGAAGTTCTCCTCACACTTTGGTTCGCATAGTTGTATTATACCCGATTGGCCCTGAGTCAGGCCACGGGAACGGGAAAGACACAAAGTCTCATCAGACTACACTCTCTTCAATTAGTCGTAACTTTTAAAATAAGATAAGAGAAGACTGGCACTCACTCTGACCATTCCTTGGGTTCTGGAATAGGATTGTGAATGAGATTCGACTCGTAAACACCAGCACAGAGAGCACCTAGCATACACATGCTCACTACCGAACAGTTGGATATGATACCTGAAGAAAAAAGAATAATTGCATTATGTACGGGCAAGAACAAAGAAGAAGCAAATCATTCAAGACACCAAGCATTACTACGTCAATGAAATTTAAATGCATCGTTTTAAACAATGTTTAATATGAGATGCACGTCCCTACGTGTTATCAGCATCTGTGATATGGTGTAATATTGAAGCCCTAAGAAAATTGCGCTTCAAAATGATCATGAAGTGCCTCAAAAAAGTAAAAATCTTTGAGTGTTAGGTTTTACCATACTCATTTTTCCCAATAGACTGTAGTGTTATGAAAAGCATTGGGGAAAACTTTGAATTCCAATCATAAATATCTTGATATTCAGATGGGTGATCAACTTGTAAATGTTATGGGATTCCTGACTGACCTAAAGGTTTATAATTATGATTGCAGCATGAGCTAAATCCAGGATTTCGTTTAGAATCTGAGACAGAGATACCCAATACCTTTATTAAGGGACGTGCTACAAATTTTAAACTCTCAAATTCCATTTCTATGCACTTCACCTTTCTTATTGAACATGAGGAACAAAAGATTTCTTCATTTACTTCCCTTTCTCTTACTTTTTCCAATTGTTTGCACCCATCTCTTTTGTGCCCCCTTCAAGTGCTCCCCCGTAAATAGCCACTGCTACTTTTATGCACTACTACTACCATCACTAGTTCTACTACTACTACCTCAACTACTGTATGATGCACAGCTTATGAATGTCTCTAACAGTCTAAGCGCTTTACAGATATATGCACATTATCACCCCAGTCACTAGATCAAGGCTAGTCCACACATACTCCACTCCCTGGGGAGCATTCCAGCCAGGTGCCATATAATGTACAATCCGTAATGATTTTGCATGCTACAGGGTTCATATTTAACACCTGGGTGGAGAGAAGCAATATAGCTAAAATACCTTGCTTCTGGACAAACAGACCCATCAAAAGAGGAGGAGGGCGGGGGGGGGGGGGGGGGGGGGCAATGGGTGCAATTGTATCCCCCTTATTGAAGTAATAATAACATTCACTCTATAAGCTGATGACCATTTTTTTTTTGCTTGTCAAAGGACTTTGCATCAAGTCTGAAGAGAAATTTCCATCTAGGCATGTGCACATATAAACAAAATTGATGAATGAAAATGCATCCTCTTTAAAAACAGCTTCTAACGAGCCTGACAAATTGAACCCATGACCTTCTCCTCTGTAGACTTGTGCTTAAACCACTAAACTACATGCCATTTCTAAAACACTTTAATTGAGGTACAAACATAAGCTTCCTGTCTTTAATACCTTGGTCAGCTCTGACGGTCAGGGCAAGATGGACCAATGAAACCAGAATGATGACCATTAACATACTGGACATGAGGATAAAAGAAGAAATAAAGATATAAAACGTAAGATTACCTCTTAAAGGGAAATCCAACCTGAATAGACAACTACTCTATAATAATATGCTATCTATAATATGTTTTGAGTAGTGCCCATAGGGAGAAGGAACTTACAAGAAATACAGAAAGTAGTGATATTTTTGTACATGGCAAATGGAAGAGTTATCCCCTTCCTATGTCACAATACACTGACCAAACTACCCATTTGAGATTCGCATAGACTCTCATATTTCAAACATTCATAACTTCCTTACTATTGGTCAAATTCATTTCAAACTTTTTCCATTCTGTTTATCTTACTCTTCTGCTGTCATTCAAATCAACTTATTACAAGGGTTGGATTGCCCTTTAACACTGTACTTAGGCACTTTGTAAATGTGATCCCTACATCTCATTTTACAAGCATCAATAATAAGCTTGCTAATCAACTGGTCAACCCTAATACATGTAAATACAGTTAAACCTATACATACCCACCGCTCAAAGTGAAACCTGTGTATAAAGACCGCTCAAGGGAGACAATACAAGTGGTCTTTAAATGCAGGTGGTCTTATGTACAGGTTCCTTCAGTATATTTTTCAATGCAAAATTATTTTCAAGGGAAACAAAGAATATCGTTTTTACAGACAGGTGATTATTCTATACAGGTGGTCGCTAAAGCTCAAGCAAATTTGACTGTATTTGAATTTTATCATCTTTTTAAAAACAAATCTCAAAGATAATTGTAATATATAACAAAATGCACTTATAATGTGCCAAAAATGATAATATACCAAACCACATTTGGATGTCCATATGCTCAGGGAAAAGCCAAAACAAAAATGAGCGAGGGACTGAGTAGGGGGGGGGGGGGGGGGGGGGGGGGGGGGGGGGGGGGAGGGGGGGGGGGGGGGAAATAAATAATAATAATCTCACTATATGATAGGCCATGATCCAGTCCTGCATATAATGATGGCAAAGATGAATGAAGCTGTGTAGGCTATGGCTGTTGTTCCAATTATCAAACCCTGCATAAAGATAATGTGAACAAAATCAAACACAAAATGAATAAAATTCAAGCGATTTTGCCATACATGCAGTCAATTCACTTTGGGTGGCATCTATAGGCAATTGTAAGTGAAATGCCTTCCTTATTTCTGCACTCCGGTAACGGAGGGACCGCATTCATGTTCCCCTAAAATCCGGAAAGGGGTACTTTTCACACAACAAAGTATGTCTCGTAATACACAAACAACCTTTCTTTCATTTGTCTGCTTTTCTCATTCATTGAAGCATTTTCAACATCTTATCAATATTTTTGGAGAGGAGAAAATTAAAGGCCCACTGTACTACTTGTAGCTACTTGCGCCCTCTATATAACAAACAATGCCTAATCGGTGACAATTGGTCCCCCATGATCCTCTTTTTCTTATGTTAACTGAGAGCTGAGTTGATGAGATAACCACCTATCCAGTGACCTTGCAGGGCGGTCTAATCCCTCCTGTAAACTATGGCAGATAAGCTTTAAAGCCTGCACTTGATTTGATAACCCATAGACAGGTGACATTCTATTTCAATATAATATTAATTTTTTTGATACCTTTAATAGGCGTAAACAAAAAAAGATGTTGTAATGCCCTTTGCAACTGACCCCTAAATCTTAAAATCTACAGTCTTTTTTTTGTTTTTTTTGGTTAAATCCATTTTTGAGAAAAAACTAATATGTATTATGTTTGTTTAAATGGGATATAAATGCAGAAAATCATCAACTTGTTCCCACATTCTCACCCGCTTCTGCCCTAGTTTAGAAATCCTGCTAGCGTAAATAACTAGACCCTGGCCTCGTGTTCATGTATATACAATGCACTGCACCAGCTAAAAGACAGTGATATTTGGGTGACGTTCCTGGCTTTGAACTTCTATGGGGACGGTCGCTGTCTTCAAAGGGGGAAGAAAAACAAATCTGACCGACCCAGGTTCTGGCACCTAAAGGGCAATACAACATCTTTCTTTTTTTAAGCCTCATTGTGAAATCAGTACAACAATGCGTTGTATGGAGTACTAATCACACAGAATTTATCCTCTGATTTGTGATAGTAATCTTGATGTAAAAGTTGTGAATATTTTCATGAAAATTATCTAAATTACTATTCTTAAGCAAAACGTACCTTAGCTAAAGGCCCGTTGTCATCGACGTGGTCCGATACCTCCTTACTAAGCCGCATGGTAATTTGGATCACTCCGATCGCTTCCACAAACAAGACCAACGGCTCCACAATCCACACCAACTGACCATACAACCAGACCAGTGGGTAAGGTACAATGCTGATTGGAAGACAGATGATGACCACAAAGAACGCAATGGTGAATACTGGAAGAAGGATTTTCTGGGAACAGAGAGAGAGAGAGAGAAAAAAAAATGTAATTAATGGATAAATTTATGATTCAATGTTATAAAATGGAATTAATACTTTTTGTCTCTTTATGTTGTAAATTTAATGTGTTGTTGTTGTGTTTTTTTTTTTTTTTTTTTGGGGGGGTAAGACAATTTGGGGGCCTGGGGCTCTTGCACGTCAGATTTTCTGGCTTATATTCATTTATTATCAAGAAAAAACAAAATGTAGGGCTTGAGCACAAGCCCCCCCCCCCCCCCCCTCTAACTGCTACTGTTAGTGCTGAATTTGAACCTGAAAACGAGAGGTTTATTACCGTAATATCTTTCGATTTCACACTTCACTTGCTTTTCAGGGTCGAGTGATCTGTTGGTAATTGTGAAGAGCTTTCATCGGATATGTCTACCGGAGCTCTTCAATAGGATAAGATCAATCTGTGTTATTATTTGCTGGTTCTTTCACTTCAGAGGAAGGTCAAAAGGGGGTTTATTTTAATACAGTCATACGATAGGTGTGATGACCTGGCCTGGCTAGTAGAACTTTAGCTTACATTTAGCGCATGCGCAAATCGTTCATCCGATCTCGGCAAGTCGCAGCCTCATTTTACTAAATTGGTGCCGACAAGGGCCCTTTTTATTGGCTATCGCTAGGTTCCATTCACTCAATGCTATAAGATATTTGTGTGACGAGCAAGCTTGCGATTTTCCGGGGTTTTTTTCGATACCAAAATTATGATATTTCAGTCAAACCCTCTATTTGTTATGATTTTTTCACTTAAGTATTTACTTAAGTATTGAACTTAAGTTTAAGTCTTACTTAACTATTTTTAAAGTTAGAACAATTCTCATTTTCGTCATATTAAGGTACAAACTGGAAACTTATTATGAGATGTACGTTGATTTTTCTATTTTATGTCCTCTCGCCAAGAAATTAAAAAAGGGTGGCGCGACCCGAGGGAAAATTTAACCCCCCCCCAAAAAAAAAAATTTGATTTGATTTGATTTGATTTTTTTTTTTGATTTTTTTTTTTTTTAAAAACTTTGCAAGTATAACAAGTAATTTGATGAATTTTTATCATGATATTTTATTCCGGGTCATTGTCATATTTACCCTTGCACTAAATTATCTAAATTATCAATGTTATTCTAGAGGTCTATCTGTCTATGTTGGAATTTGTGAAATTTGTTACCCAATGTTACGAAGAAAACAAAATGAGAATGATCCTAGTTGTTTGGATTTTTTAAAGCTGTAATTATTTTCCTTATATTAAAAACAATATTGCATTTTCTTATTTTCACAAAAATTGCAGTACTCAAATTTCTGCAAGTCTTTTACTTTATATTCAAGTAAAATAAATTCTCTGTCTCAAAATGATATATACACCCGTCAATGAAAGTTTGATTTGAGGTTAACACACACACAGACTAGGCCGCTGCCCTAAGCTATGTGCACACAATACCATACCTGCCAACCCTTACGAATAATTCAGAATATTCTTTTTTTTTTATTTCTAGGATCTTTTTTTTAAACGAACGCGTGGCACAAGGTCGGGCAAATCAGGAACGTGTGGCGCCCCCGCCACGCCTTATCTGTGTACGCGAGGGCCTTGGAACTTACTACTGCAATGACGTGTGTGCGTCAGTTATGTGTGAAGTGCGCCACCTGTTCAAAGCATGACATGTCAAAGTCTTTGTGGTTGACGTAATATTACGTATTGACTTTGCCATTGAACGTAAGTTGCGCTTAGGTTGAGTAGGCCCTCTTTCACTTAAATTTGAAGCCACTCGAGTGGTTCGGCCAATGAGAGCGTGTAAACTCAGTGCACAGCGCTCAAAGTTCTTCGTGCCTGGTCTGGGATATTTACAGGGCTGAGAGAAAGAGATAGAGAGACTAAGTTGTGTATTATTAGTAGGGGCGCTGGTCCGAGAATAAGGATCGTCTTCATAAACGAGGATCGTCTTCGTAAACACGGACCGATGCGTCCTCAAAAATAAGGACCGTCTGCATTTTTGCAGACGTTTCATATTTTTGATCGGTGCATTGGCGATACAAAAAACGGATTCTGCGATGATTTTCTTGATGCATTTTACATTGACATTGTACAGAGACTTTCACATTATAAGCAATAAATCCTTGGGAAGACGGACAACCCATAAAAGTAGATGGTGAACTAGGGTTATTTTCCCCCGGGGAATCCATTTTTGGCATCGCCAGCAGGCCGTTCTGTAACATGAAACCCCCAGAGCGCCGATGAAAAAAAACGTCCTCAAAAATGCAGACAACCCTTATTTTTGAGGACGCATTTTGTCCTCGTTTATGAGGATATCCTTGTTTATGAGGACGATCCTCATTCTTGGACCAGCGCCCCTACTGATTATGTATTAAATATTAAGCAAAACTACAAGAATATAGACCTGGAAGCTCGACTGCTGTCTCAAAATTTTTCCAGTATTTTGGGGTTAACTTAACTTGAGCTTGAGGTACTAAAGCGGGAACAAATTAGACTAACGTTAGGGCTGCTTAGGCCTATTAATTTTTTATTTCTTATCGATTTTTGCTTAAACTTCCTCTGTCCTGTTTCTCTAATTTGTCTGCTTTTATTAAAACCCACAATCCCAAAAAATCGAAGGGTAGACTTAATAATTTAACGCACTCGTTCGGTACTTACCACAAATCTATTTACGAAACTCCCCAGAATCGCATACAACATCATGAGAAGAGAGTATCGGAGAGCAGTGTCAGGTCCACAAAACGACCCCACGACTGGCATGGCCACGATCCACAGCAATGGGAGAAAACTGACAATGTTGCCACAACCACAAGGAAGACACATTGTTGTATCCAAACAACCGGAAAATAACTTACAAAAAAACGAGATCAGACTTGTCAGAATGCAAATACACTTTGACTTTGAGCAGTGCAGACTGCAGTGTATGTATGGTAGATTTGTAATTTATTCGAATCCGTGTATCCATCCCGCGCCGAACGCGAAGACTACACGACACAGTTGGAATGATGAACTGTATACCGACCAACTGTCAGGTGACATATTTTCAGTCACGTGACCGAAATGCACTCTTCGAAATTTTGTTTAGGCTAAGCGCTCTCAAAACGGGTCTGTTCTTCGAAGAAGAAGAAGAGGAGGAGGAGGAGGAGGAGGAGGAGGAGGAGGAGGAGGAGGGGGAGGAGGAGGAGGAGGAGGAGGAGGAGGAGGAGGAGGAGGAGGAGGAGGAGGAGGAGGAGGTGGAGGAGGCGGGGGAGGGGGAGGAGGAGGGGGAGAAGGCGGCGGAGGGGGAGGACTCGGAGGACTCTGAGGACTCGGAGGACTCGGGGAGGAGGATGATGATGAGGAGGAGGGAGGGCAGGGAAGGAGGGAGGGAGGGAGGTCATTTGACGGGCATGCATTTTTCGAAACTGAACTTTTTGAGACTATAGACGTTCTTGAAAGTTTATGCTTTTCGAAAAAGAGGAGGAGAGGGAAGAGGAGGAAGAGACACCGGCGTACTGAAAATCAAACGTGGTTTATTTCTAACTTGAAACCAGTGATTTACAAATGTCGCTGAAATGACATGATTTTCCGGGTTTTTCCCCTCACGTTTGCCCATTATGCCAAAAGCGGCACTCCCGCTTGGGGGGGGGGGGGCTTTTTAGGTTCCCCAAAGTGCCCCTTTTTACATAGGACGTACACATGCAAGTGCCCATTTTATTTTTTAATTACTGTCCTTTTCCTCCCTTATCTCCTTTTTTACATTGACCCGTGCCCATTTTCCTATTTAATAAGTGTTATTTTACCTTCTTAAATAAGAACCCCCTTCCCTTTCTCTTAAATGCCACTTTTCACCTCTGATAAGTGCCCTTTTTATTTTTGACCCGTGGTCTTTTCCTTTCGGATAAGTACCTCTTTTCCTTTTTTATATTATGAGCCCCACCCCCTTTTCAAAATGCCCCTTTGCACATCCTATATATGCCCCTATTAAAATCTGATAGGTGCCCTTTTCCTTCAGATTCCCCATGTCCTTTCTCTCTAGGGCCTTTTTTCATCTCTGTTGAGTGTCCCTTTTCAGGTGCAAGAAATGCCATTTTCACCTCTGATAATTGATTTTATTTTGACACTAGCACCTTTTTTCCCCTTCTAATATCTGTCCTTTTCCCTTTTGATAAGTGCCTACTTTTCCTTTCTCCACAACATGCAATCCTAAGCGACTTAGAGCCCCCTTTTCTATTATTTTTCCTAGAATTCGCTCCCTCGCATTTATAGATGTTATAATTATGTTACTTATAAAAGAATTGTTCAGTCTTTCTTCATTAGATTGTGCTTAATACTCATCAGGGTCTGTTTTGTGTCTTCTTTATAAGATGTTATTGTTCGCACTGGGACTTCACAAACATTACATTTTTTGCTCGCACGCTTCGCTCGCTCGAAAATTAATATTCAGACCATCACATCAAACTGCAAAGTTTGTTGCTTATCTTGTACCACGTAAAGAAAGAAACAAATATTGATGTCATCCCTGGTAGTGTAATCACAATCATGACGATGTAGGCCGGGGGTATATACCAATATTGTTTTGATTTTTTTCCCTTTGTAGGTGCCCCTTTTTACCAGTAAGTGCCCTTTTTGTTGGTTCCCCCCTTATTTCGAAAGACAATAATGCGCATTTTGTTCTGACCCCCAAAAAAGTTTTTGCTCATTACGCCACTGGGAAGAGGTGAAGGCAGGGGCAGCGGAGCGTCTTTCAAAGTGGGGGGGGGGGCACCAACAAGGGGCAAACATATATAATTTGTTGACATTGAGATATACCAATACATTGTAATTACATTATCAGGGATGATTTCAATATTTGTTTCTCTCTTTACATGGTCCAAGATAGTGCCTTAAGTCTATATATCTGCACTAGTTTGGACAGGAGGGATTAGACCTCCCTGCGTGGTCACTGGCAGGTGGTTATCTCATCAAATCAGCTCTCAATTAAAATAAGAAAAAGGGGGCCATGGGAGAACAACGGGTACCGATTAGACATGGTTGGCTTTATAGAGGGCGCAAGTAGCTATAAGTAGTGCAGTCCCGCAGATTAAGTTTCATACTTTGTAGTTTGGTGTGAAGGTCTCATTATTCATTCAAATTTTAAGATTTGTGAGGTCGCAGTGGGAAAAATTGCAAAAAACACAATCCTAATGGGATTCTATGGACAATTTAATCATGAAAGAATGAAAAGACCTTTAAGAAGAAATGAAATTATACCATTTTTAAATGCGGGCGAGCTTTTAGTGAAATTAAATAATAAGGGTTACTCTTATTTGTCATTATGTTTTGGGCGAATTTTGGGCTCCGAACACTTTAGAGGGGCTTTAATGAGTGCAATGATGTGAGGTAACGTCCTTTTGGCTGTGAGCAGGCAATATACCGTGTGAGTCAAAAAAAAGTTTACACCTAGAAAATTGCTTTAAAAAATTTAATCATCTATGAACAGTAAATTATTATACATCTCGTGAAAGAGTGTTTTATCACAAATAATAATAATAATAATAATAATACATGAGATTTATATAGCGCCATTATCCATTTTAATTAGATGTTCAAGGCGCTTCAAAATATTAGGGAACACAAGAATCGTGTACATTTACATAAGAAAGAAAATGCAAAAATGAAAGAATGAATGAATGTCTGTCTTCAAAAATCATTTGGTATCATTTTTATGTGGTATGTGTTTACGCTTGGATGAACACAAAAATGATACCAAACGATTTGGGATTAAATACTCTTTCAAAAGATGTATAATAACTTGCGGTTCATAGATGATTTTAAAAATAATTAGCAATTTTCTAGGTGTAAATTTTTTTTTGACTCACACTGTAGTGTTATATTTGAAGACGCGCTTCTTAAAGATTTTTTTATTCGGGAATGGGGAGAGGAGACTTTCGAGGGCAAAGGCTCGTGCATGCACTTTATTACATGAGCCTCGCTTAAATTAATTTTGAATCAAGCTTGGATTTGAACCTGAAAACGAAAACGAGAGGTTTAGTTAATATCTTTCGATGTTGCACTTGACTTGCCTTTTAGGGTCGCGTGGGTCTCTTGGTAATTGTGAAGAGCTTTCATTGGATATGTCTCTCGGAGCTCTTCAGTAGGTTAAGATCAATCTTCGTTCACATTTGCTGGTTCTTTCACTTCTGAAGAGGGTCAAAGTGAGATAATTATTTTTAATTTTAATACAGTCATACGATTGGTTTGATGAGCTGGCCTGGGAAAACAGGGGTGAGAGAAAGAGAGAGAGAGAGGGGGGGAGGGGGGGGGGGGGCGATGAATACATACGGATAGGTACTGAAGTGACTAAAGGGGATCAAAGAGGGAAGATATACGAGAGGGATAAAGAGAGAGAGAGAGATAGAACAAGACAGACATAGACAGAGAGTAACAGAAATAGAGGTAGAGGAAAATACACAGAGAGAGAATGAGAGAGAAAGAGACCGAGAGAGGGAGAGAGAGAGAGAGAGGGGGGGGGGTCAGACAAGCACAAATATAAAATGTAGAAAGAATGAATAGAATGGTGTCGGTAAAGAGAGAGAGAGAGGGAGAGAGAGAGAGAGAGAGAGAGAGACATAAATATGTCGAAATTAGGAATAGTGAGGAGGGGGTAAAGAGAGAAGGGGGGGGGCATAGATAATAACAAAATAAAATTTCATAAAAAGATTAACACAAAGTATAACCTAGTTGGTTGTAATATTGCCTTAACTAAAAACGGATAACTACTTTTCCAGGTACTATTTCACTTACATTTCTTTCCAAGAGTTCTCACTAACAAATTCGTCAGGCAATTGTATGCTCAACGACAATGTCGTCAGTATTATGACGTTTTTTTTTACAGTAAAATCTATGCCAATAAGGGAGTTTACAGATAGCACATGGTACAAATGACCCCAAATATTCACAGATCTTTTACACATGGAGAAGTTCCCCTTTGAGCATATTAGAATAATAACTGCCAAAGTCCTAGCTGTGCTTCATGAATACCTTTTGTTTGCCCTCTTGAAAAGAATACTTCCACCTGCGTATCATAGAATGCACCGTTGGTGCATAAATGAATAATGTTACATAACTTTCATGGGCGCATATTCAGTATTCATCTCTGTGGGTGTTACCTTTTTGGTACAAATGACCTTCATCTGCCCATGCGCAGATTGCATCTGTAAATTCCCTTATAGATAATAATTAGCCCATATGATTGTAGTCATAAAAGAAAGTAGTTTATTTTTACGAACTTGCGACAAGTGCTTTGTTTACCGATAAATTTAACATCTCGGCGTTGAAGGTTAAACATAATACTTCCACCCGATCCCAGGTTGCTGGTTGTTTCAAGTTACCCTGATTCGTCGTCGCAGAAGTTTAGTCGAAACATCGCCGAAATAAGTATATTGATGGTGAAAACAGGCGCAGTCGCCAGTTTACCGCCAGAAGGTGGAGAGAGGTGTTTGCGATCCTTGAACTCAAGGCAACACACGTCACCAGAAGAGTTGGACGGACTGGTTATCCGTTTTTCGAATTTGCAGCGTGTATCAGAAAGACGCATCATTGATCAATGATGAGGCTTTTCGTTTGTCTTATCGTCTGCTTCTGTTCGGCAGTAGCTAACGCACAAGGTAAGACTGAACGTAAGAAATGTTTTCGGAACTCGAGAATTATTTCGACTTATTGGCCGTTTTATTGACTTTTAGTATAACACCTACATGTAACATTGAAATTCGTAGTAAAATTCAACCATAATTTATTGATTAAAATCCATATTGGATCATTCTCAATTTTCAGTTAACAAACGATACCAAAGATTTGTTTATATTTAAATACAGTAGACAAAAATATGTAATTGAAATGTCAAAAATTTAGTCAATATAATGCAAGAGATAATAATATACAAATATACACTGTCTTGAGAGGTTCTGGTTAAAACTATGCGCAAGAGGTGACTCCAGTAGCACTATTTGCTGAGGGGCGCAGCCCCGAAGCAAATGGTACTTTTGGAGTCACCGAGGCCCATAGTCTTAACCAGTACCTTGAATAGAAGGCATGGTATATTTGTTTTTTATCCTACATCAAACATTTATTCAAAAAAAAAAAATCCTTTTTTGGAGAAAAATAATTAAATTTAAAATTTAAAAAAATGTCAATTTTTATCAAAAAAGAATTAAAATATTTTGTTTTCATTAAATTAAGATTTGAAAAAGAAAAAGAAACATTCACAATTTTTTCAACTCCCAAATAGTACATCTACTCCCAAATGGTACTCATATAATACTTTTTCAGAGCAACCTTAAAATAGATGAAATATTTCTGGTCACGTGACGAGCTCTCAACCAGTCAAAAGCCAAAATTTTTGATGCATGATATAATATGTTGTATTTCTAGTGGCATATTTTTACATTCAACTTCAGCAAGGAGACAAATAATGATAAGGCAAAGTAAAATTGATCGCTATAGTCATGATAGTTTCTAGGTCGGAGTTCTCGATATTGAGGAGGAGCAGTTCCATTTTATTTGTTGATATTATTTTGTACATACAAAATGCAATCTGTTCTGATAACACAGATTTTGTTAATTCAATAGATTTGAATATGCACCACAGAGGCCCAATACAAGGTGAAATCTCAATATTTTTGTTTAGCACCTGGTCTAGATATCCTTTGATTTTTTATATATTTCATTTACAAATAATTTTATTTGCCCTAATATACACTCAGCAAATAAAAAAAAGGAAAAGAAAGTGGATGCTTATTGCTTTCCAAAATATTCATATAAACTGTCTATAAAATATGAGAAAACATATATCAAATTCAAGGAAAATTGAAACGCTACCAACATAAATTATCAAAGATCAAGTATTGTACTTGGATGGAGGGTCTGATAAAAAAAATAGCCAAAATAGGGCAAATATTCATTAACTGTAAATGAATATATGCATCTGTAAGATATTGTTGTGTAAAAATGAAGAAAAAAGAAAAAAGATAAATTGAGGAGGAATGAGCTATGGATGTCAACTACAACAGCAGTCCTTTTTGCCAAGCACAGTCAAGATACCTCCCCTTTCATTTTTCTCGTGATTTTTGTTTTGTTTCATTGTTGTAATTCGACTCTACACAATGGAACATCAACCTTTGAATGGCCAGATGCCCATTATTTGCTATTTTCTTTCCGAGACTCATATCTTGTTTAAAGACTCTCTAAAGTGTCGGGAGCCTCACAAATCTGATGGCAAAAATTTCCCCAAAATTGTATAATGATGTGAAAGAGGATGTCATTTAACACACACTTCTGCAAGGATTTTCAAAACAAATGTGTTATTAGACGAAGATGATGAAAGAATACAAACTGAGGTTGTGTGCGAACAACAAAAATCATAAATATGGTGTTCTCTCATTAATATTCCGCTTCAAAAACATTTGTTTTTAAAATTCTAGCAGAAGTGTGTGTTAAATGACATCCTCTTTCAATATAAAATTTAGGTGATTTTTTCCGTATTTTGGGGGCAGATTTTAGGCTCCCAACACTTTAGAGGGGCTTTAGGGGCTATGCTCACTCATGCGTGATTGGTATGATTCCAATTGCATATCATAATATGATAATTTTATGTTTAATTTGATATACGAGAGATAATTTATATTCAATACTTGAAATTCTTAATTGTAAACGGTATCTTTTTTTTTTTTTTTTGCTCAGTAAAACAATTTTTACATAAATAATACAAATAGAAGTAATCTTCTTATCATCAATATGGGCGTATACTCATCTTTGCTTTAGTATATCATCTTGTGACTTGAATTTACTAAGTAAAACTATAATTATTATAGAAATTTAATAGCCTTACATATTTCAAACAATGCTACAGTGATTGGAATTAAGTGTACACAAATGTATACATGTCTATGTTATATTAATACTAATAATATACACCGTTGGTCATAATGGTGGAATAAATATTTTTACCCCAATTTATTGAATGATTTTGACAATGATTTATTCCTACTAGATCTAGATAATAGTTTACATTCTCAGAATGTATTAAATGACAATTGGGGAGTGTTTGTTTTGGGTGACTGTTAAAGCATGTGTGTGCTACAATGCTAATCAACTATATAGGGGACCTACGTCCTTACGTCATAACTGACAGTAATGGGGATTAATACCTAATAAAAGGGCACTAATATAGCATATCGACACGGTTTTGATCCTGGGGGCTAACAGTAACAAGACCATTGCTTAGCCAATGAATAATTACTGTACGCAGCGGGCGCTAGGGTACGTCGACGCCCCCACAAAAACAAACAACAAAGAAAATGCAGTAATTTGTCAATAATTCATTGCATTTTGCTCCGACCCCCAACATAAAAAAAATCTTCTATGTGGGCATGCCTTGGACCATAATGCATGGCCCTACAGAGGAATTTTTCCTGTTGGTAACTTGAAAGGTTTTTTCCCCCCAAAAAAACAATCACATAAAAAAAAACTGAAGGGGAGGGGGGTTTAACCCCAACCCCCCCTTGCGTAAACGCCTGTCATGAAGATTGTCTCATCTTGATTTCTGCTAAGATCGTCTATAATTTTAGCGCTATTATTAACACCTGTCAAAATAATCTACATGAAAAAGATCTCTTTTAAATGCTTTTCAGGATTGCCCCTGCAGTGTTGATTAATTGAATAAAACTATCACATTTGATTTTGTTTTTCTTTTAAATGGATCAGAGTTACAATTGTTAAGTGTTTTTATAATGAATTCAGATCAAAGGAGAATATTACCCAAGGGACAAGGTAAGACTGCATGTTGTGCGTGAACAAAAGGGGGCGGACAAAGTAATTATTGAGGGGGTTGTGCTATAGTAAGAATTAAAATATTGCAGCGAAAGGAGCGTATTACATCAACCGGGTTAAGTGGGTGCGCACATCTTGGATATCTCTTGACAAATTTTCGGAGGGGGGGGGGGGGGTCACTACCCGAGAAAATATCCCATAATGAGAATGTGGTATATTTCCTATTTTCCTTCATATAAAGTAATGTTGTGGGATACATTTCTTCACTTTCGAGTGAAAGAAACTAATAAAGACCCCCAAATGTGACCATCCTGCAGCAGTGATTTTGGAAGAATAATTGGGGGGGGGGGGGGGCTGGGGGAGGGGTCGGGTTCTTGCAGTCATATTCTACATGTAGCTCGCGAAAATAATGAGGGGCTTGCAAAAATTGGGTGGGGCATGAGCTCCTGAAATACCCCTAGAGCGGCTACTGCCCTATTAAAATTTAATTTATGATTATTGTTTGTAAATTTTGTGGTTTACATCAAAAATAAAAAATAAGAACCAATTACTGCAGCTGGATGGAGAGTGGCAAATGTAGATTAATGTCTAGGATAAAGGAGATTGTTCTTATGAATTACTAAAGGTTCGATCAAAGTATTTCAAGAAATAATTTCCCCATAGACTTAACAAAAAGGAAAGAGCTTAATGCGAATTAAAACTTGGTGTGCGAATAATCTGATGTATTACACTAGAGGTATCGTGGTCGTATGGACACGTCACCAGACTGTCGATCACACACAAGGTCCGCGGTTCGAGTCCCGCCGCGGCACTAATATCCTTTAGCAAGACATTGATCTACATTCGCCACACTCGACCAAGAAGATGTAAGTGGGTTCCTGGTAGGAATTAACTCCTTGAAATGCTAGAGCTCCTTAATGGCAGCTGTGCTAAAGCCAGGTTAATAATTTATCTCTGTGCCTCAGAATAGTTTACTAGATCGATGGCGCATACTAAATGCTGTATTATTACACTCTCACCAAATTCAGTATCAATCCGTCTAGTCGATGGCTCATCAAGTAACGAAGGTCGAGTTGAAGTCAATTACAACGGACAATGGGGAACCGTCTGTGATGATCTCTGGGACGACACCGATGCGGCAGTGGTGTGTCAAATTCTTGGTCTAGGTGAGACTGGGAGTGCCCTTAGTAATGCTGCCTTTGGACAAGGGAGTGGAGACATCATTCTGGACAATGTTGAGTGCGTTGGAACTGAAACGGATCTCTTCTCGTGTCCTAGTAACGGACCACTCAATCACAACTGCGGGCATAGTGAAGACGCAGGAGTGCAATGCATCAGCACACCATCCGGTGAGTGTTGTCATTTAAAAGCCTTAAAGGCATCTTTTTGTTTGATAACTTGACAATATTAGGAAATGTATATACTCCATTACCTTTGACTGAAAAAAAAGGATAAACTGATGGAAAAATCCAAAGCTACGCTTTAGATAATAAACGGTTGCTTCTTTAACATGATACACATGCACAAATATCTAAACAAGTTCGCGATCAACATCAATGAAAATAAGTTAAGGAGCGGCAGTAAACCATTAAATTGGTGAGTTTCGTTATTTGCAAGGCAAAACGACATCTATTTCAACTTGTTAGATGTTAAGTCAAAATAACTCAAGTTGCATCTCTAGGATAAAAAAAGATTGTTCTTATGAATTACTAAAGGTTCGATCAAAGTCTTTCAAGAAATAATTTCCCCATAGACTTAACAAAAAGGAAAGAGCTTAATGCGAATTAAAACTTGGTGTGCGAATAATCTGATGTATTACACTAGAGGTGTCGTGGTCGTATGGACACGTCACCAGACTGTCGATCACACACAAGGTCCGCGGTTCGAGTCCCGCCGCGGCACTAATATCCTTTAGCAAGACATTGATCTACATTCGCCACACTCGACCAAGAAGATGTAAGTGGGTTCCTGGTAGGAATTAACTCCTTGAAATGCTAGAGCTCCTTAATGGCAGCTGTGCTAAAGCCAGGGTAATAATTTATTTCTGTGCCTCAGAATAGTTTACTAGATCGATGGCGCATAATAAATGCTGTATTATTACACTCTCGCCAAATTCAGTATCAATCCGTCTAGTCGATGGCTCATCAAGTAACGAAGGTCGAGTTGAAGTCAATTACAACGGACAATGGGGAACCGTCTGTGATGATCTCTGGGACGACACCGATGCGGCAGTGGTGTGTCAAATTCTGGGTCTAGGTGAGACTGGGAGTGCCCTTAGTAATGCTGCCTTTGGACAAGGGAGTGGGGACATCATTCTGGACAATGTTGAGTGCGTTGGAACTGAAACGGATCTCTTCTCGTGTCCAAGTAACGGACCACTCAGTCACAACTGCGGGCATAGTGAAGACGCAGGAGTGCAATGCATCAGCACACCATCCGGTGAGTGTTGTCATTTAAAAGCCTTAAAGGCATCTTTTTGTTTGATAACTTAACAATATTAGGAAATGTATATACTCCAATACCTTTGACTGAAAAAAAAGGATAAAACTGATGGAAAAATCCAAAGCTACGCTTTAGATAATAAACGGTTGCTTCTTTAACATGATACACATGCACAAATATCTAAACAAGTTCGCGATCAACATCAATGAAAATAAGTTTAGGAGCGGCAGTAAACCATTAAATTGGTGGGTTTCGTTATTTGCAAGGCAAAACGACATCTATTTCAACTTGTTAGATGTTAAGTCAAAATAACTCAAGTTGCATCTCTAGGATAAAAAAGATTGTTCTTATGAATTACTAAAGGTTCGATCAAAGTATTTCAAGAAATAATTTCCCCATGGACTTAACAAAAAGGAAAGAGCTTAATGCGAATTAAAACTTGGTGTGCGAATAATCTGATGTATTACACTAGAGGTGTCGTGGTCGTATGGACACGTCACCAGACTGTCGATCACACACAAGGTCCGCGGTTCGAGTCCCGCCGCGGCACTAATATCCTTTAGCAAGACATTGATCTACATTCGCCACATTCGACCCAGAAGATGTAAGTGGGGACCTGGTAGGAATTAACTCCTTGAAATGCTAGAGCTCCTTAATGGCAGCTGTGCTAAAGCCAGGGTAATAATTTATCTCTGTGCCTCAGAATAGTTTACTAGATCGATGGCGCATAATAAATGCTGTATTATTACACTCTCGCCAAATTCAGTATCAATCCGTCTAGTCGATGGCTCATCAAGTAACGAAGGTCGAGTTGAAGTCAATTACAACGGACAATGGGGAACCGTCTGTGATGATCTCTGGGACGACACCGATGCGGCAGTGGTGTGTCAAATTCTTGGTCTAGGTGAGACTGGGAGTGCCCTTAGTAATGCTGCCTTTGGACAAGGGAGTGGAGACATCATTCTGGACAATGTTGAGTGCGTTGGAACTGAAACGGATCTCTTCTCGTGTCCTAGTAACGGACCACTCAGTCACAACTGCGGGCATAGTGAAGACGCAGGAGTGCAATGCATCAGCACACCATCCGGTCAGTGTTGTCATTTAAAAGCCTTAAAGGCATCTTTTTGTTTGATAACTTGACAATATTAGGAAATGTATATACTCCATTACCTTTGACTGAAAAAAAGGATAAAACTGATGGAAAAATCCAAAGCTACGCTTTAGATAATAAACGGTTGCTTCTTTAACATGATACACATGCACAAATATCTAAAAAAAAATCGCGATCAACATCAATGAAAATAAGTTTAGGAGCGGCAGTAAACCATTAAATTGGTGAGTTTCGTTATTTGCAAGGCAAAACGACATCTATTTCAACTTGTTAGATGTTAAGTCAAAATAACTCAAGTTGCATCTCTAGGATAAAAAAGATTGTTCTTATGAATTACTAAAGGTTCGATCAAAGTCTTTCAAGAAATAATTTCCCCATGGACTTAACAAAAAGGAAAGAGCTTAATGCGAATTAAAACTTGGTGTGCGAATAATCTGATGTATTACACTAGAGGTGTCGTGGTCGTATGGACACGTCACCAGACTGTCGATCACACACAAGGTCCGCGGTTCGAGTCCCGCCGCGGCACTAATATCCTTTAGCAAGACATTGATCTACATTCGCCACACTCGACCCAGAAGATGTAAGTGGGTATCTGGTAGGAATTAACTCCTTGAAATGCTAGAGCTCCTTAATGGCAGCTGTGCTAAAGCCAGGGTAATAATTTATTTCTGTGCCTCAGAATAGTTTACTAGATCGATGGCGCATACTAAATGCTGTATTATTACACTCTCGCCAAATTCAGTATCAATCCGTCTAGTCGATGGCTCATCAAGTAACGAAGGTCGAGTTGAAGTCAATTACAACGGACAATGGGGAACCGTCTGTGATGATCTCTGGGACGACACCGATGCGGCAGTGGTGTGTCAAATTCTGGGTCTAGGTGAGACTGGAAGTGCCCTTAGTAATGCTGCCTTTGGACAAGGGAGTGGAGACATCATTCTGGACAATGTTGAGTGCGTTGGAACTGAAACGGATCTCTTCTCGTGTCCTAGTAACGGACCACTCAGTCACAACTGCGGGCATAGTGAAGACGCAGGAGTGCAATGCATCAGCACACCATCCGGTGAGTGTTGTCATTTAAAAGCCTTAAAGGCATCTTTTTGTTTGATAACTGGACAATATTAGGAAATGTATATACTCCATTACCTTTGACTGAAAAAAAAGGATAAAACTGATGGAAAAATCCAAAGCTACGCTTTAGATAATAAACGGTTGCTTCTTTAACATGATACACATGCACAAATATCTAAACAAGTTCGCGATCAACATCAATGAAAATAAGTTTAGGAGCGGCAGTAAACCATTAAATTGGTGAGTTTCGTTATTTGCAAGGCAAAACGACATCTATTTCAACTTGTTAGATGTTAAGTCAAAATAACTCAAGTTGCATCTCTAGGATAAAAAAGATTGTTCTTATGAATTACTAAAGGTTCGATCAAAGTATTCAAGAAATAATTTCCCCATGGACTTAACAAAAAGGAAAGAGCTTAATGCGAATTAAAACTTGGTGTGCGAATAATCTGATGTATTACACTAGAGGTGTCGTGGTCGTATGGACACGTCACCAGACTGTCGATCACACACAAGGTCCGCGGTTCGAGTCCCGCCGCGGCACTAATATCCTTTAGCAAGACATTGATCTACATTCGCCACATTCGACCCAGAAGATGTAAGTGGGGACCTGGTAGGAATTAACTCCTTGAAATGCTAGAGCTCCTTAATGGCAGCTGTGCTAAAGCCAGGGTAATAATTTATCTCTGTGCCTCAGAATAGTTTACTAGATCGATGGCGCATAATAAATGCTGTATTATTACACTCTCGCCAAATTCAGTATCAATCCGTCTAGTCGATGGCTCATCAAGTAACGAAGGTCGAGTTGAAGTCAATTACAACGGACAATGGGGAACCGTCTGTGATGATCTCTGGGACGACACCGATGCGGCAGTGGTGTGTCAAATTCTTGGTCTAGGTGAGACTGGGAGTGCCCTTAGTAATGCTGCCTTTGGACAAGGGAGTGGAGACATCATTCTGGACAATGTTGAGTGCGTTGGAACTGAAACGGATCTCTTCTCGTGTCCTAGTAACGGACCACTCAATCACAACTGCGGGCATAGTGAAGACGCAGGAGTGCAATGCATCAGCACACCATCCGGTGAGTGTTGTCATTTAAAAGCCTTAAAGGCATCTTTTTGTTTGATAACTTGACAATATTAGGAAATGTATATACTCCATTACCTTTGACTGAAAAAAAGGATAAAACTGATGGAAAAATCCAAAGCTACGCTTTAGATAATAAACGGTTGCTTCTTTAACATGATACACATGCACAAATATCTAAACAAGTTCGCGATCAACATCAATGAAAATAAGTTTAGGAGCGGCAGTAAACAATTAAATTGGTGAGTTTCGTTATTTGCGAGGCAAAACGACATCTATTTCAACTTGTTAGATGTTAAGTCAAAATAACTCAAGTTGCATCTCAAGGATAAAAAAAGATTGTTCTTATGAATTACTAAAGGTTCGATCAAAGTCTTTCAAGAAATAATTTCCCCATAGACTTAACAAAAAGGAAAGAGCTTAATGCGAATTATAACTTGGTGTGCGAATAATCTGCATGTATTACATTAGAGGTGTCGTGGTCGTATGGACACGTCACCAGACTGTCGATCACAAGGTTCGCGGTTCGAGTCCCGCCGCGGTACTAATATCCTTTAGCAAGACGTTTATCCACATTCGCCAGACTCGACCCAGAATATGTAAATTGGTACCTGGTAGGAATTAACTCCTTGAAATGCTAGAGCGCCTTAATGGCAGCTGTGCTAAAGCCATGGTAATAATTTCTCTCTGTGCCTCAGAATAGTTTACTAGATCGATGTCGCATAATAAATGCTGTATTGTTACACTCTCGCCAAATTCAGTATCAATCCGTCTAGTCGATGGCTCATCAAGTAACGAAGGTCGAGTTGAAGTCAATTTTAACGGACAATGGGGAACCGTCTGTGATGATCTCTGGGACGACACCGATGCGGCAGTGGTGTGTCAAATTCTGGGTCTAGGTGAGACTGGAAGTGCCCTTAGTAATGCTGCCTTTGGACAAGGGAGTGGAGACATCATTCTGGACAATGTTGAGTGCGTTGGAACTGAAACGGATCTCTTCTCGTGTCCTAGTAACGGACCACTCAGTCACAACTGCGGGCATAGTGAAGACGCAGGAGTGCAATGCATCAGCACACCATCCGGTCAGTGTTGTCATTTAAAAGCCTTAAAGGCATCTTTTTGTTTGATAACTTGACAATATTAGGAAATGTATATACTCCATTACCTTTGACTGAAAAAAAAGGATAAACTGATGGAAAAATCCAAAGCTACGCTTTAGATAATAAACGGTTGCTTATTTAACATGATACACATGCACAAATATCTAAACAAGTTCGCGATCAACATCAATGAAAATAAGTTTAGGAGCGGCAGTAAACCATTAAATTGGTGAGTTTCGTTATTTGCAAGGCAAAACGACATCTATTTCAACTTGTTAGATGTTAAGTCAAAATAACTCAAGTTGCATCTCTAGGATAAAAAAGATTGTTCTTATGAATTACTAAAGGTTCGATCAAAGTATTTCAAGAAATAATTTCCCCATAGACTTAACAAAAAGGAAAGAGCTTAATGCGAATTAAAACTTGGTGTGCGAATAATCTGATGTATTACACTAGAGGTGTCGTGGTCGTATGGACACGTCACCAGACTGTCGATCACACACAAGGTCCGCGGTTCGAGTCCCGCCGCGGCACTAATATTCTTTAGCAAGACATTGATCTACATTCGCCACATTCGACCCAGAAGATGTAAGTGGGGACCTGGTAGGAATTAACTCCTTGAAATGCTAGAGCGCCTTAATGGCAGCTGTGCTAAAGCCATGGTAATAATTTCTCTCTGTGCCTCAGAATAGTTTACTAGATCGATGGCGCATAATAAATGCTGTATTGTTACACTCTCGCCAAATTCAGTATCAATCCGTCTAGTCGATGGCTCATCAAGTAACGAAGGTCGAGTTGAAGTCAATTACAACGGACAATGGGGAACCGTCTGTGATGATCTGTGGGACGACACCGATGCGGCAGTGGTGTGTCAAATTCTTGGTCTAGGTGAGAGCGGGAGTGCCCTTGGGAGTGCTGCCTTTGGAGAAGGGAGTGGAGACATCATTCTGGACAATGTTGAGTGTGTCGGAACTGAAACGGATCTCTTCTCGTGTCCTAGTAACGGTCCACTCAGTCACAACTGCGGGCATGGAGAAGACGCAGGAGTGCAATGCATCAGCACACCATCCGGTGAGTGTTGTCATTTGAAAGCCTTAAAGATATATTTTTGTTTGATAACTTGACAATATTTGGAAATGTATATACTCCATTACCTTTGACTAAAATAATGAAGGTAAGACTGATGGCAAATTGTCAATGCTACAGTTTAGATCGTAAACGCTAACTTCTTTAATATGATACACTGACACAAATATTTAAAAAAGATCGCGATCAACATCAATGAGAATGTAGTTTAGGAACATCAGCATACCCTTTGGTGAGTTTCGTTATTTGCAAGGCAAAACGACATCTATTTCAAGTGTAACTTGTAAGCTGTTAAAGGTACTATGTCCCTTTTGCAGCCAACCTCAAATTCTGTAGAACTTTGCAGGAATTATGAATATGTCATGGATGTCCTATCTGTGAAATTTAAACGTTAGCAGTGTCCTAATATTCATATTATGCAAGCAAACCCGTTTACTTGCTAGACTTCACTGCCAGACACTATTGAGTGACTGACTGGCTTTTTTCTTCTCTGGTAATAACATACATGAGCATTTGTTTACATCAACAACCCACTTCTTGTGATGGCCAAAATTAAACTGATTAAATCTTTGCGCAGCATAAAGTACGACCATTCGGTACAATGGTCTGAAAATCAAGACTATTACTTATTGGCTCTATTGCTCCTAAGTCGATTTGACAATTAATAGTCGTTATTTTCCCACTTGAAGACTTTTTCAAGCCCCACTTTCTTTAGGGAAGTTCTAAATTAGTATTATCTATCAAATGCCGTAGGTATTTAACCTTTTCATTTTTTTGGCCTGCAAATGGGACATAGTACCTTTAAGTAAAAAAAAACTTAAGTTGCATCTCTAGGATAAAGGAGATTGTTCTTATGACTTACTAAAGATTCGATCAATGTATTTCAAGAAATAATTTCCCAAAAGACATAACAAGAAGGAAAGAGCTTTATGCGAATTATAACTTAGTGTGCGAATAATCTGATGTATTACACTAGATGTGTCGTGGTCGTATGGACACGTCATCAGACTGTCGATCACAAGGTCCGCGGTTCGAGTCCCGCCGCGGCACTAATATCCTTTAGCAAGACATTGATCTACATTCGCCACACTCGACCCAAAAGATGTAAGTGGGTACCTGGTAGGAATTAACTCCTTGAAATGCTAGAGCGCCTTAATGGCAGCTGTGCTAAAGCCAGGTTAATAATTTATCTCTGTGCCTCACAATAGCTTACTAGATCGATGGCGCATACTAAATGCTGTATTATTACACTCTCACCAAATTCAGTATCAATCCGTCTAGTCGATGGCTCATCAAGTAACGAAGGTCGAGTTGAAGTCAATTACAACGGACAATGGGGAACCGTCTGTGATGATCTCTGGGACGACACCGATGCAGCAGTCGTGTGTCAAATTCTTGGTCTAGGTGAGAGCGGGAGTGCCCTTGGGAGTGCTGCCTTTGGACAAGGTAGTGGAGACATCATTCTGGACAATGTTGAGTGTGTCGGAACTGAAACGGATCTCTTCTCGTGTCCTAGTAACGGACCACTCAGTCACAACTGCGGGCATGGAGAAGACGCAGGAGTGCAATGCATCAGCACACCATCCGGTGAGTGTTGTCATTTGAAAGCCTAAAAGGTATCTTTTTGTTTGACAACTTGACAGTATTGGGAAATGTATATACTCCATTGCCTTTGACTGAAAAAAAAGAAGGTAAGACTGATGGCAAAATGCCAATGCTACGCTTTAGAAAAGAAACGGTTGCTTCTTTAATATGATACACTGACACAAATATTTAAAAAAGATTGCGATCAACATCAATGAGAATGAGTTTAGGAACGGCAGCATACCCTTTGGTGAGTTTTATTATTTGCAAGGCAAAACGACATCTATTTCAAGTGTAACTTGTTAGATGTTAAGTCAAAAGAACTCAAGTTGCATCTGTAGGATAAAGGAGATTGTTTTTCATGACTTACTAAAGGTTCGATCAAATATTTCAAGAAATAATTTCCCAAAAGACTAAACAAAAAGGAAAGAGCTGATGCAAATTATAACTTGGTGTGCAAATAATCTGATGTATTATACTAGAGGTGTCGCGGTCGTATGGACACGTCACCAGACTGTCGATCACAAGGTTCGCTGTTCGATTCCCGCCACTGCACTAATATCCTTTGGCAAGACATTGATCTACATTCGCCATAATCGACCCAGAAGATGTCAGTGGGTACCTGGTAGGAATTAACTCCTTGAAATGCTAGAGCACCTTAATGGCAGCTGTGCTAAAGCCAGGTTAATAATTTATCTCTGTGCCTCAGAATAGCTTACTAGATCGATGGCCTATAATAAATGCTGTATTACTACACTCTCGCCAAATTCAGTATCAATCCGTCTAGTCGATGGCTCATCAAGTAACGAAGGTCGAGTTGAAGTCAATTACAACGGACAATGGGGAACCGTCTGTGATGATCTGTGGGACGACACCGATGCAGCAGTCGTGTGTCAAATTCTTGGTCTAGGTGAGAGCGGGAGTGCCCTTAGTAATGCTGCCTTTGGACAAGGGAGTGGAGACATCATTTTGGACAATGTTGAGTGTGTCGGAACTGAAACGGATCTTTTCTCGTGTCCTAATAACGGACCACTCATTCACAACTGCGGGCATGGTGAAGACGCAGGAGTGCAATGCAGCAGCACATCATCCGGTGAGTGTTGTCATTTGAAAGCCTAAAAGTTATCTGTTTGTTTGATAACTTGACAATATTTGGAAATTTATATACTCCATTACCTTTGACTAAAATAATGAAGGTAAGACTGATGGCAAATTGTCAATGCTACAGTTTAGATCGTAAACGCTAACTTCTTTAATATGATACACTGACACAAATATTAAAAAAAAGATTGCAATCAACATCAATGAGAATGAGTTTAGGAAGGGCAGCATACCCTTTGGTGAGTTTTATTATTTGCAAGGCAAAACGACATCTATTTCAACTGTAACTTGTTAGATGATAAGTCAAAAGAACTCAAGTTGCATCTCTAGGATAAAGGAGATTGTTCTTATGACTTACTAAAGGTTCGATCAAAGTATTTCAAGAAATAATTTCCCAAAAGATTAAACAAAAAGGAAAGAGCTTTATGCAAATTATAACTTGGTGTGCAAATAATCTGATGTATTATACTAGAGGTGTCGCGGTCGTATGGACACGTCACCAGACTGTCGATCACAAGGTTCGCTGTTCGATTCCCGCCACTGCACTAATATCCTTTGGCAAGACATTGATCTACATTCGCCATAATCGACCCAGAAGATGTCAGTGGGTACCTGGTAGGAATTAACTCCTTGAAATGCTAGAGCACCTTAATGGCAGCTGTGCTAAAGCCAGGTTAATAATTTATCTCTGTGCCTCAGAATAGCTTACTAGATCGATGGCCTATAATAAATGCTGTATTACTACACTCTCGCCAAATTCAGTATCAATCCGTCTAGTCGATGGCTCATCAAGTAACGAAGGTCGAGTTGAAGTCAATTACAACGGACAATGGGGAACCGTCTGTGATGATCTGTGGGACGACACCGATGCGGCAGTGGTGTGTCAAATTCTTGGTCTAGGTGATACTGGGAGTGCCCTTAGTAATGCTGCCTTTGGACAAGGGAGTGGAGACATCATTCTGGACAATGTTCAGTGTGTCGGAACTGAAACGGATCTTTTCTCGTGTCCTAATAACGGACCACTCATTCACAACTGCGGGCATGGTGAAGACGCAGGAGTGCAATGCAGCAGCACACCATCCGGTGAGTGTTGTCTTTTGAAAGCCTAAAAGATATATTTTTGTTTGATATCTTGACAATATTTATAAAAATGTACATACTCAACCAGCTTTGACTAAAAAAGTGAAGGTAAGACTGATGGTTAATTGTCAATGTTACGGTTTATATCGTAAACAGTTGCTTCTTTAATTTGATATACTTACATAAATATTTAAAAAGCATTGCGATCAACACCAATGGGAATAGGTTTAGGAGCGGCAGCACACCATCTGGTGATTTAAGTCATCTAAAAGCCAAAATGGTATCATTCCTGTTATAACTTATAAGCTTTTTATTCAAAAGATTTTAAGTTACGTTTCTAAGATGAACGAGATTTTTCTGATGACTTAATGAGGGTACGGTCAAGTTATTCCAAAAACTAATTTCTCAAAACACTTCAAAAGGAAAGAGATATACTAGGCAGAGAATCAAACTTGGTGTGCGAATGTTTTTATGTATTACTCTTTTGTCAGCCTTGACAGCATCAATACGTCTTGTCGATGGCTCATCAAGTAACGAAGGTCGAGTCGAAGTCAATTACAACGGACAATGGGGAACCGTCTGTGATGATCTCTGGGACGACACCGATGCAGCAGTCGTGTGTCAAATTCTTGGTCTAGGTGAGACCGGGAGTGCCCTTAGTAATGCTGCCTTTGGACAAGGTAGTGGAGACATCATTCTGGACAATGTTCAGTGTGTCGGAACTGAAACGGATCTCTTCTCGTGTCCTAGTAACGGACCACTCAGTCACAACTGCGGGCACGGTGAAGACGCTGGGGTACGATGCAACAGCACATCATCCGGTACAGTGTGTAGGTGTTGTTATTTGAAAGTCTTAAGCGTTAACCTTTTCATATTTTGTTCAATACCGTTTGAACAGACTTACATTGCCTAATTGTGTGTTGATTGTATATCCTGGTTTGTGTATATTACAATGTGACGTCTTGTGATGAGATCATCTGCTTTAATAATGGAACCTGCCAAATGCAACCCACTGGTCCAATCTGTTTATGTAGACCTGGATTCTTTGGAGACGAGTGTGAACATTGTAAGTAAGGCAGTATGATTATTAAAATGAAAGAAAGGGAACGCAATATTGATATTATCTATTTGGAGTTTGGTATGATTAAGTCTTTTTTCAATTTGGTATGCATTTGTCTCTCACTTCGAGCTTTCTCGGACCATTGTTCTTTACAAGTATTATTTAACATTTGTTTTAGAAACATGTTGCAAATAAATCTGGTAGATGATAAGAAGCGAAATTTTATCGGTGGTGACATGAGATGTTTTTGACAATACTCTATTCGTAATGATTTTTACGCTTATGGAATTATTTTTTAAGAGCGATGCGAATAAAACTTGTTGATATTTTCAATATCAATTGACATTCATTTTACCTTTACATTAAAAATTTGCTTAAAACTTGCAGATATTTTTTTTCCTACCCCATTAGCCAAATTACTAATTAATGAAATTAACCTATTTTCGTGATTATTTCTAAATAAAAGTAGTGACATTCTTTCATATATTTTATATTAATATGAAAACAATTGCTTTAGCTAGACGCTTTTTTATATAGCAAGTCCATGCATCAGGAAGTTTGTTGATTACTCTTAACTCTTGTAATCATTCGATTGTATCTGTCATCGTTCAGTTTAGTTTTTTTAATGTCATGTTTTCTCCATTTTAGCTCGAAATCCTTGTTCCAACTCCTTTTGTCATAATGGTGGTAGCTGTATTGCTCCAGCAGACCTTCCGATGTGTATTTGCCAGCTTGGATTTAGTGGGGAGTTCTGTCAGGAACGTGAGTTCTCTTTAACATTGATAATCCATCGCAAAACTTTAAGTGGTCACAATTTTAGTGTGTGATCGATATCATTTCATTTTATATTCATTGGAGGATCAAACAGTAACCTTCATCCGTACAACTATGGAAATCGAAATTGGAAAAATTCTTACAAATTAAGTATTGACAGTATTGATACTTAGTATAGGTAGTAATTGTAATCATGCTGTGTCTTATAGAACTAAGATTTATTGATCATGAATATTATATGTTACATTCCATACCACTGTCTTGCGTCGTGTTATGAGGATGGTAAGAAAAACAAATCTATATTAAGCATTTTCAGGCGTGCACGTAAGCCTACATTGTTAAAAGACGAAGCTACAAACATTCCTTGTGCAGATGTGTAATTAAAACTACCACATACACCTTGCATGTAATTAAAGCTACTTCAATAGGTTCAATCAGTTTTATCGATGGCTCATCAAGTACACCATTTGGTAAAATTTGCCATTTTAAATGCAAAACGATTTCCCCCCCCCCCCAGTATAACTTATAAGCTTTTAAGTCTACATATTTCAAGTTGCTTCTCTAGGGTATAGACAAGATTGTTCTTATGACTTACTATGGGTTAGGTCAAGGTACTTCGAGAAATGTTTAAGGGGCTTAATTTTCGAGTGCTTTTAATACATCCACAGGGGCGCCCAAATGCATGACAATTTTCAAAATTTCTCAAAACTTTGCATTACCTTTAAGCAGGCACGTAGCCACGGGGGGGGGGGGGGGCACGTGCCCCCCCTAAAATTTCCAAGATCGGTTGAACTTTTTTAGACCCCTTTTTTTTACCTCGATCGATTACATGTAGGTGCCCCCCCCCAAACATCGAACTCTGGCTACGTGCCTGCCTTTAAGTCAAAGAATTTCAAGTTGCTTCTCAATATTGTTATTGTGACTTAATTAGGGTTAGGTCAAGGTATTTCAAGAACAATTTTCGCAAAATAATTCAAAAAAGAGTTATATGCAGAATATAAAACTTGGTGTGCCAGTGATTTGATGTACTACTCTTTTGCCAACTTTAGCATCAATCCGTCTAGTCGATGGCTCATCAAATAACGAAGGTCGAGTTGAAGTCAATTACAACGGACAATGGGGCACCGTATGTGATGATCTCTGGGACGACACCGATGCTACAGTCGTGTGTCAAATTCTTGGTCTAGGTGAGACTGGGAGTGCCCTTGGAAGTGCTGCCTTTGGACAAGGTAGTGGAGACATCATTCTGGACAATGTTGAGTGTGTCGGAACTGAAACGGATCTCTTCTCGTGTCCTAGTAACGGACCACTCAGTCACAACTGCGGGCATGGTGAAGACGCAGGAGTGCAATGCAGCAGCACACCATCAGGTGAGTGTTGTCATTTGAAAGCCTTAACGATTTCTTTCTGTTTTATTACTTAACAATACTAGGTTATTTGTATATTTCATTACCTGTGAATGAAAAAAAGAAAGTAAAACCGACGGCAAAGGGTCAATAAACAGGTTTAGAACGTAAATAGTTGCTTCTTTAATATGACACATCGACAGGAATATTCTAACAAATATTGCGATCAATACCATTCAGAATGGGTTTAGGAGCAGCAGCACACCATCTGGTGAGTTTCGTTATTTGAAAGCCAATATGGTATCAATTTCTGTTTTAACTTATAAGCTTATAATTCAAAAGATTTCAAGTTACGTTTCTAGGATTAACAAGATTGTTCTTATGACTTAATGAAGCATATGTCAAGATATTCAAAACAATAAGTTCTGAGAACACTTTAAAATGAAAGAGATATAGGCAAAATATTAAACTTGGTGTGTAAATGATTTAATATACTACTATTTTGCCAACCCACTCAGCATCACTCCGTCTAGTCGATGGCTCATCAAGTAACGAAGGTCGAGTTGAAGTCAATTACAACGGACAATGGGGAACCGTCTGTGATGATCTCTGGGACGACACCGATGCAGCAGTCGTGTGTCAAATTCTTGGTCTAGGTGAGAGCGGGAGTGCCCTTGGAAGTGCTGCCTTTGGACCAGGTAGTGGAGACATCATTCTGGACAATGTTGAGTGTGTCGGAACTGAAACGGATCTCTTCTCGTGTCCTAGTAACGGACCACTCAGTCACAACTGCGGGCATGGTGAAGACGCAGGAGTGCAATGCAGCGGCACACCATCCGGTGAGTGCTGTCTTTTGAAAGCCTAAAAGATATATTTTTGTTTGATATCTTGACAATATTTATAAAAATGTACATACTCAACCAGCTTTGACTAAAAAAATGAAGGTAAGACTGATGGCAAATTATCAATGCTACGATTTATATCGTAAACAGTTGCTTCTTTAATATGATACTCTGACACATATATTAAAAAAAGATTGCAAACCACATCAATGAGAATGAGTTTAGGAACGGCGGCATACCATTTGGTGAGTTACATCAGTTATAAAGCAATACGAAACCTATTTCAAGTGTAATTTGTTAGCTTTTGAGTCAAAGAACTCAAGTTGCAGATCTAGGATAGAGGAGATTGTTCTTATGACTGACTAAACTTTCGATCAAATAGTTTCATGCAAAATATATAACGTGCGGATGATCGAGTAGATACGTCAGCGGACTGTCGATCACAAGGTCCGCGGTTCGAGTCCCGCCACGGCACTAATGTCCTTTGGCAAGACATTGATCTACATTCGCCCCACTCAACCCAGATTATGTACATGGGTTCCTGGCAGGAATTAACTCCTTGAAATGCTAGAGCGCCTTAATGGCAGCTGTGCTAAAGCCAGGGTAATAATCTCCCTCTGTGCCTCAGAATAGTTTTCTAGATCGATAGCGCATAATAAATGCTGTATTATTACACTCTCGCCAAATTCAGTATCAATCCGTCTAGTCGATGGCTCATCAAGTAACGAAGGTCGAGTTGAAGTCAATTACAACGGACAATGGGGAACCGTCTGTGATGATTTCTGGGACGACACCGATGCGGCAGTGGTGTGTCAAATTCTTGGTCTAGGTGAGAGCGGGAGTGCCCTTGGGAGTGCTGCATTTGGAGAAGGGAGTGGAGACATCATTCTGGACGACGTTCAGTGTGTTGGAACTGAAACGGATCTTTTTTCGTGTCCTAATAACGGACCACTCAATCACAACTGCGGGCATGGTGAAGACGCAGGAGTGCAATGCATCAGCACATCATCGGGTGAGTTTTGTCACTTGAAAGCCTAAACAATTCTTCTGCCTGATACCTTTAAATTATTGGGTAATCTATACATATAATTACCTTTGACTAAAAAGTGACGGCAGAACTAACGGCAAAGGGTCAATGCCAAGGATCAGAGCGTTAACAGTTCCTTCTTTAATATAGTACACTGACAGAATTCTTTACAATAGATTGCGATCAAAATCAATACGAATGGATAAGGGAGCGACAGCACACTATCTGCTGAGTTTTGTCATTTAAAAGGCGAAACAAAATCTATTTCTAGTGTAACTTGTCAGCCTTTAAGAAAGGGAAATCTTTTTAATGTAACTTTGAGGCTTTCAAGTCTGAAGATTTCAAGTTGCTTCTCTAGGATGTACACAATTGTTCTGATGACTTATTCAGGGTGATGTCAAAGTATTTCAAGCAATAATTCTGCAAAAAAATTAAAAAGACAGAGCTATAGGCAGAACTATGAAATTTGGTGTGCAACTAATTTGATGTTTTACACTCTCGCAACGTTTAGGTGCAATCCGTCTTGTCGATGGCTCATCAAGTAACGAAGGTCGAGTCGAAGTCAATTACAACGGACAATGGGGAACCGTCTGTGATGATCTGTGGGACGACACCGATGCTACAGTTGTGTGTCAAATTCTGGGTCTAGGTGAGACTGGGAGTGCCCTTGGGAGTGCTGCATTTGGAGAAGGTAGTGGAGACATCATTCTGGACAATGTGCAGTGTGTCGGAACTGAAACGGATCTCTTCTCGTGTCCTAGTAACGGACCACTCAGTCACAACTGCGGGCATGGAGAAGACGCAGGAGTGCAATGCAGCAGCACACCATCAGGTGAGTGTTGTCATTTGATAGCCTAAAAGGTATCTTTTTGTTTGATAACTTGACAATATTGGGAAATGTATATACTCCATTACCTTTGACTGAAAATAACGAAGGTGAGCCTGCTTGCAAAATGCCAATTCTACGCTTTAGATAATAAACGGTTGCTTCTTTAACATGATACACATACACAAATATCTAAAGAAGATCGCGATCAACATCAATGAAAATAAGTTTAAGAGCAGCAGTAAACCATTTGGTGAGTTTCGTTATTTGCAAGGCAAAACGACATCTATTTCAACTTGTTAGATGTTAAGTCAAAATAACTCAAGTTGCATATCTAGGATAAAGGAGATTGTTCTTATACCTTAGTAAAGATTCGATCAAAGTATTTCAAGAAATAATTTCCCAAAAGACTTAACAAAAAGAAAAGAAAAGAGCTTAATGCGAATTATAACTTGGTGTGCGAATAATCTTAGGTATTACGCCAGAGGTGTCGTGGTCGTATGGACACGTCACCAGACGTTCGATCACAAGATCCGCAGTTCGAGTCCCGCCGCGGCACTAATATCCTTTAGCAAGACATTGATCTACATTCGCCACACTCGACCCTAAAGATGTAAGTGGGTACCTGGTAGGAATTAACTCCTTGAAATGCTAGAGCTCCTTAATGGCAGCTGTGCTAAAGCCAGGGTAATAATTTCTCTCTGTGCCTCATAATAGTTTACTAGATCGATGGCGCATAATAAATGCTGTATTATTACACTCTCGCCAAATTCAGTATCAATCCGTCTAGTCGATGGCTCATCAAGTAACGAAGGTCGAGTTGAAGTCAATTACAACGGACAATGGGGAACCGTCTGTGATGATTTCTGGGACGACACCGATGCGGCAGTGGTGTGTCAAATTCTTGGTCTAGGTGAGAGCGGGAGTGCCCTTGGGAGTGCTGCATTTGGAGAAGGGAGTGGAGACATCATTCTGGACGACGTTCAGTGTGTTGGAACTGAAACGGATCTTTTTTCGTGTCCTAATAACGGACCACTCAATCACAACTGCGGGCATCGTGAAGACGCAGGAGTGCAATGCATCAGCACACCATCTGGTGAGTTTTGTCACTTGAAAGCCTAAACAATTCTTCTGCCTGATACCTTTAAATTATTGGGTAATCTATACATATAATTACCTTTGACTAAAAAGTGACGGCAGAACTAACGGCAAAGGGTCAATGCCAAGGATCAGAGCGTTAACAGTTCCTTCTTTAATATAGTACACTGACAGAATTCTTTACAATAGATTGCGGTCAAAATCAATACGAATGGATAAGGGAGCGGCAGCACACTATCTGCTGAGTTTTGTCATTTAAAAGGAGAAACAAAATCTATTTCTAGTGTAATTTGTCAGCTTTAAGGGAACGGCAATCTTTTTAGTGTAACTTTGAGGCTTTCAAGTCTGAAGATCTCAAGTTGCTTCTCTAGGATGTACACAATTGTTCTGATGACTTATTGAGGGTGATGTCAAAGTATTTCAAGCAATAATTCTGCAATTTAAAAAAAAAAAGACAGAGCTATAGGCAGAACTATGAAAGTTGGTGTGCAACTAATTTGATGTTTTACACTCTCGCAACGTTTAGGTGCAATCCGTCTTGTCGATGGCTCATCAAGTAACGAAGGCCGAGTCGAAATCAATTACAACGGACAATGGGGAACCGTCTGTGATGATCTGTGGGACGACACCGATGCGGCAGTGGTGTGTCAAATTCTTGGTCTAGGTGAGACTGGGAGTGCCCTTGGTAGTGCTGCATTTGGAGAAGGTAGTGGAGACATCATTCTGGACAATGTTCAGTGTGTCGGAACTGAAACGGATCTTTTCTCGTGTCCTAGTAACGGACCACTCAGTCACAACTGTGTGCACGCTGAAGACGCAGGAGTGCAATGCATCAGCACATCATCTGGTGAGTCTTGTTATTTGGAAGCCTTAAACAATATATTTTTGTTTGATACCCTTACATCCTTAGGTAATTTTGTTTTTCATTACTTTTGACTGAAAAATGAAGGCAGGACTGATGACAAAGCGTCAATGATACAAGTTCAGATCGTGACAATTGCTTCTTTAATATGATATACAAATAGAAATATTAAAAATAGATTGCGATCAACATCAATGAGAATGGATTAGGGAGCGGCAGCACACCATCTTGTGAGTTTTGTCTTTTGAATGGCGCAATGAAGTCTATTTCTAGCGTAACTTGTTAGCTTAGAACTCAAAAGAATTCAAATTACGTCTCTTGAATAATCGAGATTGTTCTCGTAATTTACTGAGGGTTAGGTTAAGGCATATCAAGAAACAATTTCCCGAAAACCTTTTGAAAGGAAAGAGCTACATTCAGAATATAAAAATTGATGTGCCAATCATTTGATGTATAACTCTTTTTCCAAATTCAGCATCAATCCGTCTTGTCGATGGCTCATCAAGTATCGAAGGTCGAGTTGAAGTCAATTACAACGGACAATGGGGAACCGTCTGTGATGATTACTGGGACGACACCGATGCTACAGTCGTGTGTCAAATTCTAGGTCTAGGTGAGAGTGGGAGTGCCCTTGGGAGTGCTGCTTTTGGACAAGGTAGTGGAGACATCATTCTGGACAATGTTCAGTGTGTCGGAACTGAAACGGATCTCTTCTCGTGTCCTAGTAACGCACCACTCAGTCACAACTGTGTGCACGCTGAAGACGCAGGAGTGCAATGCATCAGCACATCATCTGGTGAGTCTTGTTATTTGGAAGCCTTAAACAATATATTTTTGTTTGATACCCTTACATCCTTAGGTAATTTTGTTTTTCATTACTTTTCACTAAGAAATACAGGCAGGACTGGAGATAAAGCGTAAATGCTAATGTATAGACCGTGACAGCTGCTTCTTTAATATTTTACACTGAAAGAAACATTAAAAAAGATTGCAATCAAAATCAATAAGAATGGATAAGGGAGCGGCAGCACACTATCTGCTGAGTTTTGTCATTTAAAAGGCGAAACAAAATCTATTTCTAGTGTAAATTGTCAGCTTTAAGGGAACGGCAATCTTTTTAGTGTAACTTTGAGGCTTTCAAGTCTGAAGATCTCAAGTTGCTTCTCTAGGATGTACACAATTGTTCTGATGATTTATTGAGGGTGATGTCAAAGTATTTCAAGCAATAATTCTGCAAAAAAATTAAAAAGACAGAGCTATAGGCAGAACTATGAAAGTTGGTGTGTTGATGTTTTACACTCTCGCAACGTTTAGGTGCAATCCGTCTTGTCGATGGCTCATCAAGTAACGAAGGTCGAGTTGAAGTCAATTACAACGGACAATGGGGAACCGTCTGTGATGATCTCTGGGACGACACCGATGCGGCAGTGGTGTGTCAAATTCTTGGTCTAGGTGAGAGCGGGAGTGCCCTTGGTAGTGCTGCATTTGGACCTGGTAGTGGAGACATCATTCTTGACAATGTTCAGTGTGTCGGAACTGAAACGGATCTCTTCTCGTGTCCTAGTAACGGACCACTCAGTCACAACTGCGGGCATAGTGAAGACGCAGGAGTGCAATGCACCAGCACACCATCCGGTGAGTGTTGTCATTTAAAAGCCTTAAAGGCATCTTTTTGTTTGATAACTTGACAATATTAGGAAATGTATATACTCCATTACCTTTCACTGAAAAAAAGGATAAAACTGATGGAAAAATCCAAAGCTACGCTTTAGATAATAAACGGTTGCTTCTTTAACATGATACACATGCACAAATATCTAAACAAGTTCGCGATCAACATCAATGAAAATAAGTTTAGGAGCGGCAGTAAACCATTAAATTGGTGAGTTTCGTTATTTGCAAGGCAAAACGACATCTATTTCAACTTGTTAGATGTTAAGTAAAAATAACTCAAGTTGCATCTCTGGGATAAAAAAGATTGTTCTTATGAATTACTAAAGGTTCGATCAAAGTATTTCAAGAAATAATTTCCCCATAGACTTAACGAAAAGGAGAGAGCTTTTAAAATGCGAATTAAAACTTGGTGTGCGAATAATCTGATGTATTACACTAGAGGTGTCGTGGTCGTATGGACACGTCACCAGACTGTCGATCACACACAAGGTCCGCGGTTCGAGTCCCGCTGCGGCACTAATATCCTTTAGCAAGACATTGATCTACATTCGCCACACTCGACCAAGAAGATGTAAGTGGGGACCTGGTAGGAATTAACTCCTTGAAATGCTATAGCGCCTTAATGGCAGCTGTGCTAAAGCCAGGGTAATAATTTCTCTCTGTGCCTCAGAATAGTTTACGAGATCGATGTCGCATAATAAATGCTGTATTGTTACACTCTCGCCAAATTCAGTATCAATCCGTCTAGTCGATGGCTCATCAAGTAACGAAGGACGAGTCGAAGTCAATTACAACGGACGATGGGGAACCGTCTGTGATGATCTCTGGGACGACACCGATGCAGCAGTGGTGTGTCAAATTCTTGGTCTAGGTGAGAGCGGGAGTGCCCTTGGTAGTGCTGCATTTGGAGAAGGTAGTGGAGACATCATTCTGGACAATGTTGAGTGTGTCGGAACTGAAACGGATCTTTTCTCGTGTCCTAGTAACGAACCACTCAGTCACAACTGCATACATGGAGAAGACGCAGGAGTGCAGTGCAGCAGCACACCATCCAGTGAGTGTTGTCATTTGAATGCCTAAAAGATATATTTTTGTTCGATATCTTGACAATATTTATAAAAATTTACATACTCCACTACCTTTGACTGAAAAAGTGAAGGTAAGACTGATGTTTAATTGTCAATGTTACGGTTTATATCGTAACAGTTGCTTCTTTAATATGATATACTTACATAAATATTTAAAAAGCATTGCGATCAACACCAATGAGAATGGGTTTAGAAGCGGCAGCACACCATTTGGTGATTTAAGTAATCTTAAAGCCAAAATGGTATCATTTTCTGTTATAACTTATAAGCTTTTTATTCAAAAGATTTCAAGTTACGTTTCTAAGATGAACGATAATTTTCTGATGACTTAATGAGGGTAAGGTCAAGTTATTCCAAAAACTAATTTCTCAAAACACTTCAAAAGGGAATATATATACTAGGTAGAGAATCAAACTTGGTGTGCGAATGTTTTTATGTATTACTCTTTTGTCAGCCTTGACGGCATCAATACGTCTTGTCGATGGCTCATCAAGTAGCGAAGGTCGAGTTGAAGTCAATTACAACGGACAATGGGGAACCGTCTGTGATGATCTGTGGGACGACACCGATGCGGCAGTGGTGTGTCAAATTCTTGGTCTAGGTGAGAGCGGGAGTGCCCTTGGTAGTGCTGCCTTTGGACAAGGGAGTGGAGACATCATTCTTGACAATGTTGAGTGTACCGGAACTGAAACGAACCTCTTCTCGTGTCCTAGTAACGCACCACTCAGTCACAACTGTGTGCACGCTGAAGACGCAGGAGTGCAATGCATCAGCACATCATCTGGTGAGTCTTGTCATTTGAAAGCCTTAAACAATATCTTTTTGTTTGATACCCTCACATCCTTAGGTCATTTTGTTTTTCATTACTTTTTACTAAAAAAATGAAGGTTAAAGACTGATGGCAAAATGCCAATGCTACGCTTTAGATAATAAACGGTTGCTTCTTTAACATGATACACATACACAAATATCTAAACAAGTTCGCGATCAACATCAATGAAAATAAGTTTAGGAACGGCAGTAAACCATTAAATTGGTGAGTTTCGATATTTGCAAGGCAAACGACATCTATTTCAAGTGTAACTTGATAGCTGTTAAGTCAACAAAACTTAAGTTGCATCTCTAGGATAAAGAAGATTGTTCTTATGACTTACTAAAGGTCCGATCAATGTATTTCAAGAAATAATTTCCCAAAAGACTTAACAAAAAGGAAGGAGCTTTATGGGAATTATAACTTGGTGTGCGAATAATCTGATGTATTACACTAGAGGTGTCGTGGTCGTATGGACACGTCACCAGACTGTCGATCACACACAAGGTCCGCGGTTCGAGTCCCGCCGCGGCACTAATATCCTTTAGCAAGATATTGATCTACATTCGCCACACTCGACCCAGAAGATGTAAGTGGGTACCTGGTAGGAATTAACTCCTTGAAATGCTAGAGCTCCTTAACAGCAGCTGTGCTAAAGCCAGGGTAATAATTTCTCTCTGTGCCTCAGAATAGTTTACTAGATCGATGGCGCATAATAAATGCTGTATTATTACACTCTCGCCATATTCAGTATCAATCCGTCTAGTCGATGGCTCATCAAGTAACGAAGGTCGAGTTGAAGTCAATTACAACGGACAATGGGGAACCGTCTGTGATGATTTCTGGGACGACACCGATGCGGCAGTGGTGTGTCAAATTCTTGGTCTAGGTGAGAGCGGGAGTGCCCTTGGGAGTGCTGCATTTGGACAAGGGATTGGAGACATCATTCTTGACGACGTTCAGTGTGTTGGAACTGAAACGGATCTCTTCTCGTGTCCTAATAACGGACCACTCAGTCACAACTGCGGGCATGGTGAAGACGCAGGAGTGCGATGCATCAGCACATCATCTGGTGAGTTCTGTGATTTGAAAGCCTTAAACAATATCTTTTTGTTTGATACCCTCACATCCTTAGGTAATTTTGTTTTTCATTACTTTTTACTAAGAAATACAGGCAGGACTGGAGATAAAGGGTAAATGCTAATATATAGACCGTGACAGCTGCTTCTTTAATATTTTACACTGAAAGAAACATTAAAAAAGATTGCAATCAAAATCAATAAGAATGGATAAGGGAGCGGCAGCACACTATCTGCTGAGTTTTGTCATTTAAAAGGCGAAACAAAATCTATTTCTAGTGTAACTTGTCAGCCTTTAAGAAAGGGAAATCTTTTTAGTGTAACTTTGAGGCTTTCAAGTCTGAATATTTCAAGTTGCTTCTCTAGGATGTACACAATTGTTCTGATGATTTATTGAGGGTGATGTCAAAGTATTTCAAGCAATAATTCTGCAAAAAAATTAAAAAGACAGAGCTATAGGCAGAACTATGAAAGTTGGTGTGCAACTAATTTGATGTTTTACACTCTCGCAACGTTAGGTGCAATCCGTCTTGTCGATGGCTCATCAAGTAACGAAGGCCGAGTCGAAATCAATTACAACGGACAATGGGGAACCGTCTGTGATGATCAATGGGACGACACCGATGCTAGAGTTGTGTGTCAAATTCTTGGTATAGGTGAGACTGCGAGTGCCCTTGGTAGTGCTGCATTTGGAGAAGGTAGTGGAGACATCATTCTTGACAATGTTCAGTGTACCGGAACTGAATCGAACCTCTTCTCGTGTCCTAGTAACGGACCACTCAGTCACAACTGTGTGCACGCTGAAGATGCAGGAGTTCAATGCGGCAGCACATCATCTGGTGAGTCTTGTCATTTGAAAGCCTTAAACAATATCTTTTAGTTTGATACCTTCAAATTATTAGGTTATTTGTTTATTTCATTACCTTTGACTGGCAAATAAAGGCAGGACTAATGACACTGGGTCAATGATGAGGTTTAGAGCGTGACTGTTGATTCTTTAATATGATACACCGTCATAAATATAATAAATAGGCTGCGATCGACGCTGAAGACGCAGGAGTGCGATGCAGCAGCACATCATCTGGTGAGTTCTGTGATTTGAAAGCTAAAACGATATTTTTTGGTTTGATAGCTTATTAAGTCATTATTCTTAAGATGTTAAGTGATGTATCTCTAGGATGAACGATTTTGCTCATATGGATTATTGAGTTAAAGGTCAAGTTATTTCCAGAAACAATAACAAAGTAAAGAGCTAAGCAGAAAATAAAATTGATTTGAATTTTTTTTTTTGAGAACCATTGCTGGAGGAAACGAACATGTCGATTCTTCGCCTTGATTTTGATTCATGTTCCTAACAAAATTAACAAAACATAATACATTTAAAAACATTCAATAAATAATTAATCCTGAATCATAGTTCTTAACAACAAGAAATAATGTCCTGCAAACCAATAAATACGGAAATGAAAAGTGAACATTTATCTAAAAAAATAGGCTTGTTTAATGTAGGTTCACTGAATTAAACTAATAAAGTATAGGGACGGAAGAACAAAAAAACAGAATAAACATACGCTGGACTGAAACAAAAACAGAAATGAAACGAAATAAAACATTTTACAGTTAAAAGTGGAAGAGAGAAAAATAGAGGAGGTGGGGGAATATTAGAGATAGATAGATAGGTGGGTAGATGGAAAGATAGATTTTTTATACTGTGGAGAAAATGACACCAAAGTGCATTCCTGAGACCATAGAAAGTTTTGGGTCCTGTACATTTTTTTTTATAGCAAGTATGGTTCTCATTTTTGGAAGTCGATAGTAGCCCACTACACTGAAGGGGTACCTGTGTAATTCGGTATTTTTCCCTAAATATTGTTAAAAGAACTTCTGGTAACTCATTTTTCCTGGCCGAAATAATAAAAAATCCCAAAAGTATAAGAAAACAAATCACGAATCTTTAAAATTTTGTACAAGAGTGGATCTGTATGTGCTAAATTACTTATAATACATTTGGCATTTTTGTGAAGAAGTTTTGTCCAATAACGAGTCTGCACAGTTGCCTAGGCTAGAATGTCATAATTCAAATATGAACAAGTCTAGATTAGAGTACAAATTCAATATTTGTGACGGAAAAACATTAACTATTCAACTTTGTTAAGTTTATGAATAATTCTGGAAATTATTTTTGCACAAATTATGAATATGTTATAGCGCTTACAGACTTCGGTGGTAGGCGCTTGATAAGCACCGTTTCTATCATCTATTTTTATTATGTGGTTTCCACGATAACCTCTCATCCAATATTATTCCTAAGAATTGTATAGTAGAAACCCTTTCCATAAAAGTGTTATCAAGAATAATTTCTCCAAGTGTATTTTCTTTTATATTACTAAAAAGCATTTATTTATTTTTTAGCAAATTAAGTGAAAATTTGTTAATCCTGACCCAATTTGTTAAAGCTTAATTTCAAAATCAATTGTTGTGAGTAAAAGTTCAGGATCTTCATATGAAAAGAAATATTAGAGTCGTCTGCTAAGAGAATAAAAGACAAAGGATTTGATGACCTGTCGAAATCAGTAAATTATATAATAAACAATAGCGGGCCTAGATTTAAGACCTGAGGTACATCGCAGTCAATGGATTTATTACCTGAGTAAGCACTATCAATTACTAAATATTAGTTAGAGAGTTTGTAAAGAAGGATATCATGTTTTTTTCGTATCGAAAGCCTTAGAGAGAGATCTCGGAACACCCCTACCGTATGGTCGAATTCATTCTTCCCCAAGTGATTATGAAGCTTGTCTTGTTTAATGTTTGTGTTATTTTGTTATCATAGCGACATAATGGGCTTAATAAGGTAGATATGTATTATTAATATTTACTTTTTTTCTCTTCTTAGACAACTCCAGTGGCTATCCGTTTGGTAAGTTAATCATGCCATGAGATTGCACTGGTTATATCATCAACATAGATGACACGTACACGAAATTTGCATTAAAATTGGGAAAGAAAAGCAAATGAGTTAGCTAAACCAGCTTCCCTGAAAACACATAATGTGTTCATAACGTTAGCAAACCGGACGTTCAAAATGTTATAGCAAGGTCTTTATTTGCGTCATATTGACACGTTGTGTTCTTTGGCATACACACCTAGCATGCAACTGCACCTTTTTGCAAAGTGGTAACACTTGATAGCTCCATTTTGAAACATTTTGATATTCCTACTCACTAAATTGATCTTTCTGTTAAGCGGAGAAAGTGATTTATTTGGATAATTTATTAAAAGACATTCAGCCATTCACATTCAACTAGTCAGAAGATCGATGTTTATATTTATTTAATTCCTCGTTATCGTGTAACCAAATTTGACAATTTTGTTATCCGACAGTTTTTGTTATGTCGCTTAGAAATGCTCGATAATATACAAAGTGGCTTAGTCAAGTGATTATCAAACTTTTCTTGTATATTTTTGATTAATCATCTTAGTATGCCAAATTAATGGCCTGAATACAATATATATTCATACAAAAAATCTCTCCCGCTTTTTTCTAACAGGTTACAACAGTGAATCTTCATACCATTATGCATTATTAAACGGTAAGTTAATTATGGCACGATATTGCACGGATGATTTCAACCATATTTAAGACAAACGCACGAGATTTTCATTGAAATTTGTAAAGAAAAATACATAAAAATAAATTGAACCACCTTCCTTGAAGAAATGTATATATATTTACACAAACAAAATTAACACACATGTGTGTGCCGTTGGAACATCAATGGAACATGCTACTATGTTAATTAATATAAATTAATATTAACAGTGCATGTGCTTGAAAACCAGACTTCGAATCGTATCAGATATTAATTGAAGGGAGAAAATTAAGTGTTCGAACATAACAAAAAAAATCACGATTTGTAGATAGGCATGTCAATAATGATGATGGTCTGCGATTTCCAAACTGTAGTGAATCCCCTTGCTAAAGATTGGGAACCACTTAAGCAAGTTCATAGCTTGTGGTACAACTCCTGTATTAATAGACATATTAAAAATGTGAACTAAGGGGTAAACAATATATGGTGCATGTTTTCTATAAACAATTGACTAATTTCGTCATAACCAGAAATCTGCTTTATTTTCATTCCATTGATAACATAAATAGCTTCCACCTCAATAACCATAGTGAAGTATAAAGATTTCGGATTTGAAGCATAGAGAAATCAGTAAAGTGACTATCTGTGGCGGGAATTTTGCTGGCAAGATTTTGGCCTATTCCTGAAAAGACCCCCCCCCCCCCATATTGCAACTTCTTGAGGATCTTCAATAATCTGATCAATGGTTTTGATTTGTTTATATTTTAAAAATTGAAGTATTTCCATTGGTAACATTGGTTATGACTTGCATATTTATACTGTCATTTCTATAGAAATTGAATCGCTGATAATAGCAAGATTGTTTCTATACCTATAACTATGTTATTATCGTTCGGCAAATTAACTAACCGTCAGTTCGTGACAGCTGTTTCTTCAATATCAAACACTGACAGAAATATTAAAGTAGATTGCGATCAAAATCAATGAGAAGGGATTGGGGAGCGGCAGCACACCATCTGGTGAGTTTTGCCATTTCAAATGCGAAACGGCATCCTTTTTAGTGTAACTTTGAGGCATTTAAGTCTAAAGATTGCAAGTTGCTTATCTAGAATATACAAAATTGTTCTGATAACTTATTGAGGGTAAGGTCAAAGTATTACAAGCAATAATTTAGCAAAACAATTCAAAAGACAGAGCTATAGGCAGAACTTTGAAAGTTGGTGTGCGAATAATGTGATGTTTTACAGTCTCGCAAACTTTAGGTGCAATCCGTCTTGTCGATGGGTCATCAGGTAACGAAGGTCGAGTCGAAATCGAATACAACGGACAATGGGGAACCGTCTGTGATGATCTCTGGGACGACACCGATGCGACAGTGGTGTGTCAAATTCTTGGTCTAGGTGAGAGCGGGAGTGCCCTTAGAAATGCTGCCTTTGGACAAGGGAGTGGAGACATCATTCTTGACGACGTACAGTGTGTCGGAACTGAAACGGATCTCTTCTCGTGTCCTAGTAACGGACCACTCAGTCACAACTGCGTGCATGCTGAAGACGCAGGAGTGCGATGCATCAGCACATCATCCGGTGAGTTATGTGATTTGAAAGCCAAAACGATATATTTTGGTTTGATTACTTATTAAGTCATTATTCTTAAGATTTCAAGTGATGTATCTCTAGGATGAACGATTTGGCTCATATGGATTATTGAGTTAAATTGATTAGAAATTGATTATTTTCAGAACCATTGCTGGAGGAAACGAACTTGTCGATTCTTCGCCTTTATTTTAATTCTGTTCCATGCAAAATTAACAAAACATAAAATATTTAAAAACAAAATATCTTAATGTAATAGGGAAATATTTAATCCTGAATCATAGCTTCCTCCTCAATAACCATAGTGAAGTATAAAGATATCGGATTTGAAGCACAGAGAAATCAGTAAAGTGACTATATGTGGCGGGAATTTTGCTGGCAAGATTTTGGCCTATTTCTGAAAAGACCCCCCCCCCCAATATTGCAACATTATATTGCAATATAGCAATAATCTGATCATTGGCTTTGATTTGTTTATATTTTAAAAATTGAAGTATTTCCATTGGTAACATTGGTTATGACTTGCACAGTATTTATACTGTCATTTCTATAGAAATTGAATCGCTGATAATAGCAAGATTGTTTCTATACCTATAACTATGTTATTATCGTTCGGCAAATTAACTTCAACAAATACTGCTTCAATAAAATAAACATACAAAGAAAATCTGGCCTCAACATAATATACTCGAAATTTTAAGATATGAATAAAGTGACTCCACCTCCTATCCTTCCAACTAGGTAAAATGTGATATGGTCATTTCCGGGCATTTAACACAACAACTGCAGTGCATTCTCAGTAAACAAAGTATCTAAAAAACCAATGGCAGAAAATCTGCGTTTCAAATCGGATAATTAAAATCTTAAATCCTTCTTGTCATTTGATCTCATTTCTCGGGTACCAACCTCAGAATCAATCCGTCTTGTCGGTGGCCAATCAATTAACGAAGGTCGAGTCGAAGTGCGTTACGATGGACAATGGGGAACCGTCTGTGATGATCTCTGGGACGACGCCGATGCTGCAGTGGTGTGTCGAGCTCTTGGATTTGGTGATACAGCAGCTGCCATCGGCCAAGCGATGTTTGGGGAAGGTACTAATAAAATTGTCCTAGACAATGTAGAGTGTCTTGGAAACGAAGCCGATCTCTTCGCTTGTCCCAGCAATGGTCCACTCATCCACGACTGTCGGCACTACGAGGACGCGGGTGTCCTCTGTTACGTTTAGGGTAATTCTTCTTTGTAATGATGTCTGTATATGTATACCCTTTCCCCGACAATTATCAAAATAACTCGAAAAATCGATGAGCTTGCCTAAATCGAATGAAAACTTAGTTGTTCTTTACAACATTTTGGTACGTTTTTTATTAATTGATAATTTATAGTGCTTCATGAAGACGTGATGACGTAATTCTATCCGTAAAGTTTTAACAGTCATCATCGTAACAGTACTCGTTGTTTGAATTTTAGTGCCACAGCACTGGCGTCTTTTGGCAAGACATTAATACAATCTTAATGCAATAGTGGCAGTCATGCTAAAGCCGGGGGGGGGGGGGGGTATTCATTGCGGAGTGCCAGGAGTGTCAAGTCTGACACCAATGACCGCTATAGAAGAACCCACTATTATAAACATTATAATCAATCTTCGATCGTGATTTTTTTTCCCATGAATCCTAAACGCGGTTCTTATTAAAATTACAAATTGTGCAATACGTTTGGGTAGCAGGAAATATCTTAACCAATATGCCGAGGTAAATTTAAGGTGCATAGATAATAATGAAAGTGATTAATTTATGCATTATATATTTGAATCTATCTCTTTTTCCAGACGGTGCTGATGTATCGTGATACATATTGCGTGCTATGGTGGTGTGTCGATTTTACAACTCACTTTTGATGGTGATTTTTTTCAACGTATACCTTTTTTTATACACTTCATCAATGGATATGGATCTCTTCTATTTTCTGTCTTCACAAAACTTGTCATCAGTGACAAATGACCGGTTTTTTGTATAAGCTAGCGAAATCCTTGCTTCTGATTGGTTATTACCAGATTTGTCACTAATATTTGTCATTTGTCATAAAAAAAAGGCTTTGTGAAACGGTTCCCAGGTATTTTATGGGTTGTTAATTTTCGATTTTAATGTCTCGCATATTGTTTTGTTTTTCTAATCCATTACAGCAATGGTAGTAGGCTTTCAATTTTTTGGGGAAAATGAAAAGCAGAAGAGAATTTCAAGTAGTTGGAGATAGTTACTTATATGGTTATTCATTGTGGCAAGCCACTGTTAGCGAGGGTGACTTTATTGAGTTCTGTAGTTATATTCAACACTGATGTAGTAGCAATTCTAGAGGCTGGGGGATCAAACCCCAACATTTCTTTAAGAACCCCCCCCCCCCACCCCCATTTCCCTGAAATATGTCAATTTACAAAGAGCATATACTATACAATTATAAAAGTATACTCTAATGCGCTTTCAATACCATATTATTCACCGGCTGTAGCTGAACTGCCATGATAAGGGGATAAACAGTTAAAGGAATTACTTTTAATTCACCTAGGTTGAGAGTGGCAAATGTAGATTAATGTTGAGGGACTCAAACCACGAACCAACTGATCAACAGTCCGACGGCACCTCTATTATACAGGACATCTCTTTCGTAAGTGAATATAAGCGAGACAAATGTAGACAATGAAGGCAGGACCCCCAAGCCCGCGGACCCCCAAGCCCACGGACCCAAACTTCTCTAAACCTACCCTTTTAGAACTGCGCCTGCATCAGTTATCGTACACGAAAGGCCGAGTAGAATTGTCCCAGTGCAATGACGGAGTATGGCGATGCTTTTTAGTTTCTGTCCATATAATTTTCTCAAAGATTTAGTCTTAAAAAAGTATTTGCTATCCTTAAAATTTAATCAATGATGGGTAGGATCTTACGCAGCTTGAGCACAGCACGGGATCGAGTGATCACGCTTCTGCATCTCTGGAAGGCTCTTTCGCACCGCCCAACGTCACTCCGCGAAATCACAAACTCACGAGCGGTCGCGTATAATACATACCCTTTAATCATGAAAAAACGTCCTTGTAAGTCCTTGTAAAAAAACAAACTCTTTAACCTCTACATTCGATGATATTGGTTAGCTTTGTATTTGAGTGGTGAAGTCGGTAAAAGTGATAAATACAAAGACTGGTATATGTGTGAATGCAAAACAAATTTCTTCAAAGGGTTCTGCGCGAACGCTTGTGTGTTCCCGGAATAATCTACGACGGTGCGATAGAACTACACAGGGACGCAAAAAAGCGATCACTCAATACTGTGCTTTGCTCAATGACCGCAGAGCAATAGAAGATTGGCCTTTTTCTCGTTTGTTAAAATGTTTCAAACTGTATTTACAAAAACCAACACAATTTGAATGACCCCGAATAACCTCATCGTATTATTATAAATAAATATGGCGTTGTAATCGTGGTATTTCATTTCGTACCTCTTTGACAAACCCACAAAAATTACTTTTAATTATCTGGAAATGTCGAATTTTTAAGAATCTGTTTTCCTTTGTATTTTGTTGTCTTTAAATGCTTTGATTCATTCATGTTTACATTTCCAAATTGTAATAGCATTTAAGTAATTCTAATCATACCAACGAAATAATGTACTCGCAGATTTACCGTTTATCATTAAATATTACAGCTGGAAAGAAAGTTAAAAGATGAACTTCGACAAGTTATTACGATTTAATAGGACACAAGTGTACGTAATTCATATCAAAAAGTGACTTGCAGATGTCAAAGTCTCTATGTTAAACATCTTTTCGTAAATGAAAACAAACGTATTTTTATGGTCCTTAAATTTCTTTTCAATGCGTTGCACCTTTGGACTTGTAATACTTCCCAACATCTTGGTCATGTTCTAAACTACGAAATTGATAACTTTTTTGATGATTCCATGTAAAAGAATATTTATGGTGTATTCGGGAATAAAATCTGTCACTTGCATGTAATTACAGAAGTGATTATAACTGTCTCATTCTTATATGTGTTAGCTTATTATCATTTAATGTTAGATCATGATACTAATTTATCTCATATTGCATCTGAAATATGATCCAAGGACATATATACCCCCATGAATATGACCCCCGGACAACAAACTATGAGGACGGTAGCTCCTGGACAACTATTCCCAGTCGATTGCCCCACAATGTTACCCAAACTAGTTTTCTGAGGATACTCTCCCAGGAAGTAGTTGTTGTAGGGGGTAGTTGTCCGAGTGGTTATTGTCCAGCATGGTTGTAAATCGTCTGGGCGGACTCGTCTTGAGTCCCAATAGGTCCAGGAAATGAAAAACCCTTTTATTATATGAAAGAAAACTAATTTGAAATTGTTAGCCATGATCGGTATTTGGCAATTGATGCCTATCACAAATTACTAAATTAGTCATGTGACTGAAATGTTTCCTTTAAAGGAAGCCTCCATCCAACATGTCCAATTAGAGATAGGGAAACGTACGTGAGAGAGAGGGGGGAGAGCGTGACTAACTTGATCATGTGACTGAAATGTTTCCTTTAAAGGGGGCCTCCATCAAACATGTCCAATTAGAGATAGGGAAACGTACGTGAGAGAGTGAGAGCGAGAGAGAGGAGAGAGTGACTAACTTGGTCATGTGACTGAAATGTTTCCTTTAAAGGGGGCCTCCATCAAACATGTCCAATTAGAGATAGGGAAACGTACGTGAGAGAGAGAGAGGAGAGAGTGACTAACTTGGTCCTTTAAAGGGGGCCTCCATCAAACGTGTCCAATTAGAGATAGGGAAAAGTACGTGAAAGGGAGGAGAAAGTTAGAGAAAGAGAGGGGGTGAGAAAGAGAAAGGGAGAGATGGCAGAGAGGCAGAAAGAGAAAGAAAGGATATAAAGAGAGGAGGAGGAGAGAAGGACGATGGTATGGGAGTTCATTATTGATGCGTGTGGTGTGAGAGAGGGTGGCGGTTGTGGGTTGAAATGATAGGGATCGATTCGTAAGCGTGTAGTCATACAATAACATCTTAACTCTCGATATGATGATAATAATCTGTTTTCAAGGAATAAGGAAGTTAAAGCTTTTCATATAATTTATCACCAGGGGGCGATATTGAATATGATGATCTCATAATATGAACAACTCTCCATGCCTTCTGAACATGGCACTTCACAATTCTGACCTGACTTATTAAGTAGAATATCACTCTGCATAATATATCTTGTTCTCAGGGAAGTAGGTTATCTCAGTCACAAGAAAGACGGAAAAACATGAAACTTGAAGCACACGACAAAAATCGCCCACTAGTCACAAGTTATTTCAAGAAGTTTCAACTTCCTCATTCCTTGCCCGATTTTGTTCAAATTCAAATCTTTTAAATTTACAATCAAATTCACTTTAGTATGAAGATTTTGGTTCCCTTTAATTTCGAAATTCAGAGGGGGGAGGGCCGCATTCTCCCCCAACTTCGGCCATGTATGATTTGATTTGATTTGCTTTTATTTCTGCAATTTTCCAAATATAATAACTGAATAACAAAGAACATCTACAAGCAAAACAAGCATTTGTAATAATGAAAAACAAAATGTACTTTGAAAACTGATTAAAAGAATCTCACATGTTTTTTAAAGGGATCGTGTAACAATGTTAAATCTGAGAAACACGGCCCTACGTGTTATCAGTGTCTGTGATATGGTGTAGTATTGAAGCCCTAAAAAAAATTGCGCTTCAAAATGATCAAGAAGTGCCTCAAAAAAGTAAAAGTCTTTGAGTGACCGGTTTTACCATACTCGTTTTTTGTTTCAGAATCTGAGACAAAGTTACCGGATCCCTTTAAGGGAAAGGTAATAAAAGGAAAATGAAAATTGTAATGACACGATCCCAAGGACTTTCAAAATATCAACCTAAGGCAATAGACGAGTTTACCAACATATTCAATTGTTATACATACTTTTTAAACAAAGATTGGTCTTGACAATCCGAAAGCTTGCTCGAGATTTGCCCGAAATATCAACAAGTAATTTCTGCAGACTGGATTCCGAGTATTGTAGTTCATTTCATTCATTGATAACAGGTTGATCGTCACTGGGTTCCCAGGAAGGAAACAACCATCAATTCAAATATTTTAATCGACCCGTCTATTTCGTTAGCTCTGTGTGTTTGTTTTTCGTGTGTTTCATCTGTATATTTCAATAGAGTATTTGAAAAAAAAAACCTGCCTTCGGTCGCAATGCTGTTATTAAGCAAGTCCGTATTATACAGTGCGTCAAAGAAAAAAAAGAAACCGAGAAAGATCGATGTTTAATCATAACTTATCACAATCAAAATTGATAATTATGACTGTATATTTCAATAGAGTATTTGAAAAGAAACCTGCAAACAATTTTTTAGACAATCAAACCCAAATGCAAAGCATGATGCTTAAGCAATATCTTGTTTTGTGTATAAAGTGACACAGATATTGAAATCATCACTGATAATTGTAATCACAAAGTAGGGTTAAATACCAATGTCTAAAAAATGTTATATATTCGCTTTGAGATTTCCCTTTGTAGGTGCCCTTTTTTCTCCAGAAAGTGGTCTCTTTTCTTTGGAAGTCGCTCGGCCGCCCCTGGATTTAACGAACTAGTTTTCACTGGTTGCCTGCCGTAGCAACAAACAGACTTGACAAAAGACTTTATGCATGGCGGATCGTGAAGTCTGCATGAAGTCTTTCGTCTTCTTTGTTGTTTGGGCAGACAGTAACTGGTGTTAACGTTAGTCATGTGATCTTGCCATAATGAATCACTACTTCAATTAATACCAAGGGGGCGGATAATTCTGAGCCTAAGAGAACTTCTGATACTCCACTTCAATTATTATCTCAGGGTCACATGGACACTTGATATGAACTCCATGGTGAAGGGTCTCTCTGGATATGTCTAACGGCGCACTCCGGTTTCTTAAGATCGTCCTCTTTGATCATCTGCTGGTTCTGTAACTTTCGGACAAGGTCAACGGGCGTAGGCTCTTTTATGAGGGTATAACTAAGACAGAAATATTGGTTTTAATTCGGAAAACAGAAGAGAAGAAGAAGGAGAAGAGAGAGAGAGAGAGAGGGGGGTGAAACTAGTTGTGTATTCTCAGTATTACTATCCGTGTTGCAACGTTGAAACTAGTCGTGTTTTCTCAGTATTACTATCCGTGTTGCAACGGTGAAACTCGATCACCACTTCCTGCCATCTCAGCTTCCTTTGATGGTGTCAAGTAGATAGAAAATAAGTGTAAACGCTGTAGGGAATCCTGGGGGTACAAGGGGTATTATGATGTACATGCCCCCTAACGGAATCTAAACACCTTCATACACATGTAAATGAGATATTTTACCGACATGTACTCGAGAGCCCCCCCCCCCCATCCTAACCTTGACCATAAAGTGCATAGGCATAATACGCAGTCAAACGCCACATGACTTTATATTCCGTTTTTTTTATATCTTATCTGAAATATTTTTCCATGGCGAAATTATCATTGTCGTTTAAAAATATGGTGTCCAACTTATATTCTACCACTCTCTTCGCTCGCTTGCAATATTTGAACATTTGAACTTTGATAATCGGGAGGGACGTCATCCCCCGTAGAAATCGTGTTTGTATGCCTATGCCCTCCACTCCCCCCCCCCCCCATCAAAACAATATCCTGATCCCGCCTCTGTATCACAGGACGTTTACCATAGTTTTCCCCGATCATTGCCGAGAGAGATTAGAACGGTAAGGAAAGTGAGAACAGTCAGCATCGTCGGCCGAGAACTGCTGGTTGAAGATTGAGCACAGTGGTTCAGTTGTTATTATGGTCGGTAATCTCCATCATATGTCGTGGTTTCTCGTGATCAAGATGATGTTGCTGACTTGTTTAGTAGCCTGTTTGCTCCCTACGTTAACGAATGCACAAGGTAAGCTAAAGATCAAATAAGTTATTATTCAACATACAATGTTTTTCTTTTCTTTTCGAGCAAGTGCATGAAGATTCCATGGAAGGATACACAATCGCTTCTAAAAGTGACCATCAGTCAAAAGGATTTGGTTTTATCACAGAGCGAATCCACCATGTGTTTAAGGTGTTCGCCTCTTCTCATCTCATATTTGATATTATTTGTTGCATTTATTATACAAAACAAAAACACATTGATGTTCTTGTCGATGATGTTTGATACTAGATACATATATTATCAGTTTATCCCAATCTAGAATTTAGAAAAGAAAGAACGAACAACATTGAATTCGGTATTCCGTGGTTTATTACTTTCCGAGCAGCACGTTCGAATAAAGAATCCGCTCAACAAAATCCAATAACCATCAAAGAAGCACAACATAATTATCAACATTTCATTGAGGGCTTCACACTGTGCAATATCATATGTTTAGGCCTCTTGAGCTGAGATTCATAGCAAGCGCTGCTCTTCCATTTTGATCGTACCTTTACCTCAACTTCATAGTAATAATAATAATAATAATAATGATAATAGCTCGTTCTTATATAGCGCTTTTCAGGACCGGAGGCCCTCTCAAAGCGCTTTACAGATAAGTATATTATTACCCCGGTCATTGGATTCAGGCTTACCCGCACACAATGTATGCACATTCTCCACTCCCTGGGGAGCATTCCAGCCAGGCGTCATTTTTACAAGCGCACACTCGCTAATCTAACCACATTAGCCTTCGCATCCTACCGGGTACCCATTTAACACCTGGGTGAAGAGTGGCAAATGTAGATCAATGTCTTGCCAAAGGACATTAGTGCTGCGGCGGGACTTGAACAACGGACCTTGTGATCCACAGTCCGATGACTTATCCACTCTTCCACAACACCTCGACATAGAACTCCTTTCATTTAAAATTTGTGGTAAGATGTATCAGCTCTCACTTCCTACCTAAGTATGATGGCAAGCTAAGATCAAGTACGGGAATAATGAACAAGGTCTATCCACGGCATACGCGCGACAAGATTTCCCATCTAGTCACAACTAAAATAATAATATTCAACAATATGCATTATTTTCCAATTGTTCCCAAGAAGATTAATTTTGCATCATCCTGGTACTTGTCAAGTGCCAGGCACACACATAAGGGCATTCTTGTTTTGTTTTTTTTAATCGTGAGCGAGCGAAGCGGCCAAGCAAAAATAAATGTTAAGGTGGTAAAATTTATATTTTTAATCAGCGCAGTAGATAATATATTAAAATAATTTATGCGGGCACCTCGTCGCAAAATACATGACTACAAAAATCAAATTTTCAGTCACTTTAATACACGAGTCTAAAGATATTCGGACATTTGTTTCCCTGAATTATCCCGTTTTTAAATATTGCGAGAGAGCGAAGCGAACGAGCGTAGCGAACGAGCGTGATAAAATGAAATTTCTATGCCAAAAATATATATTCGGACCCCTCGCTGTCAATGGGAAAGGTAACTCCTTGGGCAATAATGAAGGCATTCATGCACTTCGATGCCTGAAATCATGTTTTTCTTAAATGTTGAGAGCGAGCGAAGAGAACGAGGAAGAAAGTCAAAATACATAAAGAACGCGGTTTGTAATATTAAGTTTACACAAAATCGACGTTATCGAAAAAAGACTGCTGAAATTCATTAATAGCATGCTTCCGGATTCATTTAAATTAGACATTGATTAAAATAGGCATTGCATGTCAAATGAAAGCTCACGATCTAAATAAATTGAAACGTATTATATCTTTCCCCTAAAAAACATGCGTGACCACAATCAGACATTTAAAATTGAATCTTGGCATCCCCCCTCCCAATTAACGAAACCAAAATCATACAAACTGGGCGCTTAGATGATACGTAAGCGATTGAAGGAGTGTCAGTTCCGGATTCATATAACGCCGTTTCAACACACACTAGACGATCGATTATCATCAATGTTAATAATTTATTATCCATAAAATGAGTGAAATTAGGTCATGCAGTACCTTGGATCTGCAGTATTCATCGTCTGAATCCAGTGACGATAATAATTATGGTTTCGATGGGCCAGTTTTCAAATTATTCTGAATTAAAAATACGTGTTTTCATGTCGACTATGTTTGATCGTGGGTGGGTACATTCCATCGACGTAATGTTAGCGGAAGCCGTTGTATGAGACGAGTGTTACATTACTTTGGTCGTTTTATTGGTTTTATTTATTTATTTACATACCAATCACCATCACCATATTTTCACCATCATCAGTTTTTTATTATTATTTTAATCATCTACTTCACCCCGGCCTATCACGTTTTCTAACAAATGCTTATTGTGATGGTCCTTTTTCTTCTGCAGATTTATGACTGACTAATTCTTGATAGTGTGTTACAGGTACATTTTGTTTTAATGTCAACATTTCTACTATTATTATATCGTGTATACGTTCAAAGAAATTGTTCTATTCTGTATACGTTGTATCGTTGAAATGTTATGTTATGTTTTGCAGAAGAAAATTAATTCAATTCAATTCAATATAACTTTTTTCTCTCCAGGCAACCCAAGAAATGTCTTGCAGCATACGATTGAGAAAAAAAAATGCATTTGGCTTTTGTCTTTGTCCGTTCTTAATTAACTGTGGTTATCCAAACAAGGATTTCTTGAATACTGGCGATGGTAAAAATACATATTATTTATGCTAATCACTTAATTAGTGCAATGATTTCCTTCGTCCAGAAACCAACATTCGCCTTGTTAGTGGCTCTACGATCAGAGTAGGTCGAGTCGAGGTGTTGTACAACGGAGAATGGGGAACCGTCTGTGATAGTGGCTGGGACATGCAGGATGCCCGGGTAGTCTGTCAATCTCTTGGATTTGGTCAGGCACTCGAAGCTGTATCGGGTGCAGGATTCGGTGAAGGCACAGGGACTATTGTTTTGGATGACGTCAACTGCTCTGGAAATGAAGAGGACATTTTCCAGTGCGGAAATGCCGAACTTGGAATCAGCAACTGCGGACATGAACAAGACGCAGGAGTCCGATGTGCACAATTCCCATCAGGTAATGTTCTAATATCGGATTTCCTTTTTCAAAAAAAAAAAGAATGGAAAAAGGCAAACTATCACGATCGTAAACATCTTCGAAAAAAAAGCCTCTTCAATCACCTTTTACTGTAATCCAAACATGATTTTTGTTGTTGCAATATTTAGTCTCTGTTATTGTGTTAATTACACTTTCGACGATACACTCTTTAAACCTAAAGTACAAGAGCATTATTGAAAAGGGCTGAGGAGTAACCACATTTTCAAAATAGCTGGATATAGTTGGATCTAGAATGTCAATAAAATTAATCTATCATTTTGATAAAAGGGTCACTTTGAAATGGTGATTTATCACCCTTTTTTCGCTTAAACTTAGAAAATACCTCATATACAAAACATTTGTCTACCCTTTTGCCTCAACCCCAAAAAGCGTATTCGGTAGATGCGAATATATTCAGATATGCATGGATAACATTATCAAAATGCGTAGATTAATTGATTGTTGTTGTTGTTTTTATTGTGTGTGTGTTTTTTTTTGGTATTTTGTTTGTTAATTCGGGATGAATCTTCGAAAGATATCTTTGAGAAGCTTTTCACACACTGCCAGCTGTGCAGCTCGGATATCTTTGCCTCATCTCCCTTTCCCTCACTACCCTAGTAAAATGGTACAGTGACTTGTAAAATGTTTTTTGCGATGCCATTTATGTAGAAAAGATCACCACATTGGTTAACGCTCCTTCACGAACCATCACTATCTTCTTTCATATCATCAGCTAATATCCGTCTGATCAATGGGTCCAATCCTACCGAAGGTCGTGTCGAAGTCTTTTACAACGGAACATGGGGTACCGTCTGCGATAGCTATTGGGATGACTACGATGCTCAGGTGGTGTGTCAGAGTCTAGGTCTTGCTGCATTCGGGGTTGCTAATTTTAGAGCAACATTTGGAGAAGGCACGGGACCGATCTGGATGACTGAGACTAAATGTAAAGGAGATGAAATGGATCTCCTAGACTGCCCACACACTAGTCCACCCCACTACTGCGAACACCGCTATGACGCAGGGGTACAATGCAACCCAAGATGTAAGACATACTAATCATTATGATAACAGTAATATCAATAATTGTAATTACACTGTCGCTCATATAGTTGGAATATATTTTTTACTCTCAATTTATGGAATTATTTTGACAATGATTTATTCCCAATAGATCTAGATAATAGTATACATTCTCAGATTTTGTTGAACAATAATTTGCCATTGCTTGTTTTGCGTGACTGCTAAAAATGGATATCAACTATGGGACCTACGCCCTTAAGTCATAAATGACAGTAATGAGGATTAAATGCCCCACACAAGGGCACTAATATGGCACATCGACACAATATTTTGATCCTGGAGCCTCACATGACTGTACGCAGCGGGGGCTAGTGTAGGGAGCAGTTCCCACAAATTAAAAAAAGAAAAAGAAAATGCAGTAAATTATCAATAATTCATTGAATTCCCCCCCCCTCCCCTGGCCGTGCATTATGGCTCAAGGCATGGGCACACAGAAGATTTGTTTCTGTTGTGTACCGGGGGGGGGGGGGATTCAATGAATTATTGATAACTTATTGCATTTTATTCTTTCAAAAGGGCCGCTGGATTTTCAGCTACGATACACAATTGTATTCTGAACTTATTCATGATGTATAGGCCTACGTAGAAATGTTGGCATTGATCCAACAAAATGTAAGATAATTATATACCAGACATTCATAGCATAGTTGTATGGATTTAATTGAGTGAAGGCAATAAATTAAGTTAAAATTAATTTGATCTCTTTTTTGTTTTTAATGGGTGAATTTCAGCTTGATAATGGGATTCATCTTATCGTGTCATTTACAAATCAAAAGTGTCTTTTTGTTTGTTTTTGTGAACACCTATGGGACCTCTGAGCATGAACACAGTGGAATATGAGAATGTGATTATCTTTGGCAAGACATTTGTTTACATTTGCCACTCTCAACCCAAGTGTAGTAAATGGGTACCAGGTACTCCTTGTATTATTTATAACGCTGTAGGGCAGCTGGGCTCAAGCCAGCATAGGCCTAATATTAATACCTTGTAGGCGTCTCGATCATCCCCTGGCTTGAGCATCCCCTAGGATGGATGTGTGCTTGGTATAAATGTAATTAATATAATTATATGTTTATCATTCAAATTAATACCACCAGCAACACTTCGTCTGGTCGGTGGTTCGTCAAAGCTCGAAGGCAGAGTCGAGATGCAACTCAACGGCCAATGGGGATCTGTCTGTACCGATAATTGGGATCGCAACGCAGCCAACATCGTGTGCCGAAGTCTCGGGCTCGGGCAAGCTCGCTACATGTACTTTGACTCCGCCTTCGGTGAAAGTAACTTGACGAATGCTTATAACTTTGACTGCCAGGGGTTTCAGCCTAGCATCCTACGTTGCGGTCGGATTGGTGTCAATAACTGCCAATACAGACGTAACGCTGGTGTCCGCTGTTATGAAGGCATCTTAGGTAACATCCCAATAAACATTGAAAGGAATGAATAATGACAATAATTATGGAGATAATGATGATGACGGTAATAAGAGCAATAATGATTATGATAAGAACAACACCTGTGATTATAATAATATTGATATAACAATCATAACAATGTTTAATGATAATAAGAGACAAAACAACAATGATAATGATCATAAATCCAATTATAAATTAGTTAACAATAACTCTAACTACGAGGCATTTTTTAAATTTTGCATCAGCATGAATTTTGTAAAAAAGATTTCACAAACTACAAGAGTATGAGTAGATATTCTGAATGCAATGTGCTTGGGGCAGCAAAGGTAGATTCAGTTAACCTGAATGCGAAATATTATTATTTGTTTTGAGGTGGAGGCTCGTGGAGCGATATCTCCTCATGGTCCTACAAAGCTTAGCGCATACTTAGGATCCTAATTTGCTATCTAATTGAGCTCACAGTCGCAGAGCAATCAGATTGCAAAGGTCATTCAAGTAGACTCACAGCCTACGATACCAACATCCCACATGAAAGAAAGAGACCGACAAAACAAAGAAATAAATAAGAAAACATAGAAAAGACAGTTCCTAAAGGTCCACAAGCCCGACGGCCCACGAGACCGATAAAACAAAGGAATACATAAGGGAACAGATCTCGTTCTCGTGGGCTGTAGCCAGGATCATATTCTGATCGGATACATTGTTCTTGAGAGGTATCATCAGCATGCTCTAAGTTCAACGTAATTGTGTTGGTTCGTTTTTTTTGTTTTGTCTACAGCACCTGTTCGTCTTGCTGGTGGTCCATCGCTCCAAGAAGGTCGCGTCGAGATCCTTTACAACGGCGAATGGGGGACTGTCTGTGACCGTGGCTGGACTGTCTTCGACAAACCTTCCGACATAGTCTGTCACTCTATTGGACTAGGTAACGCCGAGGCAACCTATGGGGGTGGTCGTTATGAACAGGGTACAGGACCTATGGTTCTAGATGATGTATTTTGCCCAATTACAAGCGTAACTAGCATCATACAGTGCAGGAGCGAAGGTTTTGGAGTCGGTTACTGTAACCCCTCGGCAGAAGCTGGGGTACGTTGTGGAAGAAGCCCACAAGGTAAGAATCCTAATCAGTTGTCTTTGTAACTTCATGTAAAGGATCATTTACTTATGTTCACAAGCAGTTGATAATGTAATAAATCTGAACACTAGAATATAGATTACAGAACGTATATTGTATGCATTAAACTTTTCGACCAAGTCGACTGTGGGTGACAAAAGTAAAAGGTAAAATTATTCTTGAAAATAAGCTCAATTATACATTTGAAATATAGTGACACTTTGAAATGCAAAGAACTTTGACCGCCCATCGAACATTTACAAGATTTAATAGTCATTATATTCCTGGTCAGTTTAGTTTGTAGCGCACCTCAAATCTACATGATGAAAATAGAGCCAAGGGGCTAATGCCTCTAGCTAATATGTGAACTTTCATTTTTTTATAACTTTGCAAGCGAGCAAGCAAAAGGTCTGAAATTGATACTTTGTTATAATAGATAATCTTTACAAGCACTTGATAATAAAGATAGCTTATTTGTCTAGCTATAATAAGATCATTGCATGAATTATTTTAATTTCACAACTAAAAAATATCCACCACCTCTTACGCCTCCTGCACCCTCAAAACATTCCACAAGTGTTTCTATTCTAACTTTTCATCGGCGATAGAAACAAAACATAGACAAAATGAAGGGGTTATATAAGGAAAGGGATACATTTCTGCAGCTAAATGTTCAAGAATGCATATTTCTTTCCAGCATCAATCCGTCTTGCTGGTGGCTCGTCGAGAAACGAGGGGAGGGTGGAAGTTCTCTGGCAATCACAATGGGGGACTGTCTGCGATAATGGATGGGACCTGACTGATGCCAACGTAGTCTGTCGAACTCTTGGACTCGGTCCTGCACTCGAAGCCATCTCTTATGCTGGCTTTGGTCAAGGAGCATGGGCGATCGTTCTGGATAATGTGAACTGTACTGGGGATGAAGACAGCGTCTTCCAGTGCCAACATGCTGGTATGGGTGTCCATGATTGCGAACACGGAGAAGATGCAGGGGTTCGTTGTGCCCCTAGCCCATTAGGTAATCAGTAGTGTCCATTCTCTTTGGAGGGCTGTATGAATGTAAATGTTTGATGATTGTTTTACCCCACTACTAAGAAAACATGTGTATGCTTGTCAGTAGGCAACCAGGCAGGGGTCGAAGGCTTTAAGTACCCTCCGGGGGACTTGGTAATGCAGATTAAGGCCTCACTTAGAGGCACGAGCACATTGTCTTGGTATTGATCATGGGACCTCCCGGTCACGAGACCACTACCCTACCACCAAGCCTTCGCAACTTCTCCTTGGTTAGTTGGTTGATTTATTTTCCGTATAGAGAATACAAATTTTCTTTTACTAGTTTTACAAGGGGCCAAGTGGAAAAAATATGAAATTGAAAAAAAAATGAATTTAAGACTTCGATGGGATTTAAATAAAGATCTACAAACCGCCAAACTCAATAAACGAAGTATGAATTTATGATTATGGCTACCAAAAGAGAAATAGAACCCCCCCCCAAAAAAAAGAACTGATATGAGCCGATCGAATTAGCCTTACGATTAAGAGAACTGTGGTATATTAGTGAAGGCTCTATACTATCATACGAGATGCTGTTGGTTCGACCATGCTCGTTGCTGACATCGTTGGACAAAATGCGTTAGCCCAAACATGTCCCTCTATTTAAGTATTATACCTAGGTGTACATAGATACTTTGCAATGCTGGCGAAATAGTAATCGCAGGGCTGCAAGAAAAGCAGTTTCATATTATTAATACCGATGTGGCTATAGACCTACACTGCGTCAATAAGACCCAATTATTATCATATAACATTTTTTTCCCTTCAGGATCAGTACGTGTTGTCAATGGCTCATCAAGATACGAAGGCCGAGTCGAAGTCTATTACGACGGAAAATGGGGAACCGTCTGCGACGATTTTTGGGATGACACCGATGCTAGTGTCGTTTGTCGGATGCTTGGTTTGGGCGATAACGGAACTGCCGTCGGTTGCTCTACCTACGGGGAAGGTTCTGGAGATATCGTTCTTGACAATGTGAGGTGTTTGGGAAATGAGACGGATCTCTACTCCTGCCCCAGTAATCGTCCACTCCGACACGATTGCAAGCATTCGGAGGACGCGGGAGTGCAGTGTCTCAATACACGAGGTAAGTCGACGTTGTACATCTAACATTAACCCCATTGTATAAGAATTAATTATTATCAGAATGAAAACTTATATTTCTTTCAATTCTTACTTTTTAATTTTCTCTCAAGTCCAATCCATTCCACTGACAAGTATAGTGCCTTCAAAAAGCACTTCACGAATTTCATTTCATTATATTTTATCATTATATAAACTACATAAAAACAACAAAACTTGAGTTGTTTGAATACACGACAGTTACAACAAAAGTATTCAATAAAAATTAAAAATTTAATGTGTTTGAAAGATGTAACTCCCATTCGTTGATTAATTAAGATAATAGTTCTTCGTGTAATAAATATCACTAAAGCAAGTTTGATGCAAACGCTGATTGAATCCGACAGCTATTCGTCTTGTCGATGGGCCATCAAACAGCGAGGGTCGAATCGAGGTCCTCTACAACGGCATCTGGGGAACCGTCTGCGATAACTTATTTGACATGAACGCTGCCTACATCGCGTGCCGTTCTCTCGGCTTCAACTACGCCCTCGAAGCCGTCCGTCTTGGTGGGTTCGGGGAGGGCACAGGGCCGGTGATTCTTGATGAAGTTAGGTGCTACGGGCCTGAAGAGAACCTTTTCCAGTGCATGCATAGACCGCCTCTAAACGCCTATTGTGGACACTGGGAAGACGCTGGAGTACGTTGTGCCGGAAGCACACCAAGTAAAGTCTCTCGAGATATAGTTTCATTCATTTCATTTTTGTATTTCACTCTCTTTTAAACAACATCAAAAATATTTATATTTATATATACATGTTTGTTAATTATCAACATAGGATAAAAGGAAATGGGGAATTATGAAAGCCAAAACTGGCTTGATGAGGATGATCCCCAAATAAATACTTAGCATAAACAAGATACAAACTTATTTTATATAAAAACATAGTACATACATTCACAACAGAGGACAGAGGAAAGATAAAGATAACATAAGGTAAAGACAGTTACAGGAAGATAAGAAGAGAGAGAGAGAAGATAAGAAGAAGGAAGTTACAACTTGAATTTTACATTCTACATAATAATGACAATTTCATTTTGTTCCGCTTAAATAACCCTTATACATATATTTGAAGCGTTTCAATATATTGCACTGTTTTATGTCATGTGGCAAACTATGACAAACTAATGGGCCATGGAAAAATATGTAATCTTTAGAGGTTGAAGTACGGTGTAAAGGTAAATGAAAATCAAGAGCGTGTCTAGTACTATATTTGTGGATTTGACAATTCATTGAAAAACATTCCCTAAATGAATCTGGTCAAGGTATATCTTTCAAGAGCATGAACATAAAAGTGGCAAAATTAAAAATATTATGTCATGGATTTGCAAGATTTGCATCTGTTTCAAAAGAGGATTACTATGACAATATAAGGAAATTCGAATGAGTTATTATACGTAATACTCGTGTTTGTAATTTGTGTTAGTTCAATTTAAAAAGAATTTGTAAATGTCAATTCATTTATGGAATGCAATGACGTCAACCAAAATTAATTACCGGAATTAAGTTAGTTAAAACAAACACTGAATACGCGTAAAACCTCTGCATGAAATATTCAGGCACTTTTAATTGTCTTTACCTGGACTTCAGATCACTGTGAATATATAATTTAGTCACGATTTTGTTTTCTTCCTTGGATGATATTTCAGTTATTTCACTTTTTTGGGAATATATGTATTTGTGATAACCGTGAATGTTTATTGTTTACAGCACCCATCCGTCTAGTTGGTGACTCATCTAATACCGCAGGACGAGTCGAGATATCTTACAAAGGACACTGGGGGACAGTCTGTCATGATGACTGGGACAATGACGATGCAACTGTGGTGTGCCGTAGCCTGGGTCTTGGTACCAACGGAATAGCTTACAGGTATGGTACAGTACGGTAAGGTATGGTGTGGTATGGTGTGGTATGGAACAGTAGGTATGGTATGTTGTGGTGCGATATGGTATAGTATGGTGTGATATGGTAAGGAAGGTGTGTTTGGTATGGTGCGGTGCAGTATGGTATGGTATGGTGCGGTACGATGTGGTAAGGTTATGGTATGGTGTACAACAGTATGGTATGGTACGGTATGCTACGGTGTGGTATGGTATGGTATGGTACGGTGTGGTACGGTTATGGTATGGTATGGTGTGCAACAGTATGGTATGGTACGGTGTAGTATTGGTATGGTATGGTGTGGTATGGTACGGTATGGTATGGTGCGGTATGGTATGGTAGGTTATGATACGTTATGGTGTGGTGTGCCTTTGGTTTGGTATGGTATATTATGGTATGATGCGGTATGGTATGATATGATACGTTATGGTGCGGTGTGCCTTTGGTTTGGTATGGTATAGTATGGTATGTGCGGTATGGTATGATTTGATATGCTATGGTGCGGTGCGCCTTTGGTTTGGTATGGTGTGGTATGGTGCGGTATGGTATGGTATGATATGTTATGGTGTGCCTTTGGTATGGTATTGTATAGTATCAGGCGCGTACACAGGGGGGGGGGGGTTTGGGGGGTTAACCCCCCCCCTTTGGTATTTTTTGTGTGTAAACCCCCCCTAAATTTCCCTAAAACCCCACCCCCCTTTTGGGTGACCTCAAAAAGATGACCTTACCCCCCCCAACGGAGCAAAATGTCAAATTTTCAAATTTCGATAACAAAAAAAAAAAAAAGTAACCTCTTACCCCCCCCCCCCCCCCGCTTATTCAGCGGTCGGCTGAGTCGTTGCGATTTTTTTTTGGGACCAAAAAAAAAAAAAAGTGACCTCTTACCCCCCCCCCCCCCCCGCTTATTCAGCGGTTGGCTGAGTCGTTGCGAAATTTTCGGCCCGATTTATAAATGTTAACCCCCCCCCCTTGAAAAAATCCTGCGTACGCGCCTGTATAGTATGGTATGGTGCGGTGTGGTATATGATACGTTATGGTGTGGTGTGCCTTTGGTACGGTATGGTAGGTTCTCCGACATTTGGTCCGGCGACAATTATTTTTTGGGTATCATTTATATGGCAACATACACCAAGATAAAATAATATATTCATATACAAAAGAGGGAGAAAACAAAGATTGAAAATACTGGATGTGCTAGCTTTGTTGCTTGGGTATAGAAACAGGTAACTTAATAGCAATAACCCTGACCAAGCTAGCGCAACCAGGGTAAAAAAAATATTGATAAATATCATGAATAGTATAAAACAAAATAAAAAGAATAGTCCTTGCTTGGTTGGAGCTCGGTATTCAATTTTGATCGTTGCTTTCCGTACGGATTTGGGACGTAACTTGTTTCTAGCTTTATTTCGTTGCGAGTTGGTTTGAGGTTAGGGTTAGGTATAGTGTTGAGTCAATTGTTGAAATGGTTGCAGGAAAAAGTGTCTAATGGTATGTTATGGTATGGTACTGTATGGTACGGTATGGAATTTACTTACCAAATCATAATATGAAAGAATACGTAACTACTTATCTGGGGCATGCTCCAAGCGTTCTCTTCAAACAGGGTAACAAAAGTTAATCCTGAAGCACTCCCATCACTTTCTGAGTGACTATTCTAAGTGAGACCTATCCATGTTTTATAAGATCTGTGGATATTTAGCAACTATCCAATTGTATTGTTAATGTTCAGTGTTATCTGAGGTATGGACATGTATCGTGAATATTTTTATATTGTAACGGAAAATAAATCAACTCCAAACGAATAAATACAGGTATCATCACTTTGTCGAGGGTTCTGGAGGGGTTGTCCTTGCTGAACTTGTGTTCATTCTAGGTTTACATATAGCACACTGATTTGATATTTAATCAAATCAAATCAGGTATGGTCACTGTGGCGATGGTCTAGGAGAAGTCATTCTTGCCATATTCCATAATATAAAGCAATGGCTAAACAATTATGTAGGCCTATGCATGTACGTCAGTAACCGTGATTTTGTCATTTAAATTTGAAATTTAATCCAATCAAATCAGGTATGCTCACTTTGGTGAGGGTTCTGGAGATGTTATACTTTCCAATCTCCGATGTACTGGTGATGAATCGGATCTTATGGCCTGTCCCAGCACTGGACCGCTCAACAACAGGTGCCTACATTTCCAGGATGCCGGAGTACGCTGTCGCTGAGGTAGTTTTCTTAAAACATTTTCTTAAACCAAAACAGCTCTACTAAATTATTTATCAATCTTGGTAGTACTTTTCATGTGAAAGATTCTCCTTCTCCACTTTCATCACTTGTTGGGTTATATTGGATATGGTGAAAGGGATATCTCGTTTCTCCGAAGGTTCATATTACGAAAAGTTGGTTACTCCGCAGGTTCATTATCCCGTAGGTTCCTTAGTCTGAACTTGAAATAGGGTTCTTTATTCTGAAAATGAAGGTTCTAAATTTCGAAAGATTGTCGTTATTCTGAAGGTTTGTAATTCCTCAATGCAATAGAATCACATTATTTTTTAGGAATTCCGATCCTTCGGAAGGGCACTCAATTAATGAGAGAGAAGATAATTCAGTTAGTTTTCAAGATTAAATTTCGGATAAATTTGACTGCGCCGCTTGCAAAATAAATTGGAAAGATTTTACGTCTCATGTTGATACGCACTTAATTTCTTCATAGAGTTATGTGTTATGGGCCAACACCTGTGAGTTCACGGAATGACTTACGACGCTGCGATAGGGCTACACAGAGACGCAGAAAAGTGATCACCCAATACTGTGCTTTGCTCAATGATCACAAAGCAATAAAAGACTAGCTTTTTTTTCTCCTTTGTTAAAATGTTTGAAACTGTATTTAAAAAAACAAAAACAATTTGAATGACCCCGAATAACCTCATTCTATTATTAGATATAAATATGGCATTGTAAATATGGTATTCGATTTTGTTACCTCTTTGACAAACGCACAAATATGAACTTATTTTCAAAAATGTCAATTTCTTAAGAATCTGTTTTCCTTCGTTATGTATTGTCTTTTACCACTTTGTTTATTCATGTTTAAATTTCCAAATTGTAATACATTACCATTAACGTAGTTCAAGTCGTATCAACAATTATAATCGAACATTTATCGTTGATCAATAAGTATTACAGCTGGAAAAAATATTAAAGGTAATACAAAGTTTTGGTAGGGGGTCATGAATTTAGTTCAAATGAACATATTGGAAGCATATGCGATCCTACAATATTAAGTGATCGTTGTCGCTGTTGAAAGCGAGTCTAAAAATATAAAATTGTTAATAAAAAACTCTTTGTTTTATAGCTCCCTCTCAAGGTCAAGATATAAATTAAGCTATAAAACACTGTTTCTTGACTAAAATCGACCGATTAGCTATTCCCGTTTTGAAATTATGTATCACAAACCACATATTATGAAATGTTCATGGTCGCAGCTACCATTGTATGGCAGTATAGGCGCTATTTGAAATTTTTCAAAATTTAAAGTAGAATTTTATATTCCTTTTTTTCCCGAAAGCAGAAGTGTTTTAGGGGCTAAATTTTATAGTGCTTACAATACATCCACAGAGGCATCCAAATATATCAAAATTTTAAAGAATCGTTATCCAGCCAATTTTCAAAATATCCCAAAACTTTGTATTACCTTTAAAAAGATGAATTATGACAATTCATTACAATTTATAAGGACTCAGGTGTACGTAATTGATAAGTGACTTGCAGTTGTCAAAGTCTCTATGTTAAATATTTTTTAGCAGATGTAAACAAACATATTGTCATGATCCTTCAATTCCTTTTTAACAGGTTGAATCTTTGGACTTGTAATACATCCAAACATCTTCGTCATGATTTACACTTCGAAATTTATGATATCATGAATTCATGTAGAAAAATATTTAAAGTGTATTTGTGAATAAAGTCTGTCAATTGTATGTTACTACAGAAGTGATTATAACTGTCTCATTCGTATATCTTATATATTTGGTTTTGTGACTGAAATGTTTCCTTTAAAGGGGGCCTCCATCAAACGTGTCCAATTACTGACAAAGGGAATAGTAAGTAAAAGAGAGGAGAGAGTAAGAGAAAAGAGGGGTGAAACAAAGAAAGGGAAAGAGGGCAAAGAGGCAGAAATAGAAAGCGAGGAGGGAAATAGAGAATAAAAAGAGGGGGATAGAGAAGGGCGATGGTGTGAGAGATTATTTATTAGTGCATGTGGGGTTAGAGAGGGTGACGTTTGTGGGCAGAAAGAATGGGGAGCGATTTGTAAGCTGTTGTCATACTCGGAACAGTATAGCAATTTTTCTTCTCTCATGCAGATTATTTCCATTACCAATGTAACCGTATATCTGACTTCGTGAGTATTTATGGTTATTTAAGTGGAAATTAAAAGAGTTGAAATTAGTAGAAAAAAATTGAACAAAATCAGTCAAGGAATGTAAAAAATAAAGTTTATTTTAATATATATGTATAACTTGTCACTAGAGGGCAATATTTTATTTGATGACATAATTTGGGCCTATGGACGATTCTCCATGCCTTTTGACCAAGGAATCTTACCATTCTTTCATTTTCTTCATATTCATTCGTGTTCATGATTCAAATTCTTAAAATGTCAAGTAGAATATAATTCTGCATACTATATCTTTCTTTTTTTAGGGGAGTAGGTTATGTCAATCACAAAAAAGAAGGAAAAACATGAACTTTGAAGTACAGGACTGGACAGTTGTCAATAAATGATGCACCAAAATAAATATCGCACTCTAGTCACAAGTTATTTCAAAAACTTTTAATTTCATTATCCCTTCCCGATTTTCTTCAAATTGTCACTGGTTTAATACAAATCTTTGAACTTTTACAACCAAATTCACTTAGTACGGAGATTTGGTTCCCTTTAATATCACAATTCAGAGGGAGGGGGGCTGAAGGAATATACAGCCTATCCCAATTTCAGCCTTGTGTCTCTATGGTCGATAGCATAACAAGTACTTGTTTAATAACTTTGTACTTTGAAAACTAATAAAAAGAATCTGACATGGTTCTGATAAAAAACGAAAATTGTATTGATACGAAGCACTATCGTAACGACTTTTAAAATACCAACCTTAGGCAATTTCATTAGCTCTGTGTGTTTGTTTGTGTGTTTTATCTGTTTATTTCAAATTTTTAATACGGTGTTAAGAACCATGCCTTCAAGGGCATGGCTGTTTTTCAACAAGTCCTAATCATGTACATCTATTGAAATTGTCATACATCACAAAGACGTATTACATCTTCTTAACATGAGGATTTCTTTTGGCAGTGTAAATAGGGTATACAAATTGTCATTGAGCTGATTTCTCAACAATTTTTGCGATCATGTCGCAAATGGTCTCTGAGTATGATCAGTGCAATGCCAAAATTGATTTACAGCAACGAGCACTACGGGTTGGTTAGCACATACCAGTAACTGGTGTTTACTAAAGTCATGTGATCTTACCATGATGAATCACTACTTCAATTAATACCAAGGGAGGACACTTATGAGCCTAAAAACCTTTCGATACTCCACTTCAATCATTATATCAGGGTCACTTGATATATGAACTCCATGGAGGAGGTTTTCACTGGATATACATGTATAACGGTGCTCTTCAGTTTCTTAAGATCGTATTCTGTGATTATTTGCTGGTTTTGTTCTTTCCAAACAAGGTCACGGGGCGTATAGGCTCTTTTATGTGGGTATCACTAAGACGGAAATTTAGGCTTCAAATGGGAAAACAGGAGAGACGAAGAGAGAAGGAGAGAAGCAGGGGATAAGAAAGGGAGGGAGAGGGAGGATGGGGTAAACAGATCAAACGAAATGTCTTTATATGATATAAATGTATGCCACAAAAATCAAAAGACGGGGAAGTAACGAGATAGGGAAGAATTAGTAAAATCGAAAAGTAAATAATAATGAGAAAGAGAGAGGGTTGTCAAAATATTTAAATTATTTAAGGATTCTATGGTTAATATAAGAATATAGAATATCACTTCCCATTTGCAGATCTGTCTTGTAGGAACAGGGCGAGAAATTCATTCAGAATCGATGGTTTACAATAATAATGAGTTTTAATTTTTTATAAACATTGCGCTACATGTCGGTAAAGATTATGCAGACAATCGCTCGAATATATCAACGGGATTTTGTATTATCGGCAAAGTCTTTTCATTGAGGTTATTATGTATCATAATGGATCAAGATTATTCCTCTATTTCAATGGGATACATGCACACTTTAGAGGTTGTTGCAACCTTTTTTTTTTGGATTACTATCTGCAACGATGAAACTAGATCACCACTTCCTCACACCTCAGTTTCCTCGATGGATTCAAGTGGATAGCAAATAAGTGTATCATTACTGTGGGGTATCCTGGGGGACAAGGGGTATTATGAGGCACATGATCGCACATCCCTCCCCCTAACTGAATGTAAACACCTTCATGCACATGTAAATGAGAAACTTTACCGACGTGAACTCGTGAGCCCCCCCCCCCCCATCCTAACCCTAACCACAAAGTGCATAGGCATAAGAGCAAGTCATACGCCACCTAATATCCTTTGTAATGGCGCAATTATGATCGTCGTTAAAAATATGGTGTCAAAACTGTTATTCTACTCACTCTCTTCGCTCGCTTGCAATATTAGAACACTTGAACTTTGATATTCGGGAGGGTCGCCGTGCCTGTATGCCTATGGCCTCCAGAAAATGTGACAATTCCCCCCCCCCCCCCTGCTAGTCACCGATTTTTCTTTTTGCCTGTACGCTCACCACTCCCTATCAAAAAAAATATCCTGACCCCGCCCCTGTATCACAGTATGGTCACCCTAGTCTTCCGAACCATTGCCGATCGAGATTAGAACGGTAAGGAAAGCGAGAGCAGTCAGGACCGACCCCCGAGAACTGCTAGTTGAAGAGTGAGCAAAGTGTTTCAGTCGATGAACACACTTGATTGGCTAATCTCTATCATATGTCGTGGTTTCTCGTGATCAAGATGATGTTGCTGACTTGTTTAGTAGCCTCTTTGCTCTCTACATTAACGAATGCACAAGGTAAGTTAGAAAATATTTAACAAGTTATTATTCAACAAACAATGTTTCTTCTCTTTTCGAGCAAGTGCATGAAGGGTTCACGGAAGGATACACGATCGCTTCTAAAAGTGAGCATCAATCAAAAGGATTTGGTTTTATCACAGAGCGAATCCACCATGAGTAGGTATGCGCCTCTTCTCATCTGATACCTGATATCATGTGTTGCATTTATTATACAAAACAAAAACACATTGATGTTCTTTTCGATGAGTTTTGATAATAGATACATGTACTTATACAAATTAACAGTTTATCCCAATCTAGAATTTAGAAAAGGGAGAACGAACAACATTGTATTTGGTATTCCGTGGTTTATTACTTTCCGAGCAGCACGTTCGAATAAAGAATCCACTCCACAAAATCCAATAACCATCAAAGAAGCACAAAATAATTATCAACATTTCATTTAGAGCTTCATACTGTACAATATATGTTTAGGCCTCTTGAGCTGAGATTCATAGCAAGCGCTGCTCTTCCATTTTGATCGTACCTTTACCTCAACTTCATAGAACTCCTTTAATTTAAAATTTGAGGTAAGATGTCTCAGCTCTCACTTCCTACCTAAGTATGATGGCAAGCTAAGATCAAGTACGGGATTAATAAACAAGGTCTATCCACGGCATATTCGCGACAAGATTTCCCATCTAGTCACAACTAAAATAATAATATTCAACAATATGCATTATTTTCCAATTGTTCCCAAGAAGATTAATTTTGCATCATCCTGGTACTTGTCAAGTGCCAGGCACACACAGAAGGGCATTCTTGTTTTTTTTTTTTTAATCGTGAGCGAGCGAAGCGGCCAAGCAAAAATAAATGTTAAGGTGGTAACATTTATATTTTTAATCAGCGCAGTAGATAATATATTAAAATAATTTATGCGGGCACCTCGTCGCAAAATACATGACTACAAAAATCAAATTTTCAGTCACTTTAATACACGAGTCTAAAGATATTCGGACATTTGTTTCCCTGAATTATCCCGTTTTTAAATATTGCGAGAGAGCGAAGCGAACGAGCGTGATAAAATGAAATTTCTATGCCAAAAATATATATTCGGACCCCTCGCTGTCAATGGGAAAGGTAACTCCTTGGGCAATAATGAAGGCATTCATGCACTTCGATGCCTGAAATCATGTTTTTCTTAAATGTTGAGAGCGAGCGAAGAGAACGAGGAAGAAAGTCAAAATACATAAAGAACGCGGTTTGTAATATTAAGTTTACACAAAATCGACGTTATCGAAAAAAAGACTGCTGAAATTCATTAATAGCATGCTTCCGGATTCATTTAAATTAGACATTGATTAAAATAGGCATTGCATGTCAAATGAAAGCTCACGATCTAAAGAAATTGAAACGTATCATATCTTTCCGCTAAAAAACATGCGTGACCACAATCAGACATTTAAAATTGAATCTTGGCATCCCCCCTCCCAATTAACGAAACCAAAATCATACAAATTGGGCGCTTAGATGATACGTAAGCGATTGAAGGAGTGTCAGTTCCGGATTCATATAACGCCGTTTCAACACACACTAGACGATCGATAGCTGAATATTATCATCAATGTTAATAATTTATAATCCATAAAATGAGTGAAATTAGGTCATGCAGTACCTTGGATCTGCAGTATTCATCGTCTGAATCCAGTGACGATAATAATTATGGTTTCGATGGGCCAGTTTTCAAATTATTCTGAATTAAAAATACGTGTTTTCATGTCGACTATGTTTGATCGTGGGTGGGTACATTCCATCGACGTAATGTTAGCGGAAGCCGTTGTATGAGACGAGTGTTACATTACTTTGGTCGTTTTATTGGTTTTATTTATTTATTTACATACCAATCACCATCACCATATTTTCACCATCATCAGTTTTTTATTATTATTTTAATCATCTACTTCACCCCGGCCTATCACGTTTTCTAACAAATGCTTATTGTGATGGTCCTTTTTCTTCTGCAGATTTATGACTGACTAATTCTTGATAGTGTGTTACAGGTACATTTTGTTTTAATGTCAACATTTCTACTATTATTATATCGTGTATACGTTCAAAGAAATTGTTCTATTCTGTATACGTTGTATCGTTGAAATGTTATGTTATGTTTTGCAGAAGAAAATTAATTCAATTCAATTCAATATAACTTTTTTCTCTCCAGGCAACCCAAGAAATGTCTTGCAGCATACGATTGAGAAAAAAAAAATGCATTTGGCTTTTGTCTTTGTCCGTTCTTAATTAACTGTGGTTATCCAAACAAGGATTTCTTGAATACTGGCGATGGTAAAAATACATATTATTTATGCTAATCACTTAATTAGTGCAATGATTTCCTTCGTCCAGAAACCAACATTCGCCTTGTTAGTGGCTCTACGATCAGAGTAGGTCGAGTCGAGGTGTTGTACAACGGAGAATGGGGAACCGTCTGTGATAGTGGCTGGGACATGCAGGATGCCCGGGTAGTCTGTCGATCTCTTGGATTTGGTCAGGCACTCGAAGCTGTATCGGGTGCAGGATTCGGTGAAGGCACAGGGACTATTGTTTTGGATGACGTCAACTGCTCTGGAAATGAAGAGGACATTTTCCAGTGCGGAAATGCCGAACTTGGAATCAGCAACTGCGGACATGGACAAGACGCAGGAGTCCGATGTGCACAATTCCCATCAGGTAATGTTCTAATATCGGATTTCCTTTTTCAAAAAAAAAAGAATGGAAAAAAGGCAAACTATCACGATCGTAAACATCTTCGAAAAAAGCCTCTTCAATCACCTTTTACTGTAATCCAAACATGATTTTTGTTGTTGCAATATTTAGTCTCTGTTATTGTGTTAATTACACTTTCGACGATACACTCTTTAAACCTAAAGTACAAGAGCATTATTGAAAAGGGCTGAGGAGTAACCACATTTTCAAAATAGCTGGATATAGTTGGATCTAGAATGTCAATAAAATTAATCTATCATTTTGATAAAAGGGTCACTTTGAAATGGTGATTTATCACCCTTTTTTCGCTTAAACTTAGAAAATACCTCATATACAAAACATTTGTCTACCCTTTTGCCTCAACCCCAAAAAGCGTATTCGGTAGATGCGAATATATTCAGATATGCATGGATAACATTATCAAAATGCGTAGATTAATTGATTGTTGTTGTTGTTTTTATTGTGTGTGTGTTTTTTTTTTGTATTTTGTTTGTTAATTCGGGATGAATCTTCGAAAGATATCTTTGAGAAGCTTTTCACACACTGCCAGCTGTGCAGCTCGGATATCTTTGCCTCATCTCCCTTTCCCTCACTACCCTAGTAAAATGGTACAGTGACTTGTAAAATGTTTTTTGCGATGCCATTTATGTAGAAAAGATCACCACATTGGTTAACGCTCCTTCACGAACCATCACTATCTTCTTTCATATCATCAGCTAATATCCGTCTGATCAATGGGTCCAATCCTACCGAAGGTCGTGTCGAAGTCTTTTACAACGGAACATGGGGTACCGTCTGCGATAGCTATTGGGATGACTACGATGCTCAGGTGGTGTGTCAGAGTCTAGGTTTTGCTGCATTCGGGGTTGCTAATTTTAGAGCAACATTTGGAGAAGGCACGGGACCGATCTGGATGACTGAGACTAAATGTAAAGGAGATGAAATGGATCTCCTAGACTGCCCACACACTAGTCCACCCCACTACTGCGAACACCGCTATGACGCAGGGGTACAATGCAACCCAAGATGTAAGACATACTAATCATTATGATAACAGTAATTCAATAATTGTAATTACACTGTCGCTCATATAGTTGGAATATATTTTTTACTCTCAATTTATGGAATTATTTTGACAATGATTTATTCCCAATAGATCTAGATAATAGTATACATTCTCAGATTTTGTTGAATAATAATTTGCCATTGTTTGTTTTGCGTGACTGCTAAAATGGATATCAACTATGGGACCTACGCCCTTAAGTCATAAATGACAGTAATGAGGATTAAATGCCCCACACAAGGGCACTAATATGGCACATCGACACAATATTTTGATCCTGGAGCCTCACATGACTGTACGCAGCGGGGGCTAGTGTAGGGAGCAGTTCCCACAAATTAAAAAAAGAAAAAGAAAATGCAGTAAATTATCAATAATTCATTGAATTGCCCCCCCCCTCCCCTGGCCGTGCATTATGGCTCAAGGCATGGGCACACAGAAGATTTGTTTCTGTTGTGTACCGGGGGGGGGGGGGATTCAATGAATTATTGATAACTTATTGCATTTTATTCTTTCAAAAGGGCCGCTGGATTTTCAGCTACGATACACAATTGTATTCTGAACTTATTCATGATGTATAGGCCTACGTAGAAATGTTGGCATGATCCAACAAAATGTAAGATAATTATATACCAGACATTCATAGCATAGTTGTATGGATTTAATTGAGTGAAGGCAATAAATTAAGTTAAAATTAATTTGATCTCTTTTTTTTTTTAATGGGTGAATTTCAGCTTGATAATGGGATTCATCTTATCGTGTCATTTACAAATCAAAAGTGTCTTTTTGTTTTTTTTGTGAACACCTATGGGACCTCTGAGCATGAACACAGTGAAATATGAGAATGTGATTATCTTTGGCAAGACATTTGTTTACATTTGCCACTCTCAACCCAGGTGTAGTAAATGGGTACCAGGTACTCCTTGTATTATTTATAACGCTGTAGGGCAGCTGGGCTCAAGCCAGCATAGGCCTAATATTAATACCTTGTAGGCGTCTCGATCATCCCCTGGCTTGAGCATCCCCTAGGATGGATGTGTGCTTGATATAAATGTAATTAATATAATTATATGTTTATCATTCAAATTAATACCACCAGCAACACTTCGTCTGGTCGGTGGTTCGTCAAAGCTCGAAGGCAGAGTCGAGATGCAACTCAACGGCCAATGGGGATCTGTCTGTACCGATAATTGGGATCGCAACGCAGCCAACATCGTGTGCCGAAGTCTCGGGCTCGGGCAAGCTCGCTACATGTACTTTGACTCCGCCTTCGGTGAAAGTAACTTGACGAATGCTTATAACTTTGACTGCCAGGGGTTTCAGCCTAGCATCCTACGTTGCGGTCGGATTGGTGTCAATAACTGCCAATACAGACGTAACGCTGGTGTCCGCTGTTATGAAGGCATCTTAGGTAACATCCCAATAAACATTGAAAGGAATGAATAATGACAATAATTATGGAGATAATGATGATGACGGTAATAAGAGCAATAATGATTATGATAAGAACAACACCTGTGATTATAATAATATTGATATAACAATCATAACAATGTTTAATGATAATAAGAGACAAAACAACAATGATAATGATCATAAATCCAATTATAAATTAGTTAACAATAACTCTAACTACGAGGCATTTATTTAATTTTGCATCAGCATGAATTTTGTGAAAAAAGATTTCACAAACTACAAGAGTATGAGTAGATATTCTGAATGCAATGTGCTTGGGGCAGCAAAGGTAGATTCAGTTAACCTGAATGCGAAATATTATTATTTGTTTTGAGGTGGAGGCTCGTGGAGCGATATCTCCTCATGGTCCTACAAAGCTTAGCGCAAACTTAGGATCCTAATTTGCTATCTAATTGAGCTCACAGTCGCAGAGCAATCAGATTGCAAAGGTCATTCAAGTAGACTCACAGCCTACGATACCAACATCCCACATGAAAGAAAGAGACCGACAAAACAAAGAAATAAATAAGAAAACATAGAAAAGACAGTTCCTAAAGGTCCACAAGCCCGACGGCCCACGAGACCGATAAAACAAAGGAATACATAAGGGAACAGATCTCGTTATCGTGGGCTGTAGCCAGGATCATATTCTGATCGGATACATTGTTCTTGAGAGGTATCATGAGCATGCTCTAAGTTCAACGTAATTGTGTTGGTTCGTTTTTTTTGTTTTGTCTACAGCACCTGTTCGTCTTGCTGGTGGTCCATCGCTCCAAGAAGGTCGCGTCGAGATCCTTTACAACGGCGAATGGGGGACTGTCTGTGACCGTGGCTGGACTGTCTTCGACAAACCTTCCGACATAGTCTGTCACTCTATTGGACTAGGTAACGCCGAGGCAACCTATGGGGGTGGTCGTTATGAACAGGGTACAGGACCTATGGTTCTAGATGATGTATTTTGCCCAATTCCAACGTAACTAGCATCATACAGTGCAGGAGCGAAGGTTTTGGAGTCGGTTACTGTAACCCCTCGGCAGAAGCTGGGGTACGTTGTGGAAGAAGCCCACAAGGTAAGAATCCTAATCAGTTGTCTTTGTAACTTCATGTAAAGGATCATTTACTTATGTTCACAAGCAGTTGATAATGTAATAAACCTGAACACTAGAATATAGATTACAGAACGTATATTGTATGCATTAAACTTTTCGACCAAGTCGACTGTGGGTGACAAAAGTAAAAGGTAAAATTATTCTTGAAAATAAGCTCAATTATACATTTGAAATATAGTGACACTTTGAAATGCAAAGAACTTTGACCGCCCATCGAACATTTACAAGATTTAATAGTCATTATATTCCTGGTCAGTTTAGTTTGTAGCGCACCCAAATCTACATGATGAAACTAGAGCCAAGGGGCTAATGCCTCTAGCTAATATATGAACTTTCATTTTTTTATAACTTTGCAAGCGAGCAAACAAAAGGTCTGAAATTGATACTTTGTTATAATAGATAATCTTTACAAGCACTTAATAATAAAGATAGCTTATTTGTCTAGCTATAATAAGATCATTGCATGAATTATTTTAATTTCACAACTAAAACATATCCACCACCTCTTACGCCTCCTGCACCCTCAAAACTTTCCACAAGTGTTTCTATTCTAACTTTTCATCGGCGATAGAAACAAAACATAGACAAAATGAAGGGGTAATATAAGGAAAGGGATACATTTCTGCAGCTAAATGTTCAAGAATGCATATTTCTTTCCAGCATCAATCCGTCTTGCTGGTGGCTCGTCGAGAAACGAGGGGAGAGTGGAAGTTCTCTGGCAATCACAATGGGGGACTGTCTGCGATAATGGATGGGACCTGACTGATGCCAACGTAGTCTGTCGAACTCTTGGACTCGGTCCTGCACTCGAAGCCATCTCTTATGCTGGCTTTGGTCAAGGAGCATGGGCGATCGTTCTGGATAATGTGAACTGTACTGGGGATGAAGACAGCGTCTTCCAGTGCCAACATGCTGGTATGGGTGTCCATGATTGCGAACATGGAGAAGATGCAGGGGTTCGTTGTGCCCCTAGCCCATTAGGTAATCAGTAGTGTCCATTCTCTTTGGAGGGCTGTATGAATGTAAATGTTTGATGATTGTTTTACCCCACTACTAAGAAAACATGTGTATGATTGTCAGTAAGCAACCAGGGGTCGAAGGCTTTAAGTACCCTCCGGGGGACTTGGTAATGCAGATTAAGGCCTCACTTAGAGGCACGAGCACATTGTCTTGGTATTGATCATGGGACCTCCCGGTCACGAGACCACTACCCTACCACCAAGCCTTCGCAACTTCTCCTTGGTTAGTTGGTTGATTTATTTTCCGTATAGAGAATAAAAATTTTCTTTTACTAGTTTTACAAGGGGCCAAGTGGAAAAAATATGAAATTGAAAAAAAAATGAATTTAAGACTTCGATGGGATTTAAATAAAGATCTACAAACCGCCAAAGTCAATAAACGAAGTATGAATTTATGATTATGGCTACCAAAAGAGAAATAGAACCCCCCCCCCCAAAAAAAAAGAACTGATATGAGCCAATCGAATTAGCCTTACGATTCAGAGCACTGTGGTATATTAGTGAAGGCTCTATACTATCATACGAGATGCTGTTGGTTCGATCATGCTCGTTGCTGACATCGTTGGACAAAATGCTTTAGCCCAAACATGTCCCTCTATTTAAGTATTATACCTAGGTGTACATAGATACTTTGCAATGCTGGCGAAATAGTAATCGCAGGGCTGCAAGAAAAGCAGTTTCATAGTATTAATACCGATGTGGCTATAGACCTACACTGCGTCAATAAGACCCAATTATTATCATATAACATTTTTTTCCCTTCAGGATCAGTACGTGTTGTCAATGGCTCATCAAGATACGAAGGCCGAGTCGAAGTCTATTACGACGGAAAATGGGGAACCGTCTGCGACGATTTTTGGGATGACACCGATGCTAGTGTCGTTTGTCGGATGCTTGGTTTGGGCGATAACGGAACTGCCGTCGGTTGCTCTACCTACGGGGAAGGTTCTGGAGATATCGTTCTTGACAATGTGAGGTGTTTGGGAAATGAGACGGATCTCTACTCCTGCCCCAGTAATCGTCCACTCCGACACGATTGCAAGCATTCGGAGGACGCGGGAGTGCAGTGTCTCAATACACGAGGTAAGTCGACGTTGTACATCTAACATTAACCCCATTGTATAAGAATTAATTATTATCAGAATGAAAACTTATATTTCTTTCAATTCTTACTTTTTAATTTTCTCTCAAGTCCAATCCATTCCACTGACAAGTATAGTGCCTTCAAAAAGCACTTCACGAATTTCATTTCATTATATTTTATCATTATATAAACTACATAAAAACAACAAAACTTGAGTTGTTTGAATACACGAAAGTTACAACAAAAGTATTCAATAAAAATTAAAAATTTAATGTGTTTGAAAGATGTAACTCCCATTCGTTGATTAATTAAGATAATAGTTCTTCGTGTAATAAATATCACTAAAGCAAGTTTGATGCAAACGCTGATTGAATCCGACAGCTATTCGTCTTGTCGATGGGCCATCAAACAGCGAGGGTCGAATCGAGGTCCTCTACAACGGCATCTGGGGAACCGTCTGCGATAACTTATTTGACATGAACGCTGCCTACATCGCGTGCCGTTCTCTCGGCTTCAACTACGCCCTCGAAGCCGTCCGTCTTGGTGGGTTCGGGGAGGGCACAGGGCCGGTGATTCTTGATGAAGTTAGGTGCTACGGGCCTGAAGAGAACCTTTTCCAGTGCATGCATAGACCGCCTCTAAACGCCTATTGTGGACACTGGGAAGACGCTGGAGTGCGTTGTGCCGGAAGCACACCAAGTAAAGTCTCTCGAGATATAGTTTCATTCATTTCATTTTTGTATTTCACTCTCTTTTAAAAAACATCAAAAATATTTATATTTATATATACATGTTTGTTAATTATCACATAGGATAAAAGGAAATGGGGAATTATGAAAGCCAAAACTGGCTTGATGAGGATGATCCCCAAATAAATACTTAGCATAAACAAGATACAAACTTATTTTATATAAAAACATAGTACATACATTCACAACAGAGGACAGAGGAAAGATAAAGATAACATAAGGTAAAGATAGTTACAGGAAGATAAAAAGAGAGAGAGAAGATAAGAAGAAGGAAGTTACAACTTGTATTTTACATTCTACATAATAATGACAATTTCATTTTGTTCCGCTTAAATAACCCTTATACATATATTTGAAGCGTTTCAATATATTGCACTGTTTTATGTCATGTGGCAAACTATGACAAACTAATGGGCCATGAAAAAATATGTAATCTTTAGAGGTTGAAGTACGGTGTAAAGGTAAATGAAAATCAAGAGCGTGTCTAGTACTATATTTGTGGATTTGACAATTCATTGAAAAACATTCCCTAAATGAATCTGGTCAAGGTATATCTTTCAAGAGCATGAACATAAAAGTGGCAAAATTAAAAATATTATGTCATGGATTTGCAAGATTTGCATCTGTTTCAAAAGAGGATTACTATGACAATATAAGGAAATTCGAATGAGTTATTATACGTAATACTCGTGTTTGTAATTTGTGTTAGTTCAATTTAAAAAGAATTTGTAAATGTCAATTCATTTATGGAATGCAATGACGTCAACCAAAATTAATTACCGGAATTAAGTTAGTTAAAACAAACACTGAATACGCGTAAAACCTCTGCATAAATATTCAGGCACTTTTAATTGTCTTTACCCGGACTTCAGATCACTGTGAATATATAATTTAGTCACGATTTTGTTTTCTTCCTTGGATGATATTTCAGTTATTTCACTTTTTTGGGAATATATGTATTTGTGATAACCGTGAATGTTTATCGTTTACAGCACCCATCCGTCTAGTTGGTGACTCATCTAATACCGCAGGACGAGTCGAGATATCTTACAAAGGACACTGGGGGACAGTCTGTCATGATGACTGGGACAATGACGATGCAACTGTGGTGTGCCGTAGCCTGGGTCTTGGTACCAACGGAATAGCTTACAGGTATGGTACAGTACGGTAAGGTATGGTGTGGTATGGTGTGGTATGGAACAGTAGGTATGGTATGTTGTGGTGCGATATGGTATAGTATGGTGTGATATGGTAAGGAAGGTGTGTTTGGTATGGTGCGGTGCAGTATGGTATGGTATGGTGCGGTACGATGTGGTAAGGTTATGGTATGGTGTACAACAGTATGGTATGGTACGGTATGCTACGGTGTGGTATGGTATGGTATGGTACGGTGTGGTACGGTTATGGTATGGTATGGTGTGCAACAGTATGGTATGGTACGGTGTAGTATTGGTATGGTATGGTGTGGTATGGTACGGTATGGTATGGTGCGGTATGGTATGGTAGGTTATGATACGTTATGGTGTGGTGTGCCTTTGGTTTGGTATGGTATATTATGGTATGATGCGGTATGGTATGATATGATACGTTATGGTGCGGTGTGCCTTTGGTTTGGTATGGTATAGTATGGTATGTGCGGTATGGTATGATTTGATATGCTATGGTGCGGTGCGCCTTTGGTTTGGTATGGGTATGGTGCGGTATGGTATGGTATGATATGTTATGGTGTGCCTTTGGTATGGTATTGTATAGTATCAGGCGCGTACACAGGGGGGGGGGGGGGGGTTTGGGGGTTAACCCCCCCCTTTGGTATTTTTTTGTGTGTAAACCCCCCCCCCTAAATTTCCCTAAAACCCCCCCCCCTTTTGGGTGACCTCAAAAAGATGACCTTACCCCCCCCCCCAACGGAGCAAAATGTCAAATTTTCAAATTTCGATAACAAAAAAAAAAAAAAGTAACCTCTTACCCCCCCCCCCCGCTTATTCAGCGGTCGGCTGAGTCGTTGCGATTTTTTTTTGGGACCAAAAAAAAAAAAAAAGTGACCTCTTACCCCCCCCCCCCCCCCCCGCTTATTCAGCGGTTGGCTGAGTCGTTGCGAAATTTTCGGCCCGATTTATAAATGTTAACCCCCCCCCCCCCTTGAAAAAATCCTGCGTACGCGCCTGTATAGTATGGTATGGTGCGGTGTGGTATATGATACGTTATGGTGTGGTGTGCCTTTGGTACGGTATGGTAGGTTCTCCGACATTTGGTCCGGCGACAATTATTTTTTGGGTATCATTTATATGGCAAGATACACCAAGATAAAATAATATATTCATATACAAAAGAGGGAGAAAACAAAGATTGAAAATACTGGATGTGCTAGCTTTGTTGCTTGGGTATAGAAACAGGTAACTTAATAGCAATAACCCTGACCAAGCTAGCGCAACCAGGGTAAAAAAAATATTGATAAATATCATGAATAGTATAAAACAAAATAAAAAGAATAGTCCTTGCTTGGTTGGAGCTCGGTATTCAATTTTGATCGTTGCTTTCCGTACGGATTTGGGACGTAACTTGTTTCTAGCTTTATTTCGTTGCGAGTTGGTTTGAGGTTAGGGTTAGGTATAGTGTTGAGTCAAGTGTTGGAAATGGTTGCAGGAAAAAGTGTCTTATGGTATGTTATGGTATGGTACTGTATGGTACGGTATGGAATTTACTTACCAAATCATAATATGAAAGAATACGTAACTACTTATCTGGGGCATGCTCCAAGCGTTCTCTTCAAACAGGGTAACAAAAGTTAATCCTGAAGCACTCCCATCACTTTCTGAGTGACTATTCTAAGTGAGACCTATCCATGTTTTATAAGATCTGTGGATATTTAGCAACTATCCAATTGTATTGTTAATGTTCAGTGTTATCTGAGGTATGGACATGTATCGTGAATATTTTTATATTGTAACGGAAAATAAATCAACTCCAAACGAATAAATACAGGTATCACTTTGTCGAGGGTTCTGGAGGAGTTGTCCTTGCTGAACTTGTGTTCATTCTAGGTTTACATATAGCACACTGATTTGATATTTAATCAAATCAAATCAGGTATGGTCACTGTGGCGATGGTCTAGGAGAAGTCATTCTTGCCATATTCCATAATATAAAGCAATGGCTAAACAATTATGTAGGCCTATGCATGTACGTCAGTAACCGTGATTTTGTCATTTAAATTTGAAATTTAATCCAATCAAATCAGGTATGCTCACTTTGGTGAGGGTTCTGGAGATGTTATACTTTCCAATCTCCGATGTACTGGTGATGAATCGGATCTTATGGCCTGTCCCAGCACTGGACCGCTCAACAACAGGTGCCTACATTTCCAGGATGCCGGAGTACGCTGTCTCTGAGGTAGTTTTCTTAAAACATTTTCTTAAACCAAAACAGCTCTACTAAATTATTTATCAATCTTGGTAGTACTTTTCATGTGAAAGATTCTCCTTCTCCACTTTCATCACTTGTTGGGTTATATTGGATATGGTGAAAGGGATATCTCGTTTCTCCGAAGGTTCATATTACGAAAAGTTGGTTACTCCGCAGGTTCATTATCCCGTAGGTTCCTTAGTCTGAACTTGAAATAGGGTTCTTTATTCTGAAAATGAAGGTTCTAAATTTCGAAAGATTGTCGTTATTCTGAAGGTTTGTAATTCCTCAATGCAATAGAATCAATTATTTTTTTAGGAATTCCGATCCTTCGGAAGGGCACTCAATTAATGAGAGAGAAGATAATTCAGTTAGTTTTCAAGATTAAATTTCGGATAAATTTGACTGCGCCGCTTGCAAAATAAATTGGAAAGATTTTACGTCTCATGTTGATACGCACTTAATTTCTTCATAGAGTTATGTGTTATGGGCCAACACCTGTGAGTTCACGGAATGACTTACGACGCTGCGATAGGGCTACACAGAGACGCAGAAAAGTGATCACCCAATACTGTGCTTTGCTCAATGATCACAAAGCAATAAAAGACTAGCTTTTTTTTCTCCTTTGTTAAAATGTTTGAAACTGTATTTAAAAAAACAAAAACAATTTGAATGACCCCGAATAACCTCATTCTATTATTAGATATAAATATGGCATTGTAAATATGGTATTCGATTTTGTTAAATATAAACTTATTTTCAAAAATGTCAATTTCTTAAGAATCTGTTTTCCTTCGTTATGTATTGTCTTTTACCACTTTGTTTATTCATGTTTAAATTTCCAAATTGTAATACATTACCATTAACGTAGTTCAAGTCGTATCAACAATTATAATCGAACATTTATCGTTGATCAATAAGTATTACAGCTGGAAAAAATATTAAAGGTAATACAAAGTTTTGGTAGGGGGTCATGAATTTAGTTCAAATGAACATATTGGAAGCATATGCGATCCTACAATATTAAGTGATCGTTGTCGCTGTTGAAAGCGAGTCTAAAAATATAAAATTGTTAATAAAAAACTCTTTGTTTTATAGCTCCCTCTCAAGGTCAAGATATAAATTAAGCTATAAAACACTGTTTCTTGACTAAAATCGACCGATTAGCTATTCCCGTTTTGAAATTATGTATCACAAACCACATATTATGAAATGTTCATGGTCGCAGCTACCATTGTATGGCAGTATAGGCGCTATTTGAAATTGTTCAAAATTTAAAGTAGAAGTTTATATTCCTTTTTTTCCCGAAAGCAGAAGTGTTTTAGGGGCTAAATTTTATAGTGCTTACAATACATCCACAGAGGCATCCAAATATATCAAAATTTTAAAGAATCGTTATCCAGCCAATTTTCAAAATATCCCAAAACTTTGTATTACCTTTAAAAAGATGAATTATGACAATTCATTACAATTTATAAGGACTCAGGTGTACGTAATTGATAAGTGACTTGCAGTTGTCAAAGTCTCTATGTTAAATATTTTTTAGCAGATGTAAACAAACATATTGTCATGATCCTTCAATTCCTTTTTAACAGGTTGAATCTTTGGACTTGTAATACATCCAAACATCTTCGTCATGATTTACACTTCGAAATTTATGATATCATGAATTCATGTAGAAAAATATTTAAAGTGTATTTGTGAATAAAGTCTGTCAATTGTATGTTACTACAGAAGTGATTATAACTGTCTCATTCGTATATCTTATATATTTGGTTTTGTGACTGAAATGTTTCCTTTAAAGGGGGCCTCCATCAAACGTGTCCAATTACTGACAAAGGGAATAGTAAGTAAAAGAGAGGAGAGAGTAAGAGAAAAGAGGGGTGAAACAAAGAAAGGGAAAGAGGGCAAAGAGGCAGAAATAGAAAGCGAGGAGGGAAATAGAGAATAAAAAGAGGGGGATAGAGAAGGGCGATGGTGTGAGAGATTATTTATTAGTGCATGTGGGGTTAGAGAGGGTGACGTTTGTGGGCGGAAAGAATGGGGAGCGATTTGTAAGCTGTTGTCATACTCGGAACAGTGTAGCAATTTTTCTTCTCTCATGCAGATTATTTCCATTACCAATGTACCCGTATATCTGACTTCGTGAGTATTTATGGTTATTTAAGTGGAAATTAAAAGAGTTGAAATTAGTAGAAAAAAATTGAACAAAATCAGTCAAGGAATGTAAAAAATAAAGTTTATTTTAATATATATGTATAACTTGTCACTAGAGGGCAATATTTTATTTGATGACATAATTTGGGCCTATGGACGATTCTCCATGCCTTTTGACCAAGGAATCTTACCATTCTTTCATTTTCTTCATATTCATTCGTGTTCATGATTCAAATTCTTAAAATGTCAAGTAGAATATAATTCTGCATACTATATCTTTCTTTTTTTAGGGGAGTAGGTTATGTCAATCACAAAAAAGAAGGAAAAACATGAACTTTGAAGTACAGGACTGGACAGTTGTCAATAAATGATGCACCAAAATAAATATCGCACTCTAGTCACAAGTTATTTCAAAAACTTTTAATTTCATTATCCCTTCCCGATTTTCTTCAAATTGTCACTGGTTTAATACAAATCTTTGAACTTTTACAACCAAATTCACTTAGTACGGAGATTTGGTTCCCTTTAATATCACAATTCAGAGGGAGGGGGGCTGAAGGAATATACAGCCTACCCCAATTTCAGCCTTGTGTCTCTATGGTCGATAGCATAACAAGTACTTGTTTAATAACTTTGTACTTTGAAAACTAATAAAAAGAATCTGACATGGTTCTGATAAAAAACGAAAATTGTATTGATACGAAGCACTATCGTAACGACTTTTAAAATACCAACCTTAGGCAATTTCATTAGCTCTGTGTGTTTGTTTGTGTGTTTTATCTGTTTATTTCAAATTTTTAATACGGTGTTAAGAACCATGCCTTCAAGGGCATGGCTGTTTTTCAACAAGTCCTAATCATGTACATCTATTGAAATTGTCATACATCACAAAGACGTATTACATCTTCTTAACATGAGGATTTCTTTTGGCAGTGTAAATAGGGTATACAAATTGTCATTGAGCTGATTTCTCAACAATTTTTGCGATCATGTCGCAAATGGTCTCTGAGTATGATCAGTGCAATGCCAAAATTGATTTACAGCAACGAGCACTACGGGTTGGTTAGCACATACCAGTAACTGGTGTTTACTAAAGTCATGTGATCTTACCATGATGAATCACTACTTCAATTAATACCAAGGGAGGACACTTATGAGCCTAAAAACCTTTCGATACTCCACTTCAATCATTATATCAGGGTCACTTGATATATGAACTCCATGGAGGAGGTTTTCACTGGATATACATGTATAACGGTGCTCTTCAGTTTCTTAAGATCGTATTCTGTGATTATTTGCTGGTTTTGTTCTTTCCAAACAAGGTCACGGGGCGTATAGGCTCTTTTATGTGGGTATCACTAAGACGGAAATTTAGGCTTCAAATGGGAAAACAGGAGAGACGAAGAGAGAAGGAGAGAAGCAGGGGATAAGAAAGGGAGGGAGAGGGAGGATGGGGTAAACAGATCAAACGAAATGTCTTTATATGATATAAATGTATGCCACAAAAATCAAAAGACGGGGAAGTAACGAGATAGGGAAGAATTAGTAAAATCGAAAAGTAAATAATAATGAGAAAGAGAGAGGGTTGTCAAAATATTTAAATTATTTAAGGATTCTATGGTTAATATAAGAATATAGAATATCACTTCCCATTTGCAGATCTGTCTTGTAGGAACAGGGCGAGAAATTCATTCAGAATCGATGGTTTACAATAATAATGAGTTTTAATTTTTTATAAACATTGCGCTACATGTCGGTAAAGATTATGCAGACAATCGCTCGAATATATCAACGGGATTTTGTATTATCGGCAAAGTCTTTTCATTGAGGTTATTATGTATCATAATGGATCAAGATTATTCCTCTATTTCAATGGGATACATGCACACTTTAGAGGTTGTTGCAACCTTTTTTTTTTGGATTACTATCTGCAACGATGAAACTAGATCACCACTTCCTCACACCTCAGTTTCCTCGATGGATTCAAGTGGATAGCAAATAAGTGTATCATTACTGTGGGGTATCCTGGGGGACAAGGGGTATTATGAGGCACATGATCGCACATCCCTCCCCCTAACTGAATGTAAACACCTTCATGCACATGTAAATGAGAAACTTTACCGACGTGAACTCGTGAGCCCCCCCCCCCCCATCCTAACCCTAACCACAAAGTGCATAGGCATAAGAGCAAGTCATACGCCACCTACTATCCTTTGTAATGGCGCAATTATGATCGTCGTTAAAAATATGGTGTCAAAACTGTTATTCTACTCACTCTCTTCGCTCGCTTGCAATATTAGAACACTTGAACTTTGATATTCGGGAGGGTCGCCGTGCCTGTATGCCTATGGCCTCCAGAAAATGTGACAATTCCCCCCCCCCCCCTGCTAGTCACCGATTTTTCTTTTTGCCTGTACGCTCACCACTCCCTATCAAAAAAAATATCCTGACCCCGCCCCTGTATCACAGTATGGTCACCCTAGTCTTCCGAACCATTGCCGATCGAGATTAGAACGGTAAGGAAAGCGAGAGCAGTCAGGACCGACCCCCGAGAACTGCTAGTTGAAGAGTGAGCAAAGTGTTTCAGTCGATGAACACACTTGATTGGCTAATCTCTATCATATGTCGTGGTTTCTCGTGATCAAGATGATGTTGCTGACTTGTTTAGTAGCCTCTTTGCTCTCTACATTAACGAATGCACAAGGTAAGTTAGAAAATATTTAACAAGTTATTATTCAACAAACAATGTTTCTTCTCTTTTCGAGCAAGTGCATGAAGGGTTCACGGAAGGATACACGATCGCTTCTAAAAGTGAGCATCAATCAAAAGGATTTGGTTTTATCACAGAGCGAATCCACCATGAGTAGGTATGCGCCTCTTCTCATCTGATACCTGATATCATGTGTTGCATTTATTATGCAAAACAAAAACACATTGATGTTCTTTTCGATGAGTTTTGATAATAGATACATGTACTTATACAAATTAACAGTTTATCCCAATCTAGAATTTAGAAAAGAGAGAACGAACAACATTGTATTTGGTATTCCGTGGTTTATTACTTTCCGAGCAGCACGTTCGAATAAAGAATCCACTCCACAAAATCCAATAACCATCAAAGAAGCACAAAATAATTATCAACATTTCATTTAGAGCTTCATACTGTACAATATATGTTTAGGCCTCTTGAGCTGAGATTCATAGCAAGCGCTGCTCTTCCATTTTGATCGTACCTTTACCTCAACTTCATAGAACTCCTTTAATTTAAAATTTGAGGTAAGATGTCTCAGCTCTCACTTCCTACCTAAGTATGATGGCAAGCTAAGATCAAGTACGGGATTAATAAACAAGGTCTATCCACGGCATATTCGCGACAAGATTTCCCATCTAGTCACAACTAAAATAATAATATTCAACAATATGCATTATTTTCAAATTGTTCCCAAGAAGATTAATTTTGCATCATCCTGGTACTTGTCAAGTGCCAGGCACACACAGAAGGGCGTTCTTGTTTTGTTTTTTTTAATCGTGAGCGAGCGAAGCGGCCAAGCAAAAATAAATGTTAAGGTGGTAACATTTATATTTTTAATCAGCGCAGTAGATAATATATTAAAATAATTTATGCGGGCACCTCGTCGCAAAATACATGACTACAAAAATCAAATTTTCAGTCACTTTAATACACGAGTCTAACAAATTTTCAGTCACTTTAATACACGAGTCTAAAGATATTCGGACATTTGTTTCCCTGAATTATCCCGTTTTTAAATATTGCGAGAGAGCGAAGCGAACGAGCGTGATAAAATGAAATTTCTATGCCAAAAATATATATTCGGACCCCTCGCTGTCAATGGGAAAGGTAACTCCTTGGGCAATAATGAAGGCATTCATGCACTTCGATGCCTGAAATCATGTTTTTCTTAAATGTTGAGAGCGAGCGAAGAGAACGAGGAAGAAAGTCAAAATACATAAAGAACGCGGTTTGTAATATTAAGTTTACACAAAATCGACGTTATCGAAAAAAAGACTGCTGAAATTCATTAATAGCATGCTTCCGGATTCATTTAAATTAGACATTGATTAAAATAGGCATTGCATGTCAAATGAAAGCTCACGATCTAAAGAAATTGAAACGTATCATATCTTTCCGCTAAAAAACATGCGTGACCACAATCAGACATTTAAAATTGAATCTTGGCATCCCCCCTCCCAATTAACGAAACCAAAATCATACAAATTGGGCGCTTAGATGATACGTAAGCGATTGAAGGAGTGTCAGTTCCGGATTCATATAACGCCGTTTCAACACACACTAGACGATCGATAGCTGAATATTATCATCAATGTTAATAATTTATAATCCATAAAATGAGTGAAATTAGGTCATGCAGTACCTTGGATCTGCAGTATTCATCGTCTGAATCCAGTGACGATAATAATTATGGTTTCGATGGGCCAGTTTTCAAATTATTCTGAATTAAAAATACGTGTTTTCATGTCGACTATGTTTGATCGTGGGTGGGTACATTCCATCGACGTAATGTTAGCGGAAGCCGTTGTATGAGACGAGTGTTACATTACTTTGGTCGTTTTATTTATTTATTTACATACCAATCACCATCACCATATTTTCACCATCATCAGTTTTTTATTATTATTTTAATCATCTACTTCACCCCGGCCTATCACGTTTTCTAACAAATGCTTATTGCGATGGTCCTTTTTCTTCTGCAGATTTATGACTGACTAATTCTTGATAGTGTGTTACAGGTACATTTTGTTTTAATGTCAACATTTCTACTATTATTATATCGTGTATACGTTCAAAGAAATTGTTCTATTCTGTATACGTTGTATCGTTGAAATGTTATGTTATGTTTTGCAGAAGAAAATTAATTCAATTCAATTCAATATAACTTTTTTCTCTCCAGGCAACCCAAGAAATGTCTTGCAGCATACGATTGAGAAAAAAAAAATGCATTTGGCTTTTGTCTTTGTCCGTTCTTAATTAACTGTGGTTATCCAAACAAGGATTTCTTGAATACTGGCGATGGTAAAAATACATATTATTTATGCTAATCACTTAATTAGTGCAATGATTTCCTTCGTCCAGAAACCAACATTCGCCTTGTTAGTGGCTCTACGATCAGAGTAGGTCGAGTCGAGGTGTTGTACAACGGAGAATGGGGAACCGTCTGTGATAGTGGCTGGGACATGCAGGATGCCCGGGTAGTCTGTCGATCTCTTGGATTTGGTCAGGCACTCGAAGCTGTATCGGGTGCAGGATTCGGTGAAGGCACAGGGACTATTGTTTTGGATGACGTCAACTGCTCTGGAAATGAAGAGGACATTTTCCAGTGCGGAAATGCCGAACTTGGAATCAGCAACTGCGGACATGGACAAGACGCAGGAGTCCGATGTGCACAATTCCCATCAGGTAATGTTCTAATATCGGATTTCCTTTTTCAAAAAAAAAAAGAATGGAAAAAAGGCAAACTATCACGATCGTAAACATCTTCGAAAAAAGCCTCTTCAATCACCTTTTACTGTAATCCAAACATGATTTTTGTTGTTGCAATATTTAGTCTCTGTTATTGTGTTAATTACACTTTCGACGATACACTCTTTAAACCTAAAGTACAAGAGCATTATTGAAAAGGGCTGAGGAGTAACCACATTTTCAAAATAGCTGGATATAGTTGGATCTAGAATGTCAATAAAATTAATCTATCATTTTGATAAAAGGGTCACTTTGAAATGGTGATTTATCACCCTTTTTTCGCTTAAACTTAGAAAATACCTCATATACAAAACATTTGTCTACCCTTTTGCCTCAACCCCAAAAAGCGTATTCGGTAGATGCGAATATATTCAGATATGCATGGATAACATTATCAAAATGCGTAGATTAATTGATTGTTGTTGTTGTTTTTATTGTGTGTGTGTTTTTTTTTTGTATTTTGTTTGTTAATTCGGGATGAATCTTCGAAAGATATCTTTGAGAAGCTTTTCACACACTGCCAGCTGTGCAGCTCGGATATCTTTGCCTCATCTCCCTTTCCCTCACTACCCTAGTAAAATGGTACAGTGACTTGTAAAATGTTTTTTGCGATGCCATTTATGTAGAAAAGATCACCACATTGGTTAACGCTCCTTCACGAACCATCACTATCTTCTTTCATATCATCAGCTAATATCCGTCTGATCAATGGGTCCAATCCTACCGAAGGTCGTGTCGAAGTCTTTTACAACGGAACATGGGGTACCGTCTGCGATAGCTATTGGGATGACTACGATGCTCAGGTGGTGTGTCAGAGTCTAGGTTTTGCTGCATTCGGGGTTGCTAATTTTAGAGCAACATTTGGAGAAGGCACGGGACCGATCTGGATGACTGAGACTAAATGTAAAGGAGATGAAATGGATCTCCTAGACTGCCCACACACTAGTCCACCCCACTACTGCGAACACCGCTATGACGCAGGGGTACAATGCAACCCAAGATGTAAGACATACTAATCATTATGATAACAGTAATATCAATAATTGTAATTACACTGTCGCTCATATAGTTGGAATATATTTTTTACTCTCAATTTATGGAATTATTTTGACAATGATTTATTCCCAATAGATCTAGATAATAGTATACATTCTCAGATTTTGTTGAATAATAATTTGCCATTGTTTGTTTTGCGTGACTGCTATTAAAATGGATATCAACTATGGGACCTACGCCCTTAAGTCATAAATGACAGTAATGAGGATTAAATGCCCCACACAAGGGCACTAATATGGCACATCGACACAATATTTTGATCCTGGAGCCTCACATGACTGTACGCAGCGGGGGCTAGTGTAGGGAGCAGTTCCCACAAATTAAAAAAAGAAAAAGAAAATGCAGTAAATTATCAATAATTCATTGAATTGCCCCCCCCCTCCCCTGGCCGTGCATTATGGCTCAAGGCATGGGCACACAGAAGATTTGTTTCTGTTGTGTACCGGGGGGGGGGGATTCAATGAATTATTGATAACTTATTGCATTTTATTCTTTCAAAAGGGCCGCTGGATTTTCAGCTACGATACACAATTGTATTCTGAACTTATTCATGATGTATAGGCCTACGTAGAAATGTTGGCATTGATCCAACAAAATGTAAGATAATTATATACCAGACATTCATAGCATAGTTGTATGGATTTAATTGAGTGAAGGCAATAAATTAAGTTAAAATTAATTTGATCTCTTTTTTTTTTTTAATGGGTGAATTTCAGCTTGATAATGGGATTCATCTTATCGTGTCATTTACAAATCAAAAGTGTCTTTTTGTTTGTTTTTGTGAACACCTATGGGACCTCTGAGCATGAACACAGTGAAATATGAGAATGTGATTATCTTTGGCAAGACATTTGTTTACATTTGCCACTCTCAACCCAGGTGTAGTAAATGGGTACCAGGTACTCCTTGTATTATTTATAACGCTGTAGGGCAGCTGGGCTCAAGCCAGCATAGGCCTAATATTAATACCTTGTAGGCGTCTCGATCATCCCCTGGCTTGAGCATCCCCTAGGATGGATGTGTGCTTGATATAAATGTAATTAATATAATTATATGTTTATCATTCAAATTAATACCACCAGCAACACTTCGTCTGGTCGGTGGTTCGTCAAAGCTCGAAGGCAGAGTCGAGATGCAACTCAACGGCCAATGGGGATCTGTCTGTACCGATAATTGGGATCGCAACGCAGCCAACATCGTGTGCCGAAGTCTCGGGCTCGGGCAAGCTCGCTACATGTACTTTGACTCCGCCTTCGGTGAAAGTAACTTGACGAATGCTTATAACTTTGACTGCCAGGGGTTTCAGCCTAGCATCCTACGTTGCGGTCGGATTGGTGTCAATAACTGCCAATACAGACGTAACGCTGGTGTCCGCTGTTATGAAGGCATCTTAGGTAACATCCCAATAAACATTGAAAGGAATGAATAATGACAATAATTATGGAGATAATGATGATGACGGTAATAAGAGCAATAATGATTATGATAAGAACAACACCTGTGATTATAATAATATTGATATAACAATCATAACAATGTTTAATGATAATAAGAGACAAAACAACAATGATAATGATCATAAATCCAATTATAAATTAGTTAACAATAACTCTAACTACGAGGCATTTATTTAATTTTGCATCAGCATGAATTTTGTAAAAAAGATTTCACAAACTACAAGAGTATGAGTAGATATTCTGAATGCAATGTGCTTGGGGCAGCAAAGGTAGATTCAGTTAACCTGAATGCGAAATATTATTATTTGTTTTGAGGTGGAGGCTCGTGGAGCGATATCTCCTCATGGTCCTACAAAGCTTAGCGCAAACTTAGGATCCTAATTTGCTATCTAATTGAGCTCACAGTCGCAGAGCAATCAGATTGCAAAGGTCATTCAAGTAGACTCACAGCCTACGATACCAACATCCCACATGAAAGAAAGAGACCGACAAAACAAAGAAATAAATAAGAAAACATAGAAAAGACAGTTCCTAAAGGTCCACAAGCCCGACGGCCCACGAGACCGATAAAACAAAGGAATACATAAGGGAACAGATCTCGTTATCGTGGGCTGTAGCCAGGATCATATTCTGATCGGATACATTGTTCTTGAGAGGTATCATGAGCATGCTCTAAGTTCAACGTAATTGTGTTGGTTCGTTTTTGTTGTTTTGTCTACAGCACCTGTTCGTCTTGCTGGTGGTCCATCGCTCCAAGAAGGTCGCGTCGAGATCCTTTACAACGGCGAATGGGGGACTGTCTGTGACCGTGGCTGGACTGTCTTCGACAAACCTTCCGACATAGTCTGTCACTCTATTGGACTAGGTAACGCCGAGGCAACCTATGGGGGTGGTCGTTATGAACAGGGTACAGGACCTATGGTTCTAGATGATGTATTTTGCCCAATTCCAAGCGTAACTAGCATCATACAGTGCAGGAGCGAAGGTTTTGGAGTCGGTTACTGTAACCCCTCGGCAGAAGCTGGGGTACGTTGTGGAAGAAGCCCACAAGGTAAGAATCCTAATCAGTTGTCTTTGTAACTTCATGTAAAGGATCATTTACTTATGTTCACAAGCAGTTGATAATGTAATAAACCTGAACACTAGAATATAGATTACAGAACGTGTATTGTATGCATTAAACTTTTCGACCAAGTCGACTGTGGGTGACAAAAGTAAAAGGTAAAATTATTCTTGAAAATAAGCTCAATTATACATTTGAAATATAGTGACACTTTGAAATGCAAAGAACTTTGACCGCCCATCGAACATTTACAAGATTTAATAGTCATTATATTCCTGGTCAGTTTAGTTTGTAGCGCACCTCAAATCTACATGATGAAACTAAAGCCAAGGGGCTAATGCCTCTAGCTAATATATGAACTTTCATTTTTTTTTTATAACTTTGCAAGCGAGCAAACAAAAGGTCTGAAATTGATACTTTGTTATAATAGATAATCTTTACAAGCACTTAATAATAAAGATAGCTTATTTGTCTAGCTATAATAAGATCATTGCATGAATTATTTTAATTTCACAACTAAAAAATATCCACCACCTCTTACTCCTCCTGCACCCTCAAAACTTTCCACAAGTGTTTCTATTCTAACTTTTCATCGGCGATAGAAACAAAACATAGACAAGATGAAGGGGTAATATAAGGAAAGGGATACATTTCTGCAGCTAAATGTTCAAGAATGCATATTTCTTTGCAGCATCAATCCGTCTTGCTGGTGGCTCGTCGAGAAACGAGGGGAGGGTGGAAGTTCTCTGGCAATCACAATGGGGGACTGTCTGCGATAATGGATGGGACCTGACTGATGCCAACGTAGTCTGTCGAACTCTTGGACTCGGTCCTGCACTCGAAGCCATCTCTTATGCTGGCTTTGGTCAAGGAGCATGGGCGATCGTTCTGGATAATGTGAACTGTACTGGGGATGAAGACAGCGTCTTTCAGTGCCAACATGCTGGTATGGGTGTCCATGATTGCGAACATGGAGAAGATGCAGGGGTTCGTTGTGCCCCTAGCCCATTAGGTAATCAGTAGTGTCCATTCTCTTTGGAGGGCTGTATGAATGTAAATGTTTGATGATTGTTTTACCCCACTACTAAGAAAACATGTGTATGATTGTCAGTAAGCAACCAGGGGACTTGGTAATGCAGATTAAGGCCTCACTGAGCACATTGTCTTGGTATTGATCATGGGACCTCCCGGTCACGAGACCACTACCCTACCACCAAGCCTTCGCAACTTCTCCTTGGTTAGTTGGTTGATTTATTTTCCGTATAGAGAATACAAAATTTCTTTTACTAGTTTTACAAGGGGCCAAGTGGAAAAAATATGAAATTGAAGAAAAAAATGAATTTAAGACTTCGATGGGATTTAAATAAAGATCTACAAACCGCCAAACTCAATAAACGAAGTATGAATTTATGATTATGGCTACCAAAAGAGAAATAGACCCCCCCCCCCCAAAAAAAAGAACTGATATGAGCCAATCGAATTAGCCTTACGATTAAGATCACTGTGGTATATTAGTGAAGGCTCTATACTATCATACGAGATGCTGTTGGTTCGACCATGCTCGTTGCTGACATCGTTGGACAAAATGCGTTAGCCCAAACATGTCCCTCTATTTAAGTATTATACCTAGGTGTACATAGATACTTTGCAATGCTGGCGAAATAGTAATCGCAGGGCTGCAAGAAAAGCAGTTTCATAGTATTAATACCGATGTGGCTATAGACCTACACTGCGTCAATAAGACCCAATTATTATCATATAACATTTTTTTCCCTTCAGGATCAGTACGTGTTGTCAATGGCTCATCAAGATACGAAGGCCGAGTCGAAGTCTATTACGACGGAAAATGGGGAACCGTCTGCGACGATTTTTGGGATGACACCGATGCTAGTGTCGTTTGTCGGATGCTTGGTTTGGGCGATAACGGAACTGCCGTCGGTTGCTCTACCTACGGGGAAGGTTCTGGAGATATCGTTCTTGACAATGTGAGGTGTTTGGGAAATGAGACGGATCTCTACTCCTGCCCCAGTAATCGTCCACTCCGACACGATTGCAAGCATTCGGAGGACGCGGGAGTGCAGTGTCTCAATACACGAGGTAAGTCGACGTTGTACGACACAATGATTATATTAAGTGTCGATTGCTCATCGGTCAATTTTCCTAAACTATTTGTTTAAGATTATCAGAACGAAAGCTTATTTTTTCTTCAAATCTTTATCTTTAATTTCCCTCACCAGCCCAAATCCATTGCACTGAGAACTCAGTATAGCGCCTTCGAAAAGCACTTCACGAATTTATTTTATCATTATAAAAACTACATATAGAACAACCGAAGTTGAATTGTATAAATACATGATAGTTACAACAAAAGCGTTACAATAAAAACACAAACAAAATACGCAAAGTGCTTGAAAGATGTAGCTCCCGTACATAGAATATTTAATTTAATAGATCTTCATGTAATAATTACCACTCACTAAAGTTTTATGTAAACGTTGATTGAATCCGGCAGCTATTCGTCTTGTCGACGGGCCATCAAACAGCGAGGGTCGCATCGAGGTCCTATACAACGGCACTTGGGGAACCGTCTGCCATGACCAATATGACATGAACGCTGCCTACGTCGCGTGCCGTTCTCTCGGCTTCAACTACGCTCTCGAAGCCGTCAGATATGCTGGGTTCGGGAAGGGCACAGGTCCGGTGATTCTTGATGACGTTCGGTGTTACGGTGCTGAAGAGGACCTTTTCCATTGCAGTCATAGAGCTCCTTTTGATAACATTTGTCAACACCATAAAGACGCTGGAGTGCGTTGTTATTCCGGAAGCACACCAAGTAAAGTCTTGATATTGAATTACTGTTAGATTTTTAATATAATCTAAACTACGTTCCATTTTGATGAATTGAAATGAGGTTACCTAAATCAAGTGTGGGTAATGGTCCTATGTTCACCACATGTGGACAATACCGTCGAAGTTCGTTTTTCCCAAACCACATCAAGTAAAGTCTCTCGAGTTATAGTTCAATTTGAAAATAATTTATATATGTCATTTCATTTAATGAATTTGCATTCAACCAATATCAATTACCTTAATAAAGTTAGTTACAACAAACGCTGAATAGAACCTGTGCTTGAAATTTCAGGCACTCTCAATTGGCTTCAGATCACTGTGAAAATATATAACTTAGTCACAATTAGTTTTTCTTGTTTGAGTGATATTTGAGTTATTTCATTTTTTGGATATCCTTAGGATTATGTGTAATTGTGATAACCGTGAATGTTTATTAACTTTATTGTTTACAGCACCCATCCGTCTAGTTGGTGACTCATCTGATACCGCAGGACGAGTCGAGATATCACACAACGGACAATGGGGGACAGTCTGTCATGATGGCTGGGACAATGACGATGCAACTGTGGTGTGCCGTAGCCTGGGTCTTGGTACCAACGGAGTAGCTTTCAGGTATGGTGTAGTCCGGTATGCTATGGTATGGTGTGGTATGGTGTGGTGTGGTGAGGTATGGTATGGAACAGTAGGTATAGTATGTTGTGGTGCGGAATGGATGGTATAGTACGGTATGGTATGGTATGTTGTGGTGCGGTATGGTATGGTATAGTATGGAACAGTAGGTATAGTATGTTGCATAGGCGCCGGAAGTGGGGGGGCAGGGGGGCAGTTGCCCCCCCAGTCAAAAAAGTGGGGGGCAAAACGCATTTTTGCCCCCCCAAAACGCCCCCCCCCCTCCAAAAAAAAAAAAAAAAAGCAGTAAAGGAATAAACATGGTTTGTATTTTTAACCCAAAAGAACATAACATTAATAAAAACCTGAATTAAAGCACATATACCATTCCATTCAAAGAAAAGGAAAGTTCACAGGAATTAAATTTTTATAAACATTGCGCATGCTACCTATACGGTTTATAATAGCGATACGCGCATATCGTGGACATATTGTGCGAGAATGGGAAAACGTGTCTGTTTTTTTGGTTTTGTTATAGGGGTGACAAGACATGAGCCCCTGAACGCTGGCGTACTGATGGGGGGGGGGGGGGTATATCTAAACGATACCAGTGATTTACACATGTTGCTGTTATGACATGATTTTCCGGTATTTTTTCTCCATTTTTTTTTAAGTCATACCTTTTTATGCGTTTGTTGGAAAATAAGAAATTCCCAAATTACAGTCGGGCGAAAAATACGCTTATTTAGAAGCCTTTTATGACATGGTCTGCAAAGTGGCTGGGCTCGAGCCCCTCCCCCCTCACTTTTTGAAAAAGTATGTTAAAGAGAAAAAGAAAGAAAGACGGAGAGAAAAAATAAGTGACCTGCCAATGTCACAAATAAGGCATAAAAAATGCTCATCTGACCGTAATTAAATGCCTAGAACCCCAGAGCTTACGGGTGCTCCGCCCCCGGACCCCACCAAGGGCCCTAAGGCGGGCCCCTGGATGCTCATCTGACCGTAATTAAATACCTAAAACCCCTGAGCTTCCGGGGGCTCTGCCCCCTGGACCCCACCAAGGGCTCTAAGGCGGGCCCCTGGATGCTCATCTGACCGTAATTAAATACCTAAAACCCCTGAGCTTCCGGGGGTTCTGCCCCCTGGACCCCACCAAGGGCTCTAAGGCGGGCCCCTGGATGCTCATCTGACCGTAATTAAATACCTAAAACCCCTGAGCTTCCGGGGGCTCTGCCCCCTGGACCCCACCAAGGGCCCTATAAGGCGGGCCCCTGGATGCTCATCTGACCATTATTAAATACCTAAAACCCCTGAGCTTCCGGGGGCTCTGCCCCCTGGACCCCACCAAGGGCCCTATAAGGCGGGCCCCTGGATGCTCATCTGACCGTAGTTAAATATTAAAACCTCTGAGCTTCTGGGGGCTCCCCCCCCCCCTCTGGAACACGTCAATGGCCTTAAAGAGGCCCCTGGATGCTCATCTAACCGTAATTAAATACCTAAAATCCCTGAGCTTCCGGGGGCTCAGCCCCTTGACACCCTGCCGAGGCTGGACCCCACGCCAATTTACGCTCTACCTGATCGTTAATACTTCACTTTGAAAAACGTTCCGCGGGACCTGCATGTAACGTGTAAGACTGGTGGTGATGCAGATTTTTCGTCTGCCCCCCCCCTTCCGAACGTTTTTTCTCATTACGTCACTGCCCTCGGAAGGTGAGCCCCCTGGAATGTTTGCCCCCCCAATCCCAAACTGCTTCCGGCGCGCCTGGTATGTTGTGGTGCGGAATGGATGGTATAGTACGGTATGGTATGGTATGTTGTGGTGCGGTATGGTATGGTATAGTATGGAACAGTAGGTATAGTATGTTGTGGTGCGGTATGGATGGTATAGTACGGTATGGTATGGTATGTTGTGGTGCGGTTTGGTATGGTATTGTACGGTATGGTATGGTGCGGTGCGGTTGGTATGGTATGTTGTGGTGCGGTATGGTATGGTATAGTATGGTATGGTATGTTGTGGTGCGGTATGGTATGGTATAGTATGGTATGGTATGGTGTAGTACGGTATGGTAGGTATGGCATGGTACGGTATGGTATGGTATGTACGGTGTGCTATGGTATTGTATGGTAAAGTGTGGTTTGGTGCAGTAAGGTGTGGGATGGTGTGGTTTGGTGCAGTAAGGTGTGGTATGGTGCGCTACGGTATGGAAGGGTGTGGTGTTCTATGCTAAGGTTTGGTGTAGTACGTATATGGTACGGTATGGTATGTGTGGCATTATTTTTTATAGTATTGTGTGGTACGATGTGGTATGGGGTGGTATGGCATGGTGCGGTATGGTATGGTAAGGAACGTAACGGTATCCTGCAGTACAGTATGGTACTATTTGGTATGGTATTGCATGGTATGGTATGTTTTGGTGCGGTATGGTATGGTACGGTATGGTAACGTATGATATGGTACGGTATATGTTGCGGTATAGTATGGTACCGTGCGGTACGGTATGGTATGGTGCGGTACAGTATGGCATGGAATATTATACAAATAATGAATGATTATGAGTTCAATAGACTATTGAACTCATAATAGTGCGAATATGTTCATGAGTTGAAAGATTAACATTCTATTCAACGAGGCGTCAGCCGAGTTGAATAGAATTAACGTTAATCTTTCAACGAATGAACATATTTGCACTATTAAACGAATGAAAAACATTCATTATTTGTTTTATACAACATCGAAGAAGACCTAATAGAACGTTAATCAACAAATTATGCTTTACTCCTTATAAAGATGAATTAAAGTTCGAGTCAAGCCTTCTCGATTACATGCAGATTGCCTTCGCGTCAGATACACGCAGGGATACGCGCACATGCAGCAGAGAGGTACGCAGTCTGCATATAACCAAAAATGCACGGCGCATATAACCAAAAGTGCACGACCGTGCAATATACCATCTATTGAATATCATGTGACCAACAATCGTCCAATCAAATGACAAGGATCCACGTAGGTGTTGTATAAAACGGTATGGAGCGTTCCAGTATGGTTTGGTATGATATGATATGGTATGGTGCAGTATGGTATGGTATGGCGCGTTATGTGTTTATGTATGGTACGGAATGGTACGATATGGTACGGTATTGTAGGTTCATTCACATTGGTTCGGGCGACAATCGTTTTTCAATGTATTATGTACCATTCATATGGCAACATACACCAAGATAAAATGATATATTCATATACAAAAGAGAAGGAAAAATGATTGAAAATGCAGGATGTGCTAGCTTTGTTCCCGGGCTTTGTTGCTTTGGTATAGAAACAGCTAACTTGATAACCATAACCATCAGGTCTTTCTCCCCGATCAAGTTAGCGCATCCACGGTAGAAAGTATCATCAATACAAGAATATATGAAACAAAATAAAAAGAGCAGTCCTTGCTAGGCTGGAGCTCGATCTAATTTTGATCTTTGCTTTCAGTTCAGATTTTGAAGAAAATTTGTTCCTGGCTTTATTTCGTTGCGAGTGGGATTTGGGTAGGGGTTGGGTATAGTGTTGGGTTGATGGTTGAACATACCGCGGAAAAATTGTCGCAGGAGAAAGTGTTTTATGGTATGTCACGGTATGGTATGGTACGGCATCGTATTTACTTACCAAATCACGATACAAAATAATACGTAACTACTTATCTGGGGCATGCACCATACAAGCATCACTTTTTAGCCAACCATTTTGAAACGTGTTCTCTTCAAGAAGGTTAACAAAAGTTCATCCTGAAGCACTCCCAATCACTTTCTGAGTGACTGTTCTAAGTGAGACCTTTCCATGTTTCATAAGATCTGTGGATGTTTAGCAACTATCGAATTGTATTATTTAACGTTTTGTTTGTTAACAGTGTGGAATAGACATGTATCGTGAAAAGGTTTATATTGTAACTAAATAAATCAACTCAAAACGAATAAAATCAGGTATTTGGCGAGGGTTCTCCTTGCTAATCTCGTGTATGTTACATGTTTACGTATAGCATAATGATTCAATTTTTACATTAATAGATGTTCATCATTTACCGTGATATTATTTGAATTTAAAATTAATTCAAATCCGTCCAGGAATGCTCAATTTGGGTAGGGTTATGGAGATAGACATGTATTGTCAATACTTATATATTGTAATGGAAAATAAATCATTTCAAAACGAATTAAATCAGGTAGGATCATTTTGCCGAGGGTTCTGGAGAAGTTGTCCTTTGCCAATCACTTGTACAAGTCATAGTCAAACTCCATTATATAGCACTATGATTCAAGTTTTGACATCAATACAGTATACATCAGTTATCGTCCTTTTGTCCTTTAAATTTGAAATTTAATCCAATCAAATCAGTTATGCTCACTTTGGTGAGGGTTCTGGAGAGGTTATACTTGCCAATCTCCGATGTACTGGTGATGAATCGGATCTTATGGCCTGCCCCGGCACTGGACCGCTCAACAACAGGTGCTTACATTTCCAGGATGCCGGAGTACGCTGTCTCTGAGGTAGTTTCCTTGAAACATTTTTCTTAAACAAAATTGCCATTACTAAATTATTCATCAATCTTGATATTAATAAAATGAAAGATTCTCCTTTCGCTGGTACCAGTTAATATGTCTCACATTAGTAGAAGTATACTAATCTTTTTTGTTTGTTTGGGGGGGGGGACCCTGAATATATAGTTATCACTTGTTGGGAACATGAAATACGGTCTTAAATGAAGGTTCCTTATTTCGAAAGATTCATATTTCCAAAATATTTTCCTTATTCAGAAGGTTTATAATTCCTAAATGCAATATCAGAGAACCACATATTTTTTCGGAATTGTTATTCTTCGGATTTATAACCCGTCATTTTCGGAATTGTGAACCTTCAGAGAAATTTGTTCGGAATAGCGAGCCCTCTTTCATTTCAAGTATAACGAACCCCTTGGTATGGGAAAGTTTATTTCGGAAGTATGAACTCTTGGAGTGACGAATCTTCGAAAAAACGTAGCTTCGAGAAAAAAATAGTGCACTCAATTAATGAGGGGCGAGGAGAAAATTCTATATTCCTAAAAAAATTAGTTTTCAAGATTTAATGATGAATTTGAAATAATAATGTTCAGATCACAGACTGAGTTATGACCTAAGTTTGTTGTATTTTTTGTCTTTATTTTCCAGACGATGCTGACTGGTAGTACACATCGCCGGTCTAGCCGAAGACAAGCCAAGTTTACCAATCTTGGCACATATGGATTAGTTTTATATCATAATCGTCTTTGTAGTTATTTGTAATTCTTAATGTTTTCAAGAAGCGAAACATCGAAAATGTTCTCTTACACTTTTGTCATGGACGATGTACGTGTCAGTATTTTACTTTTTCTTATATTTCTTGCTTAATTTAAACCTATACAATATAGCCATATTTTGTGATTTCCATAAACTTTTGTTTTGAAAATAAAAATATTGTATAGATATTCAAGTGTCAGAGCATTGGATATTTTCAGTTCATTGATACATATGCCGGGAAGCAGAAAATTGCCATTGAGCTACAATTATCTTTGACATTTCTAGTGCCCTTTCGGGACCTAAACAAATATGATTTTGTCATTTAAATTGTCTGTTCTTTCAAAATATACACTCAGTTTTTCATTATCTCACAACAAAATTATTTTGTGTAGCGCCCTCTACTACAGAACTCAACCCTCCCTTTAATTCAGTAGGTATTTATATATGTCCATATAATTAGTTTTATTCAAACTTATACAAGTAGCTTTGATGACCAGCTTACAAAAGAACACCTACAACGTAAAAATAAATCCACCGTACATGAAAACACTGTACATGAAAAAAGTCAGAACAAGTTTGTAGTTGAAAATTATTATCAGAATAATTAAAAAACAACAAATTCCGGAAGAAGAACGCCGAATCAAGGAGGTACAGCCAATTCATAAATTATTATCAACAATTCATTTCTAGCAAATAAACGAGAGTAAAAGGTGAAATTCAAAGAAGATCACAAATATGCCAACTAATGTATCACTAGAAACTGGTAAGCTAACAGATGGCCATCGTACAAGTTTTAGGTCAACTACATATCGGGTGATTTATTAAAATACAAAGACAACCACCTCCATAGCAGTTGGGATATACGAGAGATTCGCCGGAAAAATAACGATGTTTTGATGACGTCACTATATGGACCAACACTACCCAAGCAGACGACATCCCATAGAGAATGAACATAATTGCAAAGCTATTATTTCCCAAATTATAATGAGTTTAGTGTATATAAATGTAATGGCATGTCAAACCATTCAAAAGGGGATATGACCCGATTCTGATAACTAAAATCATTTGCTTGTAAATACACAGGATAGGGGTTAATTAACAATCAAAGAAACCAGACTTTCAAATTAAAAAAACCCCGGAATGATATTAAGCACGGCATTATTTTGTTCCCTCTTGAAACGCCGAACATACCCCGATGTGTGCAGCTGAATATACAATGGCGTCTTATTTTGTTTACAAGCGACAGATTCCTTTATTTTTGTATCGCTGCATTTGTCATCAAAATAAAACCATGCGCGGGGTTTAGAGTGAGGCAATAGATTATACATTTTAGCCTGACGGTAGTGAAGTAAGAGAAAGAACTCAAGAGAAGATGAAAACACAGGCACTGAAAATGTGTGAGATGTCATGGGACATCGTCTGCTTGTGCAAGTCATGTCCATACTGTGATCTCACACATCTCAGCAGCGTTCGGAGAGCTCTTCCGGTGCTATGCCGGGGCTGTATTTAAGCGTTTTGTAATTTATAATAATCGTTACTTCGAATGTTTCCATGCATTGAATTTCGTTAACATTGTCGAATCAAAGTTTTAACTTTGCAATAATGACAATAAAGTTAGTTTTTAAAATCAATGAATATCTACTTTAAAAGAAAAGAAAATCTACATAAGCGATAAAAAAAAATACATACCAAAAAGAAGAAGAAGAGATAGAGAGAGGGAGAAAAATATATCTCAAGTGTGATTGGAGCATTACCTTCTGAATAAAGGGAACGATTATTGTATCAAATTGAACACAATTCCATGAACTTCTCATTCAAAATTGGAACAACCTTTTTTTTGCAACGTACTCATTCTTTTAAATATACCGATATACTTGGAATTCGTAGCCTATTAATAAAAGGGACCTCGATGCTTTTATGTAGCAAGAAATTGGTGGAGGTGTGGTAGTTTGGTGGTTTAAATAACAGGGTCACCCGAAGGTTGTGGGTTCGATCCCAGGCAGGACAGTTTCATCTCCATGGCCTGCCTCCACCTTGTGCAAAGTGAAATAGGATTAGGCGGTCGTTAATGACCAGCGGTGGTTTGTTCAGTATTGTGTATCCTATTGCGGTCTGTTCAGTAATTTTCGAACCCCATGAGTGGAGAAGGTGCACATAATAGGCGGTGTCACACAGAGGCCAAAAATCCGGATTTTAGTTATCCGGTTTTTAATTATCCTCTTTTTGGCTGTCTGACATCAATTATCCCTTCAAAAATCCCTTCAAAAATCCCTTCAAAAAACCTCATATGAAGCAAGATAATTCTCTCTTGAAAGGATTTTTCAAGGGTTTTTTGAAGGGATTTTTCTGTCTGACACCAATGTTGAAATAATCCCTTTAAATAAGCGTGATGTCACAATGCTTATCCACCTAAACGGCGCATACTTTCGATTGAACGTGTAATGTCCATGTCACAATGCTTATCTACCTTAACGGCGCGTGCGCAATGGCCCATCAATAATCCGGATTTTAGTTATCCGGATTATTCGTGGCCTGTCTGTCACCGACGTACTCAAATGAAAAAAATAGATTTCTAAAATCTGTTTTATTCAAGATGGGTCGGGATTTTTCTGTGTGACACCGCCTAACGTGTGCGGGGAAATCGTGAATCCAATAATCGGGGGCTAATAGAGACATCATATACCGTTCTAAGATTAATCATTAATGTTGTTCTTATCATTGTATTACATTCTTTTGTACTTGTTATGGGATTGATACCTTTTATCATTCTGATTAGATGGAATATTTGGGAATAAAGTCTATCACTTTTATTTCATGACGCTTATGAATATTGAACTATTTTTTCACAATATACACATTTTTCTGTATTTGATTGTAAATTTAAGGGGGTGGAAGAAAAGAAATGTTGCCTTACTTTAGTCAACACGACATAATGGAAAGAGAGAAGAAGAGATTTAGCGTTTATTAAAATATTACATAAAGAAAGTGGTTGAGAAAGAGAGAAGTAGAGATTGATGTTGGACGTTTATTACACTGAGACAGCGGTTGGGGGAAAAGAGCGGGAGAGAGAGAGACTAGAGACAGCCAGGGGCGGATCCAGCTTGCGGCAGGGATGGGGGCCAAAGAGGGGGCCCAATTCGTGAGAAAATATTTAGCGGCGAAACATCGGTGAATAATAAGCGGGGGGGGGGGGAGAGGGGGAGTGAGCATTAATTGTTTTGCCCTCGAAAATTTGAAAATCGCACCCCGCCCCCCCCCCCCCCCTCCCCCTGAGCACCAGGAGGGGGGGGGGGGGGCGTCTCCAAATAAAGGTAAAATTACGTGTTTTATCTTGGTTTTTTTCCCTCCCTGGATCCGCCACTGGAGACAGCTGACATAATAGAGACACAGAGAGACAGCTAATAGAGAGAGAGAGAGAGAGGGGGGGGGGTGAGATATAGACATTGAAATGAGAGATTGAGGCATGTCTACGGGGAAGAGATGAGAGGGGGAGGAATAAACAAAATTGATGGAAATATGTTTAAAGAGACTAGACTATAACACTGATCTTGGTTGTCATGTTATCGTTGACCATAATATTATTTTCGTGGTATCATCTGCACTTTTATAAATTTCCTTTTATTCAAGATTCGAACAGTCCTTTGTTAGTCACGATACCGGATTAATTTGAAAATTTTGGCGCTCAGGAACTAATCTTATACCTTCCAATGAATTTCCTCCAGAAGTAGCCCATATTATGCATCATTTCCAACCTTATGATCCTCGACTATCATAAATGGTTAGAGTGAATTAGGGTAGGGCAGCCGAGGGATTCAACAGACTTCCCTATGCCCGCTAATGATTTTTTTTCTTTCACTCCAGGATTTCTCTAAAGATTTTTAAACTTCTGCAGATCACTTTTTAAAATGCAAAGCGAAACTTCACTCAGTTGCGAAAGGCTCAATTAAAGCAACTCTTTCTCTCTCTTTCTCTCTCTCTCTCTCTCTCTCTCTCTCTCTCTCTCTTCATTGATATATCATATTGCAGTACAGTCTCTTCATTTAGGCTGTATTTTGTATGGGGTAAATTATAAAAAAAACCTGCAGGGCAACCTAATGTGCGTCAATAACGAGGAGGGGGAAATGAGACGCCTCCCAGTTTGAGTTGATAAAAATACATTAATAATTTTTCCCCTCTCCTTTTCTGAAAGGGGGCTTACAGTTTGCCCACAATAAAAAAGTGCCCCAATTTCCCGCCTTTTGACGCCAGGCCTATTCGACAAATCAAGGAAAGGGGAGGGTAAAACTCCATTACCCCTGTTTAGTGCCTGTCTCCGTCGAACATGCATATCACAAGAGTAGACTACTGATTAATTTGTAATATAGGTATATGAGAGACTATATATTTTTTTCAAAGATAAATTTTGAAGAACATTCCCTTCAGAACAAACTGCCTCCAACCAAAAGCATCAAATTTCTCTTATTCCTCCCCAAGGAGCCGGAGCCGGGAGGACTGAGGAGAAAAATATCTTGCACCACTTTCCCCTTTTACACGTAATAAGGTAATAAGAGTGGATGCATTGCGATATATCATAACCACCACCTACAGAAAGACAAGATAACGAGATGTGACTGACTCCGGGGGGCGTTATTTTCTTCTGCGGCACAGATTGGGGCTTTAAAAAAAAAAAGAGGTCTTGATTTAACCCTAACCCTAACCCTAAACTTTCCCATAGGCCGCCATCCTAGTCAAGCTTCGCTTATGATTGCGGTCTCCTGCACTTTTTCAACTGATAGTTTGGATAATACTTTAAATTTATAATAATATGTTATCGAAATATTAAGTTTTGTTATTATATGTACATATGTAAAAATTTAAAAAAAAAAAAAATAAAAAAACATTTTGACACGAAGTTATCATTGTATGTATATTTTGTATTATACCTTACGTTTATATGTTCTTTGTTATTTTGTTATTATAATTGGAAAAATGCAGAAATAAAATCAAAATCAAAATCAAAACCAATCTGTGCCGCAGAAAAAAATAACGCCTCCGGGGGGGGGGGGGGTACTCACATATAAAGACATACGGCGGTGTGCCGCTCTAATGGGCCACTTTTTCACCCAAAAATCAAGGGTCCCATTTTTAACAAAAAAATCCGGTTTTTAAAAATTTCCAAAATTTTCAGGTGTTTGCATTGCACCCGAAAATGTTGGCAGACACACTAGTGTTGTGAAAAATGTGCTTTACTTCGAGAAAAATCCCCCTAAATGACCCTTAATGGTAGGGGCTTCTCGTGGCCTGGGCGGCACACCCCTTTCCAAATCAGGTAAATCAGCCCACCCCCACCCTATTTTCACATCGCATAGGCCTACGCGCCCAACATCGAAGATCGTTCTAGAAGTGCACAACCCAAGTACTGCTCTGTATAATTTCGCTGATGCACGAGAGTATTGCCGTCAAAGGGGGATGTATAGCTTGTACGGGCTGTATGATATGAGGACCAGCGAAACGCATGGTAACGCATTGATCGGATATCAAAGGAGAAAATTCTAACCAAGCATGGCCGCCATCAAAGCTCTAAATCCCAAAGCCGAAGTAGCTAGAGCAGCCGCAGCTCTCGCAGTTAATACAAGTGCAGCTAGAGGACTTCAAGATGTCTTACGTACCAATCTCGGACCGAAAGGAACTATCAAAATGTAAGAAATATCTGTTTATTTCAGGGTTGTTTCCTCAGTGCGGCTAACGGCGCGGCGGGCACCTCGGCCTCGTAATGCAATGCACTGTAACTTAACTGTACGACGGAACGGCTGTTCCGCCGCCTGAACTAACCCGTGAACAAGGAAGGAGTGATCAGTGCCGCCGCGCCGTGTACATGTGCCCTATTCATGAGTCATCATCTGTCTTTTAAGTTTTAAAAGTGTTAGGTTCGACTTTTAAGAAATAAATTACAAATTCTCCATTGTTTTGAATGAAACTGCTGTCATGCCATTTTATTTTGCATGTGTGTAACTGTAACCAACGAAGTCAGAATTTTGAATTTATTTTCTTTTGACTTTTTTTTTTTGTCGTCGGTCGGCTTGCTTGAAAACCTGACCATTTTGCCGATGACAAAAATGACCTATTCCCAGGAGATCTGATATTAAAAGAGCATTAATTTGAACAAAAATATATCAGTATCAGTTACCATTTGACTTTGTTTTAGAAGGTTTCCCCCTTTTTCACAAGCATGCTATAAACTAGACCGAAAGCTTCAGTCTCTATAATCGTCGGTTGTTCCACTGAGACTACGTCTGGCTCCACTAGACCTCCGGTTATAGAGACTGAACGACTGCCTATGCCAGCCTGTGTTGAACTTATTCCGCTAGATTTTAGCCGCTAGGCCCCTCCCACAAACTTGCCACGGCCGTATTGTTATGCCCCCAAAATCCCCCAAAATGTCATTTTACCTCGTTCATTTCCAATTTTAAATTAGGCCTAGGCTATAATACATCGGTTCCACTTACTAACTTCATTGATATAATCCGTTTAATGGTCCTTTTTAAGGAAATTATCGGTCAAAATCGACATCCATGTTGAAAATCTTGCAAGCCGTGTTTAACTCTCGCTGCCGTCAATCTCATCCCTTCTAGTCTACGCCGAAGGCAAAATGATTATGAAGGAAAAACTGTGATAACGCCATTACGAACGTGTAGATGGCGCACAGTTTTTCCTTCATAATCATTTTGCCTTCGGCGTAGACTAGAAGGGATGAGATTGACGGCAGCGAGAGTTTAACACGGCTTGCAAGATTTTCAACATGGATGTCGATTTTGACCGATAATTTCCTTAAAAGGGACCATTAAACGGATTATATCAATCAAGTTAGTAAGTGGAACCGATGTATTATAGCCTAGGCCTAATTTGAAATTGGAAATGAACGAGGTAAAATGACATTTTGGGGGATTTTGGGGGCATAACAATACGGCCGTGGCAAGTTTGTGGGAGGGGCCTAGCGGCTAAAATCTAGCGGAATAAGTTCAACACAGGCTGGCATAGGCAGTCGTTCAGTCTCTATAACCGGAGGTCTAGTGGAGCCAGACGTAGTCTCAGTGGAACAACCGACGATTATAGAGACTGAAGCTTTCGGTCTAGCTATAAACTAGCCTTAAGGGCTCTCTCGAAATGTTTTTTTAATGATATTATTCGAGAGAGCCTTAAACGGCTCCCATGCCCCTGCACGGAGAGGCATGTAAACAAAACTCAAAAGTGGTCCAAAATCACACTTTCGCGCACCCGACCAATATTGGACAGTGGCTTTGATAAATTTTGTCCGAGTTTTGGTCTTAATTAGCGCTTTAATTTCAAAATCGGATCTAAAAATAACAAAATAAGAGCAATTTTCTTACCAGACCGATACAGCTCAGCTCCCTTTTCACGTGTACCGTGTGAATTCACGATGTCTACACAATGGTGATGACCTCTGACTAGCACTTCGTAAATGTGCTGCTTCCGTATAATGCGCTGAATAACACTCATACAGCGCATTATACGGAAGCAGCACAATTTACCCACAATTACGGAAGTGCCAGTCAGAGGTCATCACCATTGTGTAGACATCGTGAATTCACACGGTACACGTGAAAAGGGAGCTGAGCTGTATCGGTCTGGTAAGAAAATTGCTCTTATTTTGTTATTTTTAGATCCGATTTTGAAATTAAAGCGCTAATTAAGACCAAAACTCGGACAAAATTTATCAAAGCCACTGTCCAATATTGGTCGGGTGCGCGAAAGTGTGATTTTGGACCACTTTTGAGTTTTGTTTACATGCCTCTCCGTGCAGGGGTATGGGAGCCGTTTAAGGCTCTCTCGAATAATATCATTAAAAAAACATTTCGAGAGAGCCCTTAAGGCTACTATAAACAGTAGAGGCGCTGGTCTGAGAATAAGGATCGTCCGCACAAATCACGTCCTAAAAAATAGGTCTTTAAGGATGATCTTTAAATAGCGATCTGCACGTTGGCGATGCAAAAAACAGATTCTGCGATGATGCTCGAAGATGCATGTCTCACTTACGGAGCGCAGAGACTTGGGAATATGGACAACCCATTAAATGAGAAGGTGAACTGGGGGTATTTTATTACATGAAAATTCTTTTTTTCTCGCATTACTGATTTTTTAAGTGTAACCCTTAACTCGCAGCGCTGAAAAAAAAAGATGTCCACAAAAATGTGGTCGATCCTCAATTTTTTAGGACGCAATTTGTCCGCGTTTACAAAGACATCCTCCTTTATGCAGACAATCCTTATTCTCGGACCAGCGCCCCTTACTGATGAAACTTAGCAAGGATTTTTGTTATGTTTTTGTCCATGCCTTATGCCTGGTCACGGTGGTAGTATTTTTTTGAAGTGTTGTCCGAGGCTGGGGCTGAGGAATAGCCTCTTTTTTTTCTTCCTTTTTTTTATAGATCTGTTCAGATTGACGATCATCACAATAACTTTATTCTTTTATCACGTCACTTCTTGTAAGATGTAAAACTACATTACGGCAGTACGCAGCAAATTAATTTCTAACATGATCATCATTCTTTTATGGACTATTTGATATGGTTTTGCACATTTTTATATCTGTAAGTTTTACCTTTGTTGAACTTGTTTTTCTTTTCCAGGTTGGTTTCTGGAAGTGGAGACATCAAGCTCACTAAGGATGGCAATGTTTTGCTGCATGAAATGGTAAAAATTGTAGCAAATTATGCAAAAGTATAAAATGTTTACTTTATCGGCCTGAAAGTATGTAATACCGACTCTTGATATTTTCTTTACAATTCAATTCATGATAAAAATCTTGGTAAATTTTTTAAAAGTTCAAATCTAGTTTATTCAATGAGGATATGTTTTTATAATAATAAACTTTTAAACAAATGATATAGATCTAAGCCCTCCACATGCTACTTTATTGAATAAAGTCAAAATAACAAAGAAACAATCATTAAGTTACGTTTGACTCACTGTTTTCATACAAATAAAAATTGAAGTGATTGTGAGATAAATTATAAATGTATCTTTCATCCCTCAAAATGATGAGTGTGGTTGTATTTTAAACGAAGGGCATCAAACTTTTTTTCAAAATCATGTTGGCATATTGCTAGGTATTATACATTTATTTATAAAGTAGAGATGTCAGATGTCATTAAATTTAGATAAGAAACTACCAGTTATCAAATTTATTTAGAAATTTTCTTAGTTATTTTATATTCTTTTAAAATAAATGTATTGGCATTGTCTCTAGGGGTCGGCAAAACCACATATTACATGTATGAGCAAAAATAATGTTTGAGTAGTAACTTGTAAAGGGGGGGGGGGGGAATGATTCTTTGGAAAACTGAAGAAATCCAAAGAGCTATGGCAACTACATGTACATGTAGGAAAACAGTTTTCCAGTGTTAAATTAAATACTTTATTCTATCCAAAAAAATAAGGAAAAATTACTAATTAGCAAATTTCATTTAACAAAATCAATTTTGTAAGTAACAGGAGAAAATATGAAATGCAAAGTTTTACAATAGAAAAGAAATTGTAGCAGATTAAACATACATGTACCATAATTTGCACACAATGAGTATGAGTCCAGTTCATAATCCCCCATTTCCACACTCTTTGTCTTACAGCAAATCCAGCATCCCACTGCATCCATGATTGCCAAGGTAGCCACTGCTCAGGATGACATCACCGGAGATGGGACAACCTCCAACGTTCTCATCATCGGAGAGCTTCTCAAGCAGGCTGATCTCTATATCTCAGAGGTAAAAATGGGAAGAAGATATCCCCTAAAAATTGATAATAAATGTGGATTAAAAAAAAAACTCCTTGAAGCACAGGAAAACTCAGATTCAGACAGATGGGAAATGCATTTATAATGGCAATTTAATTGCTTCAAGGAGGATTTGTCTTGTTTCAACCAATAGTTTTCTTCCTTTTTTTCATAATTTGAAAATATTGTGTATTATCGTATGGTGGCCTTTGATTTAAAAAAACATAATAAATGAAGTCTTTAAGTTCAACTGAATGGTAATATGCACTCTCCTTTCTGTGATGTGATGACATAATAATACTCAACTCTACTAGAGAAAAAATTGTTTTCTTGTTCATGTCATATTGCTAATAAATGCATACACTGTACATCTGTCAACTAAAGTTTCTATAAAAATTTGAATTGAAACTGAACTGAATAAAATATCTAAATTAAGAATCTCATTGGTGATGAGTGATATCGTATGGTATTCTGTAGGGATTCCATCCAGGCATTGTGACTGAGTGGCTTGAGTTCTTGAATGAGAAGGAAATAAAGACAAAGATGAAGTATTTAGATCTTAGAATCACATTGACGAAAAGTGATATATACATGTATTTTGTAGGGACTCCATCCACGCATTGTGACTGAGGGTTTTGAGTTGGCCAAGGAGAAGGCATTGGAGACCCTAGAGAGCGTCAAGGTTACCCAGGAGATCAACAGGGATCTTCTCATCAGTGTGGCAAGCACCTCACTACGTACCAAGGTTCACCCTCAGCTGGCTGACCTACTCACCGAGGTAAGGGCCGGAGACTTGCGGCTTTGTCCACAGAAGATGACCTGGGGCCCATCAAATAGAAAGTTGATATTAATCGCAAGTTATTTGCGATTGATATTAATCGATGTACGGTCGACACTATATGGGCTCCAAGATTCTTTCATTAATACTAGCTAGCTAGCTAGCTAAACCTGTGCCATGCACACATGGTAACTGTTAGGGTTAGTGATAGGGTTATAATGATCATGCAAACCCACCTTTCATCAACCCATCGTAAATTCATGCTCATTTCTCTATGTACATGAAATTGGTAACATAGGAGACATGAAATTACCAAATACATGTACTTTGAACTTTTCCAATTTTCTTCAATACAGAAAATTTCATTGACAAAAGAGACATTTTTTAAAGAAAGCATGAAGATTTGAAGATTATTCAGTGAGAGTAAAATTGAGATGTTTGTTATTGGAGCCATGTATATGATAACTCATTCAGATTGTTGATGTTGATGTTCTTGGTTAAATGTATCAATTCTCCATGACCTGTAAAATTGAGATGTTTGTTATTGGAGCCATGTATATGATAACTCATTCAGATTGTTGATGTTGATGTTCTTGGTTAAATGTATCAATTCTCCATGACCTAGGTCATCTGACCCGCTGTAGATCAAGTCTTCTGGGTTTTTTAATGTTTCTAGAAGCACACTTAAAATAGAATCATGCATCTCAAATAAGATACGGTACGGACACCAATATCGTTTGAATACATGGTACAAAATAAATTTATGTTACCGATCTCTTAAAATACACACAGCTAACACACTAATATTGATTGAATACACGTTATAAAAATGAATTTCTATTAGATGTTCTCTCACACACACGCAGCAAAATAGTTTTGAAAACTGTGAACCATATATATATATATATATATATATATCTTGACACTTGGTCCCATGCATGCATTTCCGTGTCCTTACATCCACAGGTGGTAGTGGATGCAGTGCTAGCCATCCAGAAGCCCAACGAACCCATTGATCTACACATGGTTGAGATCATGCAGATGCAGCATCGTAGCGACACCGATACCTCCCTGGTACGAGGCCTGGTGATGGACCATGGAGCCAGGCATCCTAACATGAAGAAACGCGTTGAGAAGTCCTACATTCTTACCTGCAATGTGTCTATGGAATACGAGAAGAGGTACGTCACGGCTTGCTATTACCAATGTAGTGTAAATCGTTAGGAGGCATCATCTTTTATATTCAGGACTTGTTTTTTATGGGATTACTGCCATGAATCGAAATTGAACTGGTGGTAAATTTTTGTTAGAAAATCATGAGGATTCTGAATTTCTGATGCCGTGAGTGAATATGGTTGCCAGCTACTTTTGATTATATATTTGGACACACATCAGTGCACCTCAAGGGATTAAACTCCTACCTCTTTGTCCCACATTAACTGTTGATTTGATAAAATTATTCCTGGTGTTGGCTGACGAACTGCAAACAGGGAGAAGTATTTTTATACAATTTTTTTTATTTGTTTGCAGTTTCAACACTAAGTAAAGGAGTTCCAATGAATATTACAGATTTTTTTTTAAACAAGCCAACATGAAAACAGCGAAAGATGATAATTTGTCCTTTATATTGCAGAGCTGGTGGGGAAGGGAAAATTAGCAGAAATTCACATCAGAAGTACCAGTTTCCTTTTAATTGATATTCAAGTATGCTAAGTTTTTAGTCAATCAACCAGTTGGCGCCAATTTTAGAATTTACCTTCGACTTGCCGATAATGTTGCTTCCATGAAAGCACAAAACAGATCTCTTCACTTCGTGTATCCTTGGTCATTTTCCTCTGTACAGTGAGGTGAATGCCGGATTCTTCTACAAGTCTGCCGAGGAGAGGGAAAAGCTTGTCCAGGCTGAAAGAGCTTTCACTGACGAGAAGGTCCAGAAGGTCATTGACCTCAAGAGGAAGGTCTGCGAGGGAAACGACAGAGGATTCGTTGTCATCAACCAGAAGGTATGTATAATGATAATAATAGTTGGTTGTTTATTCAGAAATGTGGCTGAAATGTACTACATATTTACAAAACTACTTGTATGATCAAATAATACACTGAATAGAATCGTAACAATAGCTCCAGGGGGGTGTTTCACAAAGATCCTAAGTTGAACTTATCTCTAAGTTGGACTTAAAAAATATGGGAAGCCATTAGCATCCTTGAAAATATTTTGTAATTTTTGTTTAGAAGGTATAAAATGTTGATTCAAATCATTCATATTTTCTATTATCATGGGAGATTTCATTTTCTTGATGTGGAATTTATGAAAAGACTAAAATACTTGAATTTTTGCCTTTTAATATATTTCATTTTAAGGCTACAAATGGCTCTCCATAATATTTAAGTCCAACTTAGAGTTAAGTTCGACTTAGGATCTTTGTGAAACACCCCCCTGGAGTGTCAAATCTGGCAGACATGAGCGCTATACAAGAGCCCACTATTATTATCATTAGTATATCATTTTAATATAAATAAACATTAATTCAAATCTCTTCATGCAAATATGAATAATACTCGCATGTGTGTCTACCATTGAAATGAGTGGTGCTTTTTAAAACTATATAGGTGAGGGATCATAAATAATTTGAGGCCTTATTAGGGTTTAGGGTTAAAGCTTCACCTTAACAAGCCAATGGGAATAAAAGTATTTAGTAGCTGATGGGTTAATTGACCAGCTTGCTAATGATGAGCTATCATCCTACCTACATTGTTTGAGAAATACAATGAGAACACAGTATGAATTCTGATGATGCAGATTGGTCAAACTTACATTTACCGGTATTGTGATTTTTAAAAGACCGAGTCGAGTTCTCTCCATGCGGGTGCATTGTCAAAGAAACTGTAAGACAGCAGTTGGTAAAGTTTGATTGTGTATTACATCAAAACCGATGTGTGCTGGGAAGTTTGGGAATCATTAATTTTTTAAACCTGGATTTATGGAGCATTTGAGTCAACAAATTCTGATGAATGTACAGGTTACCCAAACACATCATTATGGACATTAACTTATACTGAAACAATGTTCAAACCAAGAGTTATCTTTTAAGCTATTTTGTAAAGCTTTGCATAAATGACAGCTTGACAACCAGACAGATTTGTTTTCTCCTTAATTTGATTAGATAGACTAATATGTGAGGAACCAAATTTCATTTGTATGTTCTTCATAGATAAAGGAGTGGGGTCGTTTTTATATTTTGTTCAGTTTTACTAGAAAATGTAAACTAGGACTGTAGAAATTAAGAATATGGGGCCAGTCACCACGAAATGAGTCCAGTGTAGCATTAGGCTCAATCGTAGTAATAGCGATGTATAGTGTGTTTGTACTGAAAATTGACCCACCTACCACATTTAAGATTTTTCCAAAAATCGACTTATTATTTCCTTGTTTGTTGAAAGTTTCATTGAAATCGAATGATGGGAAGTGTGTTGTCGCTATGTTGTTGTTGACCAGACTATAATATGTTACGCATCATTAACTTTATACCTAATTATCTCAAAACTGGGTAATCCCATTGTTATAAAGTCCAATTAGGTTTTTGTTCATATTTCTGGATATAATTTATCAATTTTAATGTGTGACCCCTTAATTTAAAGCTTAATGTAGATTCATATAATACTTAAAAACAGGAATAAAATTTTGACCAACTGGACTCATTTCGTGGTGACAGGCCCCATATATGTTTTTTTTTATTGCTTCAAAAATATTTTCGAACAATGAATATTGTTAGTTTGGAATGTTTTCAAAATGTTAATACATTAAAAACTATAAGATTCATATTGGGTTACCTTTTTGAGCAATTTATATGTAATGTTCTGTCATTGTTGCTATCTTCACAGGGTATTGATCCTCTATCCTTGGACATGCTTGCCAAGGAGGGTATCATGGGCCTCCGTAGGGCCAAGAGGAGGAACATGGAGAGGTAGGTTAAACAGTTATGATCCTGGTATGACTTAAATGTTGCCACTTTCACCAGTATAAAGGACATTGTAGTAGCAACGCAAAACTGACTCCACACTAACCTTAAACTGAACCATTCTCGGCTCTTCAAGGCAATGTATTTGTGTGTTTGGTCTGTATTGGGTCTCGGTGTGACTGGGGCATCACTGAAAAGGGGATTTTCTTGCATGCATATTTCAAATTTAAGTAGTATTAGTTGTATGAAAATAAGCATGACAAATAACAGTACTTTGGACCAATTTTAATGCAACGTGTATGTGTTGTGCCATATACCCATTTCTGTTCGTAGTAGGGTTACTATACACTGTTTTCTATAAGATTTGGTCATCGCTGATCTGAAAACCACACAATACATTATCAGTCATACATGTATGTACTACAGAATCAACTTTTGTCTATAAACCATTACATTTTTTCACAATACAATCCTATGACCAGCAATCAACCTCATTATCAATTGTCCTTATTGACTAATTTGTGACAGGTTGCCCCTGGCTTGCGGTGGTGTAGCAGTGAACTCCTTTGATGACCTGACCCCAGACGTTCTAGGAGAAGCCGGACTCGTCTATGAACATGTCTTGGTAAGTAGTGCAAGGGAAATAGTCTCTGTGTATTGAGCTAGTTGAAGGTTGTTGTGTCCAGTGATATTCACGTCAGCACTTAATCAGTGGGAAATCGAACATTTTTTTTTTTTTTTTAAAGTTTCGGAAATGGAAGAAAAAAAAAAATCAAAATATGAATATCCTTAAAAATAGCAAAGGACCATCATCTAACAAATTGTGAAATCCGGCCCCATTTCACAAAACTTGTCATCAGTGACAAATTACAGTTTTTGTTATAAGCTAGTGAAATCCTTGATTCTGATTGGTATCAGCAGATTTGTCGCTGATTTTAGTCATTTGTCATTGAAATAGGGATGCCAGTGTTCAGGCCCTGGCAAGTTATTATCAGACCATAGTTTAGGCTTTTTTGTGTACAAAATAGCTCATTCTAGGTGATTTTCAGGCCCTCTGATCGATTCTAACTGGCATCCCTGATTGAAAGAAGGCTTTGTGAAAAGGGTCCCTAAAGTTCAGGTTATAATCATGACGAATTGGAATGTGATATGATGAAATATGTATTTGACCTGAGATATAGTATTAAATTTGATGACATGAACATCCTGTGGTAACCAGGCTAAAGCTAGAGTAATAATTTATTTTGATTACTTCCTTCTCTGTGCGAAGTTGCAACAACTGGAATTCAGTTCATCACAAAAGTGTAAACCAGTTCAAATTTATCCTTTGGAAATATTGGTACAGCCACCCCCTTAAGTACAGTCCATACCAGAGAGATGGCATTACCTGGAGGGACAAATAAGGATATTTTTATGCCTCGACACGGGAGTGAATATCGAAGTTAATAATGATGGTCAGGGCTGTAGCGGCATAATGGTAATGAATGCTATTCAATAAACTAATACTACTATTGCCATTATCATCTTTGTAGGGAGAGGACAAGTACACATTCATCGAGGAGTGCAAGAACCCCCAGTCTGTGACCATCATGATCAAGGGACCAAACCGACACACTCTGACTCAGATCAAGGATGCTACACACGATGGCCTCAGGGCCGTCAAGAATGCCATTGATGATGGTAAGTACTGCTTCTTGTACTCCCAACACTGTTTACTGTAATTGTAGAAGGTGTAATTTGTTGGTATTGTAATAGGAGCCACTGGTCTGGTCTTGGGATTAAACAGAAACGCCCTGACTCTGATCAAGGATGCTACTCACGATGGCCTCAGAGCTGTCAAGAATGCCATTTTGTGTAATTCGTAAACCCCAACAATTTCTAGCACTTTATTTAAAGAGATAATCATTTAAGATAATCTGTAATGTAAAAGGACATTTTGAACCTACAGAATGATGTACAGCAAATTAATTACGTGAATATTCTTATGCTTGAGAATATATTTCAGATCCAGCTGATACATACATCTACATGTGAATATATATATACAAAATTAAAGAGTTTAAAAGTCTTAAAATCTGATGATCTTTGATTCACCCTCATCAGTAGTTATGCAGCAGCAAATATTAAGCATTGGCAAAATGGTTGGAGACAGCATGGTGGGGGTTTAAATAAAGTTGTTCCAATGATGTCTAGTTATGTGTTCTCCCTGACCTGTGTTTTGAGTCTTGTGTACTAAGCTGATCTCACTTTTAAAATTACTGTGAAGCAGGTTATCCCCTTATGTTGGTAATGGGCTTTATTTGTATGGACATCCATGTCGAGGCCAATAAAAGAGTGTGAGTCAGTACCAGATATTTCAAGGGTTCAGTGACACAGAGATGTAACTCCATATTTTGCCAAAATGAGTACTTGATATCAAAATGTTCAGAAAAATGTGGGCTTTCCAGGAAACACAAGGACTTAACTGCACCCAATACCCCATTGAAGTCAATGGCTAGTGAACCATAGACTTAACTTCTTAAGGCCCAAGTGCTCAGTGACACATAAACCACTTTTTATGAAAATGGCCAAAATGGAGTTACGTCTTTGTGTCACTGACCCCTTGATTTGATGATTGACCTTCTGTATCAATCCTCTTGCAGGTTCTGTGGTGCCTGGAGCTGGTGCTCTGGAAGTAGCCATCTACGCTACCCTCCAGAAGTTCAAGGAGACTGTCAAGGGTCGCGCTCGGCTTGGTGTCCAGGCTTACGCCGAGGCACTTCTGGTCATCCCCAAGGTCCTGGCCCAGAACTCTGGTCTGGATGCACAGGAGACCATGGTCAAGCTACTGGAAGAGTATGCAGAGTGTGGTCAACCCGTCGGCGTGGACATATCTTCGGGTCAGTCACGTTTATTAGCGTATTCATTATGTATTTATGTATTTATCAAGCAGTTTTAATCGGGGTCATCAAATGGAAATATGAAACTCGACTACTACTGAGTCCTACACAACATAAAGATTTAGGTACTAACACTACAAAAATACAATCAACAATACAAAAAGCAAACAAAAAACATTTCAAAAGGGTTACTTTTGATATGAAAATGCTTTGTCAGAATACCTTAGATAAAGTGTGAAAAGAGTAATCCTTTCTTGGTTTGGTGTTGTTTTAAACAGGTTATGTAAATAGGAAATCTTGAATGAAATTATGTGTAGAGAATAATGCTCTTTTACCTTTTTTCGACAGGTGAAGCAGTAGTTGCAGCAACAGCAGGCATCTGGGACAACTACTGTGTGAAGAAACAGATTCTTCATTCCTGGTAAGTGTGACCCAAACATCACTATACCCTGAAATCAGTCACTGATGAATTAATTCACAGAAAAATCAGTATTAGTTAGTTGAAGTGGGAATTGGTAGAGGCAAAGGAGAGCATATTTTGACAAACTTCAAACAGAGTTTTTGCAGGTTTAGGGTTAGAGTTAGGGTAAGGGTAATATGACAAAACAACTGACCATTTTTGCAGTGGGCCCGAGTTGTTCCCGGGTCCGAGTTAGCCCGGATCCCTTCAAACACACTCTCTTGTGTCAAGTTACTTTTTAACAGTTACAACTGGCAGCACATAATTATAAACTCATTGATCCTTATTCTGCTAATTGAGTTAAACCAGACCCTGGGACTAAGATCACATTTAACAGAGATAAACTCACTTCAACTTCCTTTGTTAAACCTGATTTTGAACAAGGGCTTAGACCCACTATCTGGTTTAAATTTTTAGCAGAATACAGGTCCATCAAGTGTTTTGTAAGGTATCATGTGGCCAACACACAGTGAAACCTTACTATGTATCATCTCTAGCAACCAAGGAAGTCAATTTTTCAAATGAGGCCAATGTCCTGATTTTATTTAGTAAATCTTTAAAGCCATTCTGTAGTAGAACCACTAATGCAAAATTCCCTCTAGCGCCATCTCGGGTCAGCTGTAGCAGTATCGTCCCGTAAGTCACTGCTCGCCTAGCTGCGCTGTTGTTTCTCAAATATTGGCGACTACTGCTTTGTTGGGCAAGCACAAAACAAAAAAATATATGCCATGTTGTGACCCAGTGAAACCAAGTTGGCCAAATTCTGTGTATAGATGGCTCTGTACAATATGCTAGGCAGAAAGTTCCATCAGTTCAGTATCGCTTTAAGATTGATCAAGTTAATCTTTGAGACAAGAAATCAGACAAATAATCATTATCTTTCTCTCTCATCTTTCACAGTACCGTCATCGCAAGCAACCTCCTCCTCGTAGATGAGATCATGAGAGCTGGGTTATCATCGCTCAAAAACGGAGGAGGTTAATTCCCCCTTCCCTGGTCTACACGTCTAACCAGCTTAAGTCGTAATATTGTCATGAATAGATGTTTTTTGTTTCAATCGCCAAATGCCCATTCATTCATTCATTTATGGTCCTCAAACATTCTGGTATGATAAATCACTGAAGAGATACTTATAAAAGTGTTCTCTGACACAGTTGTACTCTGTCATTTCACCAATATATTGAAACTTAATAGGACCAACTTTGTAGGCATTCTTGTAACCTGTACCGCACTACTGAACTCTTCCATCATTTCTAGGAGTCATTTATGAAATCAAGTTGCAACATTGTTTTCATATTTATAGTCCTTAGAAATCAATGGAAGTGTACTGTCAAACCGTTCTTAGTGGCCACCTCTATAAAAGGCCACCTGTTTACACTGGTCACCTCTATAAAACGGCCACCTTTTAATAGTGGTCACATCTATTTCCTCCTTGTGGAAGGAAACGTGTGTTGGAGGACCTGTCTATAAAGGCCCCCTGTCTACGGTGAATACATTTTGTCTTCCCTTGGGTGGCCTTAATAGACTGGTTTGAGTGTATTTATATTCTTCTTTCCTCTTAGGCTTGAAGTGGATAGAAACCATGTCATGTGGACATTATCATCACCACTCAGACACTTTCTGTAGTGTTTCGTTGATTGCACATCCCAACAAGATGTCTTTTATTGAGATATCTCTAATCGCTCCCATTTTCTTTTGATTATGTCCGTTTATTTGTTTATAGAATGTTTACTAAGAATGACCTTTACCTCAAATGCCTCAGTGATGTAGAATGGAAACCAAAGTCGTTCAGTCCCTGTAATCAGGTGCTACTAAAAAACATATATCCAGTTTGTTAGCTATTGAATGAATGGGCATTTTGTGAGGAGTCGAGTGTGTGACAATGCAACAGTTTTTGCACTGTCTACTTTTTGTTAATAATATTTCTTTCTTTTTTGGCATTAATGTTGAGGAACGTCACATATATTTAAGCTGATATTTGCTACCGTGATGTAAGGCAGAAAACGTGTTGTGAGAGACCCAGTATAATAATAGAATTCACTGAAAACCTAAGGCTTAGATGAATTTGATGTAACTACCAGTACATTTGACCTGCATTTGTGCATTATTTTCTGGAGTTTTACTCTGGTATATGACACATTTTTCGTATCGTAAATTCATTCCTGGAGCGCAAACATTCTAATGCATGTTTTTACACTTATGTGATTACATCTCTGGTAAATGCACATGTAGTTGGTCCCATATGATATGCACTTGTTTGTAATCTTGTCCAGCAATCTTTGTGAATTGACTGGCAAAACTTCAGTCAAATATTGCTCACTTTATATATTTGTAAGGTTCTAAATACATTTCAAAGTTAGGAATAGAATATCATACCCCCCCCCCCCCAAGTTTTAGACAGTACTCAGAAATTGTCAGTGTTTTGGGTATGGGATAAGGCATTCGAACTGCCAATTCCAATAAAAAAAAATCTTCTTAAATGAGAAAACAGTTTGATAGTACTTTAAACTTGCAAATCAATTGCAATAAAGCTTTATATGATGATGGAAATGATGTTTCCTTTTTTTTAGTACCATGTAATCTGAATGCTGTGAATTGTCGGTTATGATTAAATTCTTGTTTTGACACTGTGCAAATTAAGATGGCAAATAATATATATTATGTTTCTGTGTTTTTCATTTTCATCTATTTTAATAGCCCCTTTTCGTAATGTAATCAAATTTAATGCATAAGTTTTTTGTTACATATTTCATTCACCTGTTATTTAAGAGTCAGAATGCAAATTGCATGTTGATAGGTAGGGCAATCCATTATGTATGTCCTACCTAGCAACAACAAATGTATGCAATTTGACTATTATTCATAACACTTTTCTAAACAGGTGGATGAAATAATATGCGATTATTAGGCACTTAAAGACGAATGCATTAAAATTACATTACGAAAATTGCCTACTAAGCAGATAGCATACTTAGAGCAGTATAAGTAAGTAACTTTGGTAGAGTCGCATTGAGGATGGTTGAGAGAGAAAGAAAGAGAAGAGATACATAGAATGGTGATAGAGGTAGAGAGAGGAGTAAACAAAAAAAAGTATCTAAGGGACAATTGAGTATATGCTGATGAATTCAAATTTACAAGCTGATAGAGATGCTCCAGTTTTATTCATCAAATGCACAATTTTATTTCATTAGTAGCACATGGACATGTTAATTGACAGTCGATAAATTTCATTCCAAGGCAATTTTCATAAATGACAACCACATTGTACTTAAATGAAACTAAAAGAATAGTTGGATGAGAGACAGGAAGACAAATTATATTTGAATCTTCATATTCTAAAATTAAAAAAACTTTTTAAGAAAAGGAGGTAAGCAAACCTATGATAAAATGGGCTGTCAAAGAAATCACATTGTGAGTGAGCTTTAGTCTGCAAATAAATATCATAAATGTTGTCGACAGAGAAAATACCAGATTACGGTTGTCACTGTTAATTTCAGACATGAACTAGATGTGGTTCATTCATGATGGAAGAGATGAGGGACCATATCGCGTATACAATCTAGATAAGATGTTACCCTGATATATACACCGGTTCTTTGGCAAAATCAACTGCATCTTAAAACTTTAATAAAGAATTTATAGCGACAAAAAACTGCAATCATAAACATGACTTTAACAAACCTTGGAACTCTTGAAGGAATGAAAAATAGGAGAATGATAAAAAATGACATTAGCAGAAAAATGAAAAAGATACGCCAAGATGGATAGATAAATAATACATAAATATATATATATATATATATATATATATAATTAATTCATTATCAATACATAAATGAATGAAAACTTGTAAAAGAAATGAAAAAGAAAAGGAAGACTAAAGATTTAAAGAAAACATTTTTTGTGACGTTGCATGAATGACTTCTTAGCATCAACGTCTCTGAATTTTAGGCTTCTAGTACTGTAGAACCTGTCTATAAAGACCACCCAAGGGAGACAAGAAAATCGGTCTTTATACAGGTGGTCTTTATGTACAGGTGCCTATTGTACATGTTTCAATGAGAAACCATTTTCAAGGGAAACAATAAATGTGGTCTTTGTAGACAGGTGGTCACCAAAGCAGGTCTGACTGTACTAGGGAACAATCCATCATCAACCTTAATTTCAGACATGCATTTATTCATGATGAAGATGGTGGTGGATCATCTCATCTATCCAGTCTAGATAAGATGATACCTTGGTGTATACACCGGGTTTGTTGGCGATGGCACAGCCGTGACCCCAGCTAGTAACACCCACCACGTACCAGTGATCGTCAGGTCCGAGGCAAGATAGAGGTCCTCCAGAATCTCCCTGTATATGGGAGAGAAAAGAGGCATGGAAATAATTCATGTTTGTACGAGATTTGGCAAACAATATTTGATACAAAACTTGGAAATCATTGAATGAATATATCAGGCAAACAGCAGGCTGGGGTATATTCAAAACCTTTTTCCTACTCACCGTGTACAAACCAAAATGCTATATTTTCTAGGGATAGGGAAAGCTACAGAAAAGATAGCACTATGAAAGTATAATCCCCTCCCACTCTTTCTTTCTCTTTCTCTCTCTCTCTCTCTCTCTCTCTCTCTCTCTTTCTTTCTCTCTCTCTCTTTTCTTTCTCTCTCTCTCTCTCCCTTTTCTTCCTCCGCCTCTTCCTTCTCCTACTCCTCTTCCTCCTTCTCCTTCTTCTTCTTTTGCTATTTCTCCGTTTCGACCACTATATAATACTGAATGAACCGACCCAAAGATGTTTTTGTCACTGCAGTTATAGACTCTTTACAAGGTGACCACATTTTGATTTTGAAATACGGGACATTTCTAGACTTTGACTTTGTATGGCAAGGAAAAATACGTAAGCTGATAGTGAAGGGAAGGAGCAACCAACTTTGGAAAAGGTCTACATCATTCATATTAAAGCAATTGACATAGAACCTCTCTTTAATAACCATATCAATTAATCCTCGTATGAGGAAACAAACAATATGGGAAGCCAGTCTTCATGCTGGATTATAATGTTAACAAGTTTATGCGTATGAATATAATTGAGTCATCTAGGATCAATATTATATGAACAAATATGAAATTTCAGACCTTTACACATGTTTTCCAGTCGTAAATCATATTTTCATCATAATTATTCTGGTTAATAGAAAGCCAAGTATATAGGTAGATCCTCCCCAGGTTCTTACTCGAAAAATGACATGTGAATTCACAATGCCGCTGAATAGGGAGGGGTGGGGGAGACCCGGGTAAAGTCGTTATCTTGTATAGTCATTGCTCGTCCTCCCTTCTTCCTTGGATAATGATGATGATGACTTTGATGATGGTGATGGTGATGATCATGATAATAAGCATACGAACACGTTTTAAATCAAACCCTCACAGTGCGTTTCTTGTAAATATCACTTACCAAATTAGTCTTGTGATGGATATCCAAACACAAAGTCTTCTCAGCAAAAGTACCAACATTGTCAAAAGTTTTTGCAAGAGAAAATATAGTCGGCATATTCTTATTCGTTACAAAATGTAAATGTATTATATATTAAAAGGTTAGCTAATACGTTCTTATTACTGGACCCCAAGTTTTGTTTCGTTGACTGAGTGGGTTAGCTTGAAAATATTGTATTATAAACCTCTCTTTAGAAATTTAGCCATCTGATTGGTCGAAATTGGAATCGTGAATTCAGCAATTCCCGTTAAAAACAAACGATCAATGCCAGTACCGGTTAATTATGAGTGAGATTCCTGCAAGATTACCGGGAAAGTAGTAAAATTTTGCTGCGATCCCCATTGGTTAACGTATTGAATGGTTAACGTATTGAATCTTAGTGTGTGCAAATGATTGTGACATTCAGTCATATTTCCAGCGAAGATTAACAGACAGTGTCTCAGATTTTCTGTGATGTTTTAACTAATCTTTACTCAAGAAAAGGATAAAGTAAGAATTCTTGGTAGATTTTTGTATCAATTCGGTATATAAAATATATATCGGCTGCTTTAATATTCTAGGCCTGGCTGTTGGCTCTCGGGGACGTTGCATCTTGCCATGAACCCTCGGCGCGCCGCCCCACCCGGCCACTCATAGCAGTCGATATATATACTATTTTTTTCTTCTCATTTTTTTACGTTGTGAACTTCAAACGTCAATACAAAACAATACAATGACTACAATATTATAGAATGTAACATAATACAAAACAATAAAATACAATACTATTTTGTAATCGTTGAATATTTGCATACTCCTTGGCCGCGCCATGGACATTTGTTATATTACCTTATTATACTCTCAAGAAACTACTCTACGAGAAAGTAGGTTAGTTTACAGTCTGGAGCTGTTATATTCTGTAGGTTCTCTGGCGCTGCCCTTATTCAAGTCTTCGAGATCAGTTTTTTTGTTGTTATCTCTAACTGTATGTTTTTCCCCAAGAGGTTGCGTGTTACGTGAGGTTTCCTCTACCCGTTGTCCCTGGGTCCTTTGTTCCACAACAACAGAATACACAACACAAAGTGGTTAGATTTCAGAGGCTGATCTTCATTATTGAGCTTCGTTCTTCAACTCCAAATACTAGACTCACTCGTCCTGAGGACGGTCCGTACAATGTATCTAGATTCGGTAGATACACCCATCACACTCCCCCTCATAAATTAGCACTTATACCAGTAGGAGAAGTGCTATAAAAACATTTCTTTTTCAATGTTGTTTCAGCAACTGCTGTAAGAATACAAAAACCTGAAAGTATTTATAAGTATGAGGTCTTTGTAGATTTAGAAATCTGATAAACAAGTCAGCTTGTAAAACTATACAGTACCAGCATGCAAATGGTATCACAGTGTTGTCTAGTGGTTTTTGTTCATACAATAAAATTGAGTATGAACAGCTATAAGTAAAAACATTAACCATTCTTTTATCATCCTGCTATATCATTTTCATCACTGACTTTTGCATATATCAGAAGTCATTTGTACTAAACATAAAACAAATACAATTCAAATCGCAGAGAAGTTCACCTTAAATGACCTATCAATATCAATATGTCTTCATGCTTCTTTGCAACTTTGAATCTAAACATATTTCTTTGCATACAAATAATAATTAGCAAACTTCAGCAACATTAAACCTGTCTGAAAGATAATATAATATAGCCTTCATGTCAGTTGTAGAAACATGTTACTATTAATCTGAAGTTTTGCATTGTAGTGTAAAACCATATCATCTGTGTTGGTTGAGTATTGAATATCTTCAAGAATATTTTTGATTACTTTTAATATATAACCAAAAATATGGTAAAACACCAAAATCCTTTTTTGTTTCAAAATTCTTTCTTTCAATATTTATCCTGCCTTGGATAAAACATATCAATCAATTTACTGTTTCTGTTTTCATATATATGCATGCACAGACAAAATGATAACGTACTAGTCTTTCTAGTTCCTTGTGTTTGTACCAAAAGGGTTTTAACACAATAATATTATCATGCATGTTCAAATTCGTCAACGAATACGATAAGCACATCACATACATATATACACTGGTTTACAGACATCTGGAAAGCAAACATAAGAAAAATACATTTTTCTTTGAGTCCAATAAACAGTTTCAATGAGTCCAAT